AAAAAAAAAAAAAAAAAAAAAAAAAAAAAAAAAAAAAAAAAAAAAAAAAAAAAACGAAAAGAAAGAAAACGGGAAAAGAAAGATTGCATCCGGATTCAAACTGATTTGGCAACGCCGGAGTGAAATGTCGGTCAATGCTGGACGCCTCTCATTTCCACTTGATTCTTTTTTAATATATAGATAAAAAGACAGCTGAAAGACATATGATAGAAACTTGAGACTAGACAGCCCAGCCCCATGCTTGGGTCTCGCATTGAAGCCACAAAGTCATTCGGCTGTCTCCGTATTGGAGCCAATGCGACGGTAACTAGCACAAAAAGGCACCAGCTAGAGAAGATAGGAAGCTTGTTATTTCGATCTAACCCAGACCAACTTCTTGCAATGGGCACGCACGAGTAATGGGTAGCAGCGAGAGTTAGCGGAACCCTTTCCCTTATAAGACAGTTTGACAGCAGTCAGAGAGAAGAAACAGGAAAAGGGTCAAGAGACATGGGGTACGGCATTGGCTGACACACACACACACTCACGTTCTTCTCTGCCTACTCTTACAGTAATAGGGCCGGCAGTCGATGGAAAAAACCCCCCATGTCAGCGAAGTCTTCCAAATCCTCTACTGCAAACCTCTTTTTTGGGGGGGAGAGAAGGGGGGGAGGCCGGTAGATCTTTAGGGCCAAGAGCTGAGGGTGGTATCGGACGTCTTAACTTACCATCCGTTAAATGGACTGAGACATCTCATTGCATGCTGACGTTTTTTCTTTCCTTCTTTTTCGCTTATTTATCTTCTTTCATCCCGTGTGTGGCTTTTTCTTTAAACGCTTCAATGCTTGCCTAGTTTGCAAGCCACATACATTGCGCCCAGGAACAGCTTCCACCAGGAGTAGTTTCTGTCCACGATGCCGACGCTTGCGAGCAGTTGTTGCGTTTCATTAAGTCCGAAGGCATCAGGGTATTAATATTTTGAGGGTGCTCCTTTTGCTATGCATGTGTGTGTTTTGCACACATAATAGTATCACCCCCCCTTCTCTCCATCTCTCTCACTTTTAATACCCTCGCTCCCCGGCCAAGGGAACCCGACACTCTGGATTACAAGCTCCCCTTTTCTTGGCAGCAGATACCAAGGGTCGTCCCGCCTCCACTGTTTCTGAGTTTGAGCCTCCAGGCTTTTTTTGCTGTTTTTCCCTTTACACCTCTTTCTATTTTCATTTGTTTAGAAGGCGGGAACGACAAACAATGGCGTGGGCGTACAACACGCGGGAGGGCACGCCAAACAATGGGTCCATGATAGCCTCCATTGCCCTGGGGGTCACGGCATTGTCTCTGGTCGCGCTGTGTCTGCGGATCTATGTCCGGACGAGGATCGCAAAGGCCGTGGGTTTAGGTACGTATCTCTCTTTGATCGAGCGAAGCGGGTTTGCGGGTTCTTCGCCCCGTTGATCGTCGCTTTTGTTGGAGTTTCACCGCTTCTTCATTCGGATAGATCAGATCTGGGGCTAATGAAAGAATGACAGATGACTGGTTAATCATCGCTGGCTGGGTATGTTTTACATCACCGTCACTGTCTCTCGATTGCTTCAATTCTCAAGTTTCCAATGAAGCTCGCCCCGTAGTGGGATATATATAGAGAGGGTCCAAGGGAAGATTGACTGACTCGCATTCGCAACTATATAGATTGGAGCTTGCGGGTACGCATCCGCAATTGTCGTCCGTACGTGTATCCTCAACCCTATCTCAACTTCATAACAGTTCTTAACAACTTTACAGAGACGAAATGGGGTCTTGGATTGACTTCACTCAACGACATGCCGGATCAAAACGTCGTCAATTTTGGCTTTGTGCGTTTAACCCGTTTCCGCCGATTATCCCATCATTTTTTCAAATACTAACAACTTCCAGACGCAATACGTCGGTGCACCATTGTAAGTCGACTTATGTCTTTCTACAGGGCACTTCTCTCTCTTATACTTACAAATTTCTCTACGTCAGCTATGTTCTTGGTATCTGGGGTTTCAAAACCAGCCTGCTCGTGTCCTACGTCCGCTTAGTCCCAGGCGCATATCGATTGGTGCCCATTTCGCTGGCCGTGATTGTCACAATGGCACATATCGCCTTTCTGCTCGTTTTCTTGCTTCTGTGCATTCCGGTATGGCCTCTTCTCAAAACATCCATGTATGAACGCTCATACTAATCGCTCATTATGTCTATGTAGGTACAAAAGCAATGGATACCCACCACTCCAGGCCATTGCGGACAGGCAGTCCCCTTTTACATCACGTTCTCATCCCTCACCATCATTTTCGACGTCATAACGTAAGTCCCAAGCAGACCTTTTCTCTCTCGGCCCCAAGAGACAAGAACGCATCTAACTCATACCTCGCAGGCTCGCCCTCCCCTTCCCTATTCTCCTCAAGCTCCAAATGAAGCTCCGTCGAAAAATGGCCCTCTTATGCCTCTTCGCCCTGGGCATCTTCGTCACCATTGTCCAAATCATCCGCATCCAAACCATCACCAGCCTCGCCAACTACCTCGACTCCGCCGAGGCCATCAAGTGGTCCATTGTCGAGACCAACGTCGGCATCTTCATCGCCTGCGTGCCCACGCTCGCACCCCTCGTCAGGTATTTCTCCGAAAAGACTCGCAGCGGCGGCAGCAGCAGCAATACGCCGGCCCGACCTGGTGGTGACGCCGGCTTCGCGCTGCAGTCGTGGAGGGTGACGAAGAATGGGATGAGGCCCCTGGGGAGCGGCGTGGATAGGGAAGATGGGGGAGAGAAGAGCACAGAGAATATCCTGCAGGGGCCGGTGGCCTCGGTGAGTGAGGCGAGCGACGACGGGGCTGGATCCCATGAGCGGGCTTCTGCTTCTGCGAGACGTGGCGACTGATGACAATCTACGTGATGTTGTTGTTTCAATTTCTTTCTGTTATTTCGGGCGGTTTAAGCGAGCGCAAGAGTTGCTATTGCTGTTGTCATTTTTACATTTACGAAAGTCGATGTGTCAAGATATACCAAACATGTATTCAAAAACAAAGATACCCCAATATGGTCATAATAACAATCAAGAGATGGTTTGTGTAGAGAAATCAATTCAGCGTCCAAGTAGAATGTGACAGTTCCTACCTACTAATATCACTTGTGAGAAACATCTCAATCCATTAGTAACGAGACGTTATCTCAGATTGTTAATAAATGAATAATGAATCAGAGCATACAAGTCACCATGGCATAAAATAGGACATAATAAACTTCACTCACTCAAGTGATGGCACCATTTCTACCTGTCCCTCATCGCAAGTGAAATTCAGTGGTTCCAAATCAAGCACATACATGTACTTATAGTAAACTGTTATTGACCATACAAAATCCAGTACACTCCCCATTCAAACAGACACCAGGCAAATCAAGCTACATGTAGGTGATGATCATCATTAGATCCCCATTTCTCCATCTCAGCAGTACAATAAATACACACCACGCAGCGCCGATCAGTCTATACAAAAAAAAAGCAAATGCCATATCCCCTCCTCGACGCCCCTTTACCTCCCTTTCGACACGTTGTGCTCCGAGTTGCCATATTCGGCTACATCTGCGCCTCTTTGTGGCACTAAGACTTTTCGTCCTTTTTTTCCGTCTGAGTATGCAAAACACGCTGATTGGTGGAGTTTCAGACACGAGGGTGCCAAGAGCAGAAGTGGAAAAATCTCACCTCAGCTACGCAAGGAGAGAAAAATCAACAAAAGGTGATGGGTGTCAAATTGCGAGACGGAATCAAAAAGGCAGAATGGCTATGCGGAATGATTATGTAGTATAGACAAGAAAGCCTCGAGAACAAGCAATGACACGCACTCACACAAAATGAAAACGACCAAAGAAAAGTAGATCAAATGAATGATCCTATTAAGATAAAGTAGTAGTAGTAAAACAGGGGTTGCTAAAAGGGATCTGTGAAAAAACTAGAGGGTTGTTTCGCATCCTAAAAGCGCGAGAAAGAAAGTTTTTTTGAATCTTTGGGTTAACATTTTTAACTAATAGCATAGTTATTTGGTTGGCTTCTACCGCATTACAAAAAACGTCGCAACGTCAAACACATCTCTGTGGGCACATCCTCCGTACCCTGGGTATGATTTCATAAAAAATCTGCAGTATACCATTACTTGCAGCCATCCACCCCAACCGCGTATAAAGGAAATAGGTTAAAAAAACATAGAAGCTGAAAAATGTAAAATGAAAATGAAGAAACAGCTCTTTTATGTAAAGAGATGCAGATGCAGAACCACGTCTAGATCGCTTATACCTCAACGGTGGTGGGCTTCTCAATGAAGTCACCAGTGCCCATGGTAGCGGCAAAGGTGGTGGTGGGCTTCCAGCCGGCAGAGGTACGGGGAGTGGTCTCCTCCATCATCTTGTCGACCTGCTCGAGAGACAGGCCCTTGGTCTCGGGGATCAGGAAGTAGGAGTAGACGAAAGCGCAAGTGCAAAGACCTCCCCAGATGAAGAAGACGGAGGACTTCAGGTTGCCCTTGTCGGTACCGACCATGTAGGGGGTGATGACGGCGATGATGGTGTTCCACAGCCAGTTGGAAGCAGTGGACAGAGCAACACCACGAGATCGGATAGGCAGAGGGAAGATCTCACCAATGACAATCCAGGCACCGGGACCCCAGGTGGAGGCGAAGAAGAAGATGAAGATGGCGATGAAGGCGATCTGAGCATTGACAGCGGAGATGTTGTCGGCAAGGTTCTGGGTAGGGTCGGCGGGATCGGGGTGGGTCTTGTTGAAACCAATGGTAACACCAATGATGGCGACCAAGAACTGGCAGATGAGCATACCAAGAGCACCGAAGATGAGGATGGTACGACGACCGAATCGCTCGACAGTCCAGAAAGACAGAGGAGTGGAGCAGACGTTGACCAGGGAGAAGATCAGAGAGATCAAGAAGGAGTTGCTGATGGCACCGGTGGACTGGAGGAAGGGAGTAGAGTAGTAGAAGATGAAGTTGACACCAGTCCACTGCTGCATCATCTGCATGGAGGTACCAAGGATGGTTCGTCGCAGGTTAGACTTGCCGGTCCAGAGAGAACCCTTGAAGCAGTTGGCCCAAGAGCCGAACCAGGTGGTGGAGGGGATCAGGGCACGCTCGTACTCCTCGTTGGCGATAATCTCAGCAAGCTCGTTCTGGACATAGTCGGAGTCCTCGGGCTGGCCTCGGACACGGGACAGGGAGTTGATGGCCTTCTGGATCTCACCCTTCTTAACGAAGTAACGGGGAGAGTCGGGGAGGAAGAGCAGACCGCCACCGAGGATCAGGGCCCAGGGGAACTGAATGGCGATGGGGACACGGTAGGCACCGGTGTTGTGGTAGTTCTTGGTTCCGTAGACAATGCAGGAGGCGAGCAGGATACCAATGGTAATGCAGAACTGGTAACCAGCGACGAGAGCACCACGGACCTTGCGGGGGCACTGCAGAAGAGAGTTAGCGGCCAAGAATTACTAGATTGGAATGAAGCTATCAAGCCAAGACTTACAATCTCAGACATGTACAGAATGACAATGGCAGACTCGAAACCGACACCGAGACCGGCAATCAGACGACCGGCAACAATGGGGCCAAGAGCGTGTTCGGGAGAGGTAACCATCTGGATAATGACTCCGACCATGTAGATGAGACAGCCGATGATGACGGTCCACTTTCGGCCAATCCAGTCGGAAACATCACCAGCGATCAGGGCACCGAAGAAGGTACCGCAGGACAGGATGGAGGTGATGAGGGAGGTGTGGCTGTCGGTGAGCTTGGTGGCGAGGGCGCCCTCGACGGCCTGGTAGAAGATGGGCGAGCCGTTGACACCGTTGATGTAACCGGAGTCATAGCCGAAGAAGATGCCACCGAACGAGGCAAAGGCACAGATCAGGTACGCCTGCCAGGTGATGGGAGCCTCGATGTGCTCGACATCTTGGGTAGTGTGGATGCCCACGGATTGCTTGCGCGCCTCCGCGGGGTGGACTTCTTGCGAGTCGGACATGGCGTCGAGCGTTGGAATTCTCTCGTCTATTGTTGGAGCGTGGTCAGAGACTTGGAATGAAGAAGAGATAACTCCCGGGCCGAGCGAACGGAACGGGTTCTTTGCAGTGAGACAGAGATCGACGAGGCAAGACAGGAGCAACCCAGGGAAGGGCGGGAGGCAGGCCGACCTTTTTATTATCGTGACGCCGGCGAGCCTCGAGGCATGGCCCAGCGTCGATGGTGGAGAGGCTTTGGGGAAAGATGGCCTGGACGCTACCTGGACGCTACCTGGAGAAGAGCCACGCCCCTCTGGCAGGGGCCTAGATCGAGCGAGAGCGCGCGGGGGGGTGGACTTGAGGGGGTGGAGGATACATCCAGAGAGTCAGGGCCAGAGTCAGAGTCAGTTTATGTGCGAGCAACTGCTGCAACTGCATGTTCCTGGAGGTACGAGGACGGTGGAGAAGTGGAGGCACCGCCTGTTGTGGCGCTCGGCCTCACCCACAAGCTATTCTCCTAGCCCGGCGTTCGGGTCTGGCCTAGCGCCAGCTGCTGAGTCCAGGCACGGCGACCTTCTAATGTTAGCAGCGCTGGTGGGATCAGAGTGAAAGAAAAATTTGCAGCTGGCCTGGCCTGTGGCAATATTGGCTGCAGCGCATCTCATCTCGTGCAGCGCGGCCAGGGGAGCTTCCGCCCATAGCCACCGTCGATCACGGCGCGGGCGACGAGGCTATTGGCGGTGCTCGCGGTTTCGGTCAGCAGCGCAATCAAAAGATATCACCGGCCAGCAGGCGATGCCGCAGGCCATTGGCCGGGACCGCTACGAGGCACATGCAACCCTGCCGTCTGGCTCTGGCTGGCTGGCTGGCTGGCTGTCTGTCTGCGCATCAAAATCTGTCTCGCTGCAATTGAAGCCGTCGAATCACAGGCAGCCCAGAGGACGAGGCACCCAAAAGGGGCCAGGGTGGAGGCGCACGCGAGAGCAGGCATGTGGCAAAGGCACCGCGCAAATCTGGGCTTTGCGGGCAAGGGAGGCCCCTGGTCGCCGGGAAAGGAGATTGAGGGGCCCCTGGCGCTGGGCGCTAGAAGCTTGGCCGCGGTGCTGCTAGCGGCGCTGGAGGTGCTGGAGGCGCTGGAGGACGCTGCGAAGAGCTGCTGCTGGGTCTGGGGAAGCCCGCATGGGGGATCTGCGGGGCCGGAGGCTGCTGAGCTACGAGGTAAGGCCGACGCAGTGCAGAGACGGTCGCAAGCCATGAGTGGCCCGTGGCTGGACCCCTAGCCCCGGACGAAGCAGAGAAGCGCCGAGAAGGGCCGGCGGTAGGGGCTCGCCGCTGGCCTATGTCGAGAGCCAAATGTCTATTGCAGAGGTCCTAGCATGACACATGCAACACGCGCGACCTGCACTAGCAAGCAGTTACTGGCAATTATCAGACGCTGATGAAATTGGACATCTGTGCGAGTATTAGGCAGCAGATAGCTTGTGGCAGTGGCATTTACCTGTACGGTGAATATTGAATATTGGATATTGGAGGCTATAGTCAGAGTAAAATAAAATCAAGGTACCAGACTATCTGGTGAGAAAATGCCGGGGCATGGTCTACAGTAAGATGCGAGATGCGGAGTGGACGACAGGGTACAGCACGTACATGGGGGCTACATGGTACGTGTGCTCGACAGGTTACCTGGACGGCAAAATCCCCAGGCTGGTTACATGCAAACTGTAGGCCGCCTGTCATTGTTGATTCGATAGACGTCAATACGGGATACTGTACGTACCCAACTCTATCTGCATCGCGTCCAATGCTCAGCAAATTTCTTCATCGGCGCAACTCATTAGACTTTGTTGGTGGCTGCCACTGGCTGCTCCTGCTCGGGCACTAGCGCCGGATGGCAGTTGCACTTATTGTGTGCATGATGCTAGGTTCCGTTATGGAAGTCGCCGTGGAACTTCTGTTGCTGTTGGCTGCTCTTTCTTCGACATTGCTTTGAATCTTCAGTGCTTGACCGTTGCGCCGGATTATCTAATCTGGCCAAGGAAAAACGCATCGACGTCCGTCCGGCGATCCATGCCAGCCCAAGCCCATGTCAAGTCCATGCTACGATGCCGGCATCATGTCTGCTGCGAGCGCTAGGACCTCTCGCTGGGCGATGCCAGAAAATCTCACAGCTGTTACGTACAAACAGCACTATGTGCGGTGTGCTAACCGAGCAGGGCGGGCAGGGCTGACCGGCGCTGAATACGGGCATCTGAACACTCCAAAAGCGTCAATGCCAATCTGCAGTAGTCAGTCGCTCGATGGCGATGGCGATGGCGATGGCGTCGATGGCCTCTGCCCGCCACCGCCCAACCGCATCAGTTGGCCCTTTTCGGCGCTTCCCTCCCATCGCCCAGGCCTCTCCAGACTCCCCGTATTCCAGTCCACGCGCACTCTATTTTCCCCATGGGCGCCGTGCTGACAGCTGCGTTGGGCCAGCGTGGGGGAATGTCGGGGTCGAAAAGCTGGAGATGCCACCGGCGCTGCCTCCCAAAGGGCCAATTTTCGGTCGTACTCAGCGGCGCTATTATTCTGCCCTGGGGCCCTTTTTGCGTCTGGACGGACCCTCCTGCTGGTGGTTGGAGGGGTGTTTTCAATGCTTTGCTGCCCGCGTTCAGCGTCTCCCACCGCAGACAAGCTCGCGCTGGTAATTGACCGAGCTAGGGGCGGCTTGGCGGCCAATTGGCCAGCGCGCAAATCTGCAATCTGGAATCATCTCCGAACGGCTGCTGCTGACTCGCTGCCAGCCAGTTGCTAACAGCATTGCTTTACGGCAATACGCGGAAGTCATGCGCCACCAAGTCAGTCATTCACTCCAGCAATTGAGTTTTGAGTCCTGCTATGCTATACGCGGAGTCATCGTGTCGTGTGAGCGCTGAGTTTTTGCTCTGGACTGCGTCTTGCCCGCATCCCATCGCATCACGGGCGCCTCCTCGGCGGTTTGCCGGATTCACTAGTGCTGGCTCTGTTCTTGACCAGCGCCCATTGTCACGCGTGCATACGCTCATCACCATCGAAAGTTCGATCGGATCATGCCTGGCCTGCCCGTATTGAATACCCAGAACACCTACATGCAGCAGGCCATGTGCTTCATCACACTCATCACCAAATCGATAGTGCATTTCGACGTCCTAGAATGTGACAGCTTGGCCGATGGCCGACGCCAAGATCTGCCCACCGGCGAGGCTGAAAACGGGATGCTACTGCACCTCGCGACGATGGCGCCCAGAGAGAGGTTTGAGTTAGATGCTGGAGTCGAGATAGCTGCCTCGGATCTCTTTGGCCGAAACAGAGATGGCCCTAATACTTCCCCGGCCAATTTGTCAAGCCGTTTCACGAGTTTGACGTCGTTGATCAATCAAGCCCACTGCTTTGGTCTTTGGCTTCAAACCGGCTCCAAACTTTCAGCCTCCTCTGGGGATGCTCCCGGCCATGCGTGATCAAGTGGATTCACAGCATCTGTCATTGAAGCATGCTAGACACCTTGGTCATTCGGCGTTACTATTTGCCTCCTCATACTAGGGGCCTTTGTCTTGTCAACGGCCAACAGCCGGCGTACATGATCCAACGCCAGATGTTTGGCAGCAGTATCGCCATTGTGGTGCGCATTCCCTGCAATACACACAAAAAGAAACCTCGCCTCCATCGCCGTAGCCAAATCTGCCTAGCTAATGCTCGCTCTTCTCTAACTAACAAACTCACCACCAGAAAACACGCGAGCCGAACCCAATGCTCGGGCACCCCCCCAGCACGCACTCCATATACATGGACGCTAGCATGCCTCACCATGCACGTCTCCGGACCGAAACACCCACTCCACATATACGCCCACAATGCGGAGCTTCTCTGCAAATTTCAGGTCACGTTAAGACTCGAAGAAAAAAAAATCCTTCTCGCACCAATGGACGGGGGCTGTTCTACGTGCAGCCTAGCATCTGCTGCTTGGGGATTTCCGGGACGCCAAACCCAGATGAGCCAAGGCAATCCCTCAGCCGCGCCGCCTTGCTGCGCTGATTCGACAAGCGGCACGCCAGCCTTCCACCAGGGGAACGTACCAGCTTGTACCGACACAGGCATTGGCTGCTAGCCGATACATGCCGGCGAGTTTCTAGACCCATCGAGACGCCAGATCGAGGCCGAAAGCCGCCCCGTATTTGCTCATCTGATGAACGGATGAATGAATATACGGGGGACAGGGGACTATGGGGAAGAAGGGGTGAAGAAAATTTTCGGCCTTTACATCACGGGACCAATACTCTGACACGATGACCAAGGACTAGGTACTGCGAAAAAAAAATTTAGCTGAGAACGTATTCACCAACGCCGGGTTCAGCGCTGCAGAGTCAGATCCGGCTCAGCAGCCGAGGCATGGTGATCCATAGCGAGCAACCCTCGGACCACAAGCTGCTGTATGGTGATCACCAAGTGTTCGTCTCGCCCCATGGCAGTTGTTCACCGCGTGGCATTGTGGCTTGCCGTAGCTGCATCGGGGGCACCAAGGAACCAAACCACCCTTGAGCATGAGAGGATGCAGTCACCAAAGCAGGCCATAAAGAGGCTACAGTATGGCGTGAACTGTCGAGTACATGCTCTCGCCAAGCATCGTGATAGCCCACATTCCGGCCAAGCTGCAAAAGCCACACAAACTTCCCCAGAGGGGAATTAGCCTTTAGAGAACCTTGAGAACGCCTCTCGGACTACCTGATTATTAACTTTGATGAATGACATATCCAACTGTAATTCTCGTATGTTTCACCCCCGTTTCTTACAAGTATTCCTCGTCATCGTCGCTGTAGTATCCGCAGAGAGCTAGCAAAAACGCCGAGTACCGGCAGGTCTCGCGGAGTGCCCTCGGTCGTATATACGTGCTACTGCTAGTATTACGATTTGCGACGTACATGTAGGTACTCCGTCTACCAACGCACAACAAAGGGGAGTCCCACTGGGCCCCCATTCTCACAGGCAAGGCATGAGAAGAAGACCGTTGGCGGCGGTCAGCACGGCCAGACAGAACGGCAGAGGGATGCTGAAAGGCCGAGAGGCCCCGAGGATGGTGGCAGCCGCTGTTCCGCCCCTTCACGATGCACAATACCACACAGTAGAGCGAGCGACATCGCTTGGGACATGGCATCCGATTCTGGAGTAGGTATATGCAACGATTCAAAGAAGCAGCCCAGGATCGCGCGATGACCATCGATAGACTGGAAAAAACGATAGTGGATCTCTGTGCCTTGATCGGGGTGGCGACCCGATGCAGCATCGCCAGATGTGGTGTCCCTGAAACTACCACCTACCAACTACATACGAATCAGTTACTGTTCCATGGTGTTGCCACCAAGCTTGTGCCCAACCCAGGCTTTACAGGGTTGACTTGTCTTGGCCCGGTCCCGACAGAAGAACTGGCTGCCCGTTACCGCGGCATCTCCTAGCAATTCAATGCGTTATGCATGCGCCGCCAAGAGCACGCAGCGTGTGGGAAGGCGTCCTGCTAGCGCAACATGTTGCTTTGGGATAGGCTGAATGTCACTCTGGTCAGCTTGCCAAATTGCGTATACATGTCTCTTCACAAACTGAATACTGATTTTGGATCTCAAGTCGAGGATGGGATTCATATTGCCTCGTCCGCTTATGCAGACCAGCCTGACTTGATCCAGTACGGTATTATTACCCAGACCATGTTATATTCCTACCAGCGTGCTTGGACTTGTGCCTTACCTTGTTCTCACATTTCATACTCATCCGCATTGTAACCATTCGGAATTTAAGCAAGTAGGTACTAAGATTACTGATGGACGCTTGGTGATACAGGAGCCAAGGCTGCTCTCTAATGCATTATCAATATTTGCATACAAGTGTGCACTGGACAGGTACGAATAAGCATATATAGCAGACTGTGGATCTACCGTTTGCCAAAGATATACTACAATATTGCAGGGCATCAGGTTCCTCCGAACCATGCAACTTGACTGCAAGCGACACACGTTACGGAGAAAACAAGCAGAACTTTCAGCCACAAGATGGTGGTCGCAGGCAAGGACGGAGGTTACACGCATTCATCTACCCAACGTGTTTCGGTGAAATTCCCTTCGAGCATAGCTCTCTTTCATTTCCCATGCTTTGTGCCGCTACACGATGGATGCAGGGAAGGAAGCAGTACCACACCCCCCCAAATGCTATACTACCTAGTGCTGCGTACATGTAGTTCGAGTGGAAATAGGTAACTAACGTAGCTAACCGGAAGTCGTCCTTTTTGGGGGGTCTGCAGGATTGGGTTTCATTGCTTCTTGGGTGGCACACTCGTGCTAGTAATACAGTTGCTCCCAATCCCTGTCATGTCTGTGTGCGTATTCCTACACCAATAGTAGTGTGCGAGAGCCCAACGGCCGTAGCATTCTACCATGCTGGGTTATATTGCAGCAATAGGCGAACCCAATCATGTCTAGGCAAAGTTGAATAGGATGGACCCTGGCGCTGATCCTTCATCTGGAGCTGAGCCAGTCGGATTGAAGAGGTGAGAGGGGCATTAATATATGCACATGCATGTATGGCGAGTGTGGGAGGGTAGTATTGAGCTCGTGAATGAGGCCATAACGATGCAAATAGTCAAAGAAGCGAGGGCTGCCTTGTTTGGGATTCGGATCCTGGGATGGAAGAGGGAGGGCATGTGCTTTATCTACCATGGCTTCATCCAAATTCTGGTGGGTGATTTGCTCCAAAGAAGTTTGGCCGCATAGAATATTGGCTGATGGAAGTATATAGAACGAATACGCGAAATTTTTGTTCATTGAGTCTGTTCACATGTTTTTAAACGGGAGGGTGGGACGGGGAGCAAGGGCCGTCTGTCTACATGTAGGTTATACCGTCCATGTAGGATTGCAGGTTCCACGGTGAAATCATGGGGCAAAGTATGGCCTATCTTGCATGAAATATTCATATGCGTATTGTTGGCCGGTGCCGCGGTCTTTTCTGTCGTTGTTGGCGGAACGAGCGGAAGGTTATCTTTGTAACCTTTTTGTTCCTATAGATACAGCCCTCGCGAGGTGAGGTATATATCGCGGGGAATGGGGTAAAAAGGTCGGGGTAGATAAGATCTCGATATGCTTACCGTTGGTAGGTTGCGATAACACAGTAGTAGTACATACTCAAGATAAAAATAGATGTTTGTATTCGGCCCATGTTTTTGAGAGATTTTGAGAGAGCGGATATTTCTGTTGCCATAGTTACAGTATTTGCATCGCGTAGACGGCCCGATGGCTGGTACTGAGATTGAAAAAGCGAGAGACGGATTTGTAAGTTGCTCTGGTGAGCGTTTTGGATTTTGACATGTGAAGAGGTTTGTGAGCGAATCTCTATCATTACTGCTTCCCCCATTATGAATTTATTCATTATTTTACTTTGCTTTGTCTGCTTCTTCTCCTTTTTTTTGTGGGCTCTTTTTGACCGGTATTTCTTCTTCCTCTTCAATTTTCGGTTTCGATGCATGAAGCAGTTCATTTGGAGAGGGGACTAGTAAGCGATCTTACTTGTACTTGATGGGTGATGTTTCTCTGTAGTGCCGCTCGAGGGTAGTAAGATGAAAAAACTCTGTGATGTAAGACAAAGAGAAAACGGTTGATGGAATTCGTAGATCTTGTTTGTCAAAGGTAGTTAGTTTTCTTTTGTCAGGTACAGCTATTTTCTCTCTCTTGAGATTGGCTGTTTCAAGGATTTTTCCCTTCAACGTCTTGACTCAGTATCACACTTACATAGTATGAACGCTAGCAAGCGACGTGGAATCGACCCTCTTTATTTCTATAGCGTTCTAACCTCATAAGAACATGCTATTTGATTTTTAGTCAGGTCCTTGTTGAACTAAAAGTCGGCAATGATTTGAATGTGGGTAGCTTAATATTAGCGATCTACGACTCGCGTGGAACGTGGACGATGGCGGGCTTCCTACCCTACAACATCCTCACTTTTCAATATTTTCTTTTGTTGAATGTTGCGGCGGTGGTGCAATAAAAATTCATGAGATTGGGGTAAATAGTATTGATATATAGTACTTATCATCTTTTTTTTTTTTTCTTAATCTTTCTCTCCATCAAAGTTGTTGGTAGAGAAGCTCGATACTCATCTTGCTATTCAGATGGTTTTATATGCCAGTCTATTTAAAATTCGTTATGGTGGAATATCAGTCTTCATCTCCCTAGCATAGAACAAACAGAGGGGATTCAAGTAGGAAAAAAAGAAGAATAAAAAGCTAGGAATGGTCCTGAAGATATAGATTCTCCCTAATCCATACGCCGTCTTGGACAGATAGGGGTACGAGATCGGTCTAGGACGGCCAGACGAGAGACTAGATTCGCTTCATAATTACTAATATATGAGAATTTAAGCATATCTTAGCGAAGTATTGGTCCTCAGAAGCGACAATATCCCATCGGGCTGTGGATATACAGGCATTCAAAGAACGCAGATGCCGTGATGAACATGAACAGATCAATTGCTCTCGACAATCGGTGCTACGAAAAGCTATGACGAGGTCATCGCGAGATTGCCATCTGCAGCAAAGCGCGGCAGTTTAGGCTACCCCTGGGTCTTCTTTTCGAGAGCGGTCGGCAGTTATCCTAGCTCTCGTTGAATTAACTGCCGACCGACGACCCAACTTGCCGGTCCTTGTTTTTTTTTTGCTGCCATTTTCACGGCGGCCGATTGATTGGGATAGGGGGGATACGAAAGATTTGGTTGCAGTGGAAATGTCAAACGTTCCCGAGGACGGAAAAACCGGGGCGCCATCCCGGCTACTACACAGTGTCAATATGGCCCTTGTAATTATACTAGCCTCCCCCTTATTTATTGTAGAAAACACCACTTGTACGCTTTTTATATCAGACTTGACCGAGCCAAGACCGAAAAAAGTAAAAATGGCGCCGAAATATCACATATTAGTAGTGCTACTAGGACTTCCGTCATAACTTCTAATACAAGGGCAATACTAGCCCTACTGTCAAGCAGAAAACTTGCTTCTGGAGATGAGAAAAGGGGTAGAGCTGCACTCAGTTATCACATTACTAACCAGCATGAACAGCCTCATTAAATGATAGGGAAAGTAGCTGACCAGAGAAGTCAACATCATCATCGGACATTCTACTGTGTAGGTACTTCCACGGTTCCCGCGAAGCTTCAAAAGCCCGCCCCCCAGCCGTTTATGAGACATCAAAAGCCACCCAACTACAATCTAGCAATTTCGTCATCTGCAAAGCTTTAGTTTGGTTGCGTAAACAAAGCAGAGTTCATTCAAGGCGAACACTAGATATAGGCCAGGTTGGTCGTAGTACTGGGCATAACAAGAGTAACAGGTTGCAGATAAACTCCCTTGTTGGTCTCTCAATAAAGGAAAACAAGGTGAAGAGCCGCAATTCGAAAAGATACCAATCGACTGTGTGCTCTCAAACCACAAGCAGCACCAACCATGAAAAGGGTTAGAGTTAGTAACGGCAAGATTCCCTCAGAAGAGGCCTCAATTTCATCAAATTTCCACCATTATCCAACGGGTGCTGCGAATTATGGGACGAAGTTGTCGTAAAAAACGAAGCCTCCTACCAGAAATAACATCTCAACACCGAGAAAAACACATATTGGTAGCACATACGCACATACAAGCCTGTTAATTGATGAAATGACGACAGATAGTGAAACAATACTCCACGGCCTAGACCTTCTCGGCAAGAATCTATGATACTGTGTGGCCGGGGGGCCCCCGGTCCGGACGTTGAACCCGTCTCCCGGAACCCTTTCTATTGCAACCAACCTTCGTCAAGCGAGTATATAGGTATATATTATGTGCAGAATACATGGTAAACCCGCATATCCGAAGTTAAAGCTGAAACCGCCTTCTTCACTCAGAAACCACGCGTATCGTCCTTCGGACGAGAGGAGTCCCGGCACTGAACGAGGCAGACATACGAAAGTTGGAATCGATAAGACTCCACTTGCATGAAACTTAGCACTACAAGTGATAAGCTAGTCAAGAACCATGTCATATCTGCCAGGCAGGATCATCTTAAAAAGGAGAGCATAGCGGCCGTTGAAGAACGATCAAGAATTGCTCGCTTCTCTTCATCCTTTCTGCCCGGCTTGCCAGGTTATATTTCATACTCAGTCAAACATTCACAATGACTCGACGAGATCTGACAGCCGTTGCCATTGTCGGCTCACTCGTGGCAACGTTTCTAACCCAACGGCCAGTCACACAACACGAAACACTGATCGGTGGCCGCAACAACACTGTCCTCGTCCTCACTGATAGCCACCCTGGGCTGTGCAACGCTCACCTGGCCGCAGTCTCGGAGCTGATCGAGAGCCATCCGGCACTAGAAGTTCACTATGCCTCCTTCCCTAGCCTGGCAAACAAGCTTGGGCGCATCGAGATGAATGCAAAAGCAAAGAACCCGTATGCTAAAGTGCATTGGTATGAATTCGATGCCCCCAGTCTCGCAGAAGAGGCTGGCGTCCACAAGGGTGGCCCTAGCGGGATCAGGACTCCTCCCGGGCTGCCAGGGTTGCATGCATTTGGAGACATCATCTCATTCTTCATGGCCGCATGGTCCAAAGAAGCTCATTTAGAGATATATCGGAGCATTGTCGATATCATTGATGAGGTTGATCCTTCTCTTATCGTACTCGATCCATGGTTTCGGCCGGGCGTTGATGCTGCGCGAAGTTTGAACCGAAGACGTGCTTACGTTTCACCGAATGCACTGCTGGACGACCTGAGCGTGAGGCAGCCCCTTGGAGCACATTTTTGGAAATATCCTGGGTGAGTATACCAATATCGAACTTGCTTGAGATCAAGGGATCATCATGTATTGACGATGGATTAGCATGGCCACGGGCATTGCGTTTCCAATTCCCTGGAAAGATGTCCCAAAAAACATATACCAGCAAGCTTATTCTCTGATTCAAATCCTTGGATCGTCTGCCATTAGAAGCAAGCGTTCCTGGCTTCAGGAACAAGGCATCAAACATGCTATTACCGCTAGCGAGATAGATAACCCAGCGGTACCATGGATTGCCATGAGTTTCCCTGAAGCAGAGTTCCCATTGGGCTATATTCCGGACAATATTCATGTGGCGGGTCCGCTGGTTCTCGACGCAGCACCAGCGGAGACGCAGAGCCCTGAATTGGCGGGCTGGATAAAGAAGGCTCCTACCATGCTCATCAACTTGGGTAGTATAGTGGAATACGACGAAGCAATGGCCCGAGCTATGCTGACGGCCATCATTCCTGTCTTGGAGGCTGAAAACGTCCAGATCCTATGGAAGATTAAGAAGCGAGGACAATTCGGTGACGAGTTCTTGGAGCCGGCAAAGACGTACATTGAGAGCGGAAGGCTGCGGCTCGAATCCTGGCTCAGTGTCGATCCCACTTCTCTGTTTAAGACTGGTGACATTGTGGCCTCCGTGCACCATGGAGGCGCCAACTGCTTCTATGAAGCGCTGCTGTGAGTGATCCCATCTATCCCTTTCTCCTCGAGTTGGCCATCTGGCCATGACCGTTGTAGATTGAAAGTTGAAGAAACTCCCTTTTGCTAACCAAAGCTCGGTGAATCTGCAGTGCTGGTCTCCCAAGCGTCATCCTCCCGCAATGGGCCGACCATTACCGATATGCGCAAACAGCAGAATACCTTGGCGTTGGCGTTTGGCCCTCAAAGGAGACGTCACCAGGGTGGGATGCTGCAGCTCTGACCGAGGCATTCCTCAAGGTGCTGAACGGCGAGGCTAGCGAGGCCATGCGGGAAAAGGCCAAGGCGCTTTCAGAGAAGGGGCTGCGGTATGGCGGAGACAAGGCAGCTGCTGCTCTGATTGCCAAGCTGGCGAGAGAAGGCCGCTGAGGAGCAACGAGCGTTGTGGTTTGCAAAAGGACGCCGCTCGTTGGCTCGGTAGTTGCACGCACGCGTTTGTTAGAGTGCTCCAACGGCCGCTTGCGAGAGGCACATGATGGCCCGGGCTGAGATTAGGTCACTGCATATCAGAGATCTGATCTCCTGGAGGCCCGCAACCTTGATTACCCCGTACTAATAGCGCGGGACGTTAATAGTGGGTGGGTGTAAGTCGGTCAGGCGCAGGCTTCTGGCGTATTGGAGAACTCGGGCCAGCTGATGATGATGGATGCGTTATGCCGTAACGACTAAAGTTTTCTGCTTCAATCGCGTCTTCCAGCCGAGATGCTTGTTGGCTCGCATGACTTGCGCCGTCACAGCCATTATGCGGGCAAAAGACGAAATCCAAACGCCATTCCGTGCAGCTGAAGTTTCAGCAGCTGCGTGGCTTGGAGAAGCTTGAAGCATGAGTCGAGCCCAATAATGCGGGGTTGAGCGGTGTGTTGCACTAACAGTGCCAGGCTTCAGTCTGACGGCAGGAAATTAGCATCAAGTTAGCATCATCTCTATTTGGACAAAAAATTCATACTTGGGCATTCATAGTAGTAGGTAGTTTAAAGAATCCATATAGTAGCAGTAATTGTTGCATGTATGCATCCTTCTAGACAGCACGACTAAGAGGCTGCTTCGTGTTGGCCAACTATTGACACTACTTTCCAGATTAGCCTGGAACAGCCGACTTGAATTCTTATACGTACCAACGCGTCTCATTTGCCACATGCGCTTCGATTGTTCCTGAACAGCGTTGCATCGGCAGCTGGGGACTGCAACAGTCAAAGCTTGCGAGACAACGGCCCGCCATATCTGTCTCACTAGACAGCACAGAACACTTGAAGAGTTCTGATTCGGTTCCAGTGCTGAGGCTCGACTATATTAGCGCGAGGTGCAGCTGATCAAAGAGAAACACCGTGCGTCGACCAGGGCTCAAATACAATCGAACGACTGCCACAGGGCTCAACATTGTCGACCTTTTGAGCAACAGACAGGGTCCATGGATTCTCGCGCTGCGTGGCAGAGTAACAATATTGGATTTAATTCCATCGCAGATAGGCCTAATTTGTCCAACTGCATGAGTTTGACGGACAGGCATCTGCAGGGTGCACCTCTTCCTTCATCCCGCAGTCTCTTCCCACGACTCTCCGCCTATTGCGTGATGCCGCCCCCAACACGATGACTTGCGTTTTGTTACTGTAGAGAATACTGTATTTGGACTGATAGCCAAGGGTCGCGCAACTAAGTTATGCGCAAATCCTACTCCGTCCATGGTGTGGCAGTCTTACTGATCGCCACTCTCCCTGTTGCTGTTGGTCCAGAGTCAGCAAGAAAAGCCTGGCCCCCTACAGCTTGCAGGCCGCCAACCAGCTTTTTATCGTTTTACAAGCAGTTTTTCAAGTATAATCAAGACATTGCGACATGATCCCTCTCCGCAGTGTAGTATTTTCTCACCTGTGCATGGATTCTCAATAGTCTTGATGCCAATGCTTTCAATTGCTTTGACAGTGCGCAGTCTTCAAGTGCCGCCCATCACATGGCAGTGGCTTCAGCGGTGGGTGGCGCCAAGCAGTATTCCCCTCCCCACTAACTGCGCCTGGAACCAGCTCTTGGCGGTCCTTGTCAACTGATCAGTGACCTCCAGCGGCCAAGCAGCCAACATTGAAGCTAAGAGAGTGGGCGAGGACCCTTGTGGGCGGGTTAGCGCTGAGGCATGCAGCTGGGGCGATAACAATGAGTGCGCCGATAAGTCGTCACTGTAAGTCGCCGAACGCAACTTAACCCTCCGCCTTTTCTCTCTTGCGGGAAGAGCTGAGGTTCTCATCTTTCAACCATCTAAGCGCTCTCTCTTCCACTCCAATCTCGCCAGTATCTCTGCGAGCTCAGGGCGCGGAGAGCTCTGAGGTTGTTTGTTTTCCAGGCGGGAGCATCGAGGCGGCCCGTCTCACATTCCAGCTTGCGCTGTCACGGCTGCAACTCGACTGAGCCTCGTTCACCATGGCGACCACGACGACAGCTTCGGCTGCGCCGACCTCGACCGTCCGAGTCGCGCCGCAAGGCGGTATCTTGGAGGGCGGGAACCCGTCGGTGTACGACCCCAAGAATCCCATCACCATCTTCATCATCCAGGTCAGTGCCGCCAGAGAAGCCAAAGGCAGCTTTCTGCTTTGCGACGACAAGAGATGCTAACGCCAGCGCAATTAGATCTCTCTCATCGTCATCATCTGCCATATCCTGCATTGGCCTCTGTCCAAGATCCGCCAGCCCCGGGTCATTGCCGAAGTCATCGGAGGTATCATTCTTGGTCCCTCTGTTATGGGCCACATCCCCGGATTTCGAGATGCCATCTTCCCCGCGGCTTCAATCCCTAATTTGACGCTTGTCGCAAACCTGGGTCTTGTCCTCTACCTGTTCATGATTGGCCTCGAGACGGATGTTCGATTTCTTTTGAGCAATTGGCGTGTTGCCACCTCCGTTGCGTTTGCCGGACTGGCGCTGCCTTTCGGCGTTGGCTGCGCTCTTGCCTGGGGTATATACAACGCCTTTCGCGACGATCCCGGTATCAAACCAATTAGTTTCAGCGTGTACATGCTGTTCGTTGGTATCGCGGTTGCCATCACTGTAGGTCTTCCCGAAGCGATTAATTTGTCCATTTCACTGGCCACTCCAGTCCTAACCTTCCTTAGGCGTTCCCCGTGCTTTGCCGTATCTTAACGGAACTTAAGTTGCTTGACACCCCGGTCGGCATCATTACTCTATCGGCCGGTGTTGCAAACGATGTCGTTGGTGAGTGCTACCGGAGATATTGACGTCGCAATCTCTTACTTATATGATTCCTAGGGTGGATCTTGCTGGCCCTTTGTGTTGCCCTCGTCAATGCCGGCAAGGGTATCACAGCGCTGTGGATTTTACTGGTTGCCGTTGGCTACATCATTTTCCTCGTAGTTGCTGTGAAACCCGGCCTTCGATTTACCTTGCGCAAGACAAACAACCTCGAGAATGGCCCTTCGCAAAGCGCCATTGCTCTCATTCTTCTTATTGCCCTCGCCTCCGCCTTCTTTACTGGAATCATCGGTATTCATCCCATCTTTGGAGGATTTGCCGCCGGATTGATCATTCCACGTGAGCACGGCTTCAACATTATTGTCATTGAGAAGCTCGAAGATCTCATTGGTTCCATTTTCCTGCCTCTTTACTTTACTCTCTCTGGTCTCAGCACAAACCTCGGTCTCCTCGACAACGGAACGACATGGGGATATGTATTTGCTACCACTTTTGTCGCTCTCATTACCAAAATCGTAGGTGCCTCCTTGGCGGCTCGACTTAATGGCTTAGTTTGGAGAGAATCGTTCGCCATTGGTGTCTTGATGAGTTGCAAGGGTCTCGTTGAACTGATTGCTTTGGTAAGTTAAGCTGAAAAAAAAATTGCTTATCCCCTTTCTCTCAAGAAGCTAAACTGACATCCATACCTCTCAGAACATCGGTCTTCAAGCCCAAATTCTCAGCGTTAGGACTTTCACAATCTTCGTCGTTATGGCTCTTCTTGCCACCTTCTTTACGACACCTGCCGTCTCTTACCTGTACCCTCCTTGGTATCAGAAAAAGATTGCTGCTTGGAAGCGCGGTGAGATTGATTGGGAAACTGGTTCTCCAATTACCCAAATAACCGTGACCCCTACGGCTGAGATAGACCACAAGAGGGTTAGGCGGTTACTCGTTTACCTTAGATTGGATAACATGCCCGCACTACTCAACCTTCTTTCGCTGTTCGGAAGCTCTCGCGCCTTAGAGACATCGAGTGGAAGCTCTGGAGACTCCAAGGGAAATTACAATGAAGACATCAAAGCACCTGTCCGAGCGCACGGGCTGCGACTCCTCGAATTAACAGATCGTGACTCATCCGTCATGACGGTGGCCCAGGTTGACGAATATAGCAGACACGACCCTGTCGTCAACATTTTCCGCAGCGTTGGTCAGCTTCACAACATTTCAGCATCTGGCGAAGTTGCTATCATGCCAGAGGATCGTTTCGCTGATACGCTTGTCTCGCGCTCATCTAATATGACATCTGATCTCCTTCTCCTGCCTTGGACTGAGACCGGTAGCATGGGAGATGCTCAGATCGTTTCTTCAGCCAATGTTGAGGACCGGCTTGCGTCTAGCTACATGTTGTTTGTGAAATCTGTCCTTCGTGCTCCCGAACTCAACATTGGCGTGCTCTTCACGCGAAGTCGAGACGACGTAAAGAGGAAGAACCAGGGAAATGAGCAAGCCAAGCTTCGCCGACAATACTCTTACGACGTATCGAAACGCGACTTCCCCACTGCGCCTCTAGTTTCTCGCATCCACAAGATCTTCTTCGTCTATACTGGAGGACGAGATGACAACCTTGCTCTTAATCTTGTTATTCAGCTCTTGGAACGCGAACACGTCACCGCAACCATTGTCAACGTCGCTGAGATTGCCGAGAAATCTTCATCAGCAAATGAAAATGTCATTGATTTAGTCATGAGCAAACTCTCCCGAGATGTATCTTCCCGGATCAACGTCGAGAAGCACTCCATTGCCCCTACTGTTGAAGATTTGCTCAACTTCGCCGACCCTGCTCCCAACGCCACCGAGTCAGAAGTTAACAAGCCGACACTAGTTGTTTTGGGTCGCAGTGGAAGCGTCGCTTTGGAGGAAGGCAAGCTTACAGAAAGGCCTAGGGAGGATGTTCAAGGCTGCTTGGGCAAGCTTGCTGCTCATTTTGTTGCTAGCGGAGTGACGACAGACTTGTTGGTCGTGCAGGCTAAGGCAGGCGGTGCTTCATCATGATGAATATGATACCTTTTTGTATATTGTGCTTTGGAATATTGAATGATTCATACATCTGCATATATGGGCCTGCAGATTTGATAGTTATATGACCATATATGGCTTGCTAGCGACTATATCGTTTTACTTTAGTATCATTCACATGCTCGCTTTTCATACTCGTGACGTTTGTGTGTCCTACCTAGCTAGCATGACTCTTATTGTAATAGATGAAATTATGCTCATGAAACTTTCTTGATTTTGTTGTTGGAGTCTGGGACAGTGAACCCGCCGATTCACGAGTGGTAAGAAATTTCATCTTGATCCAAACTTTGCGCTTCACGGCAATCTCGTTCGTCTACTCTCCCTGAACATGTTCAAGCCCTTCAACACGATTTGTGCCAACTTCGGACTCTCCAGAGCTGTCAATGAACTTGGCTACTTACAAAAAAGCTATTGGATACCCATGCCTTCTCGTTTAGCCCACTCACCGCTGTTGCCGCCTGTATATTGGCGTCATAGGTGTCTCTGCATTCAATAGTGGTAAGTGATCCTGCATCATCGCGTTTGTCATGAAAGGAGCACCATTTGGACGTAGTTGCCTCGCCTGGAAGCAAGCTCTTTTATTCTTCTTTAGAAGCTTTTCTTTGCATTCGGCATACCGCAAGCTCATCTGCCAACACTTTCTAGCAGGCAAGAAATCATTGCCACTTTCCGCGACTAAATTTAGTGCAACTTGACCTATAATAATGCCTTTTTTTTTTCCAGAACAGATTCTTGAACGTTTCATTTGTTTGCTTTATTTCTAACTTATGTACTATTGGATATCGGCAACGTGTTGTTGATATTTCATCTTCACCGTGCTGGTATACCCTTCGTATGTCTGAGCTGGTTACTTCCAGCGAGTGACATCTCAAATGGTACGCAACAATCTATTTTCGTTGTACATCTATGTTGAGCCGTAAATCTCTTGCCTATGATACTCTTCTATTCTTGCTGCTTGTGTAGTTTTTCAATTGAGGATGATAAAAAATTCTTGAACTGTGTCAAGCTGATGATACTCTGGATATACTCGATGTAATTGCACTTGTATGGCACTTAACATATTAAGGTAAATTTGTGGAAGTTGGTTTGTTATTTTGATTGAAAGCTTGAAAGCTGTTTTGTGTTTTTCTGATCGTGTTGCTTACGGCAAGGTCGTCACCACGCACGAGGGACGTGGCACTTGACAGACATAAGACAATTAAAGAGAGAAAAAGAATGAAAAAGAATGAAAAAAGACATTATAGCATCACGAGAGGAAAAGGTTCAAACTGAAGGTCTTGCATTCTACTGCATGCATCGGCTGACACCTCTAATCTGCTGGTGTAGCTCAAGTACTGAAAAGCGGAGTAGCATGCTTAGCGCACTTGTATCTCTTGGAGAAAGCAGATCCTTTATCCATATCTTTGTTTTGTCGTGATAGTTTGTTTATTTTGATATCATTCAGCACAGATGTCTTGTGCATGCTATAAAATACAAGTATTGAAACGACTAGGTCCCTGATAAAGGTGCTGTGGCTAAACGGAAAAGCAAAGAGCTAAAGACAGGTCGTATAATTCAAACTCTTCAACAACATTTGGCAGAAATATTTGCTATGTGTTGGATTCCGTAAAGAAGAATATTCTGTGTTAGGAACAATCTTGTTATTGTTGTCTCGCCAGTGATACAGCTTCGATTGAATGTATGGTAGAGCGAGGCAAAGGTTATTGTTTCTTTTTATCCCTCCCCCTCTTCCCCCCTTTTTGAAACCAGAAAGAAAAAAAGGGAAAGAGGAAAAGGAAAAGGAGAAGAGAAAGAGAAGAAACTTATGGTATGCTTCATGCTGGGTTGGGCCGACTTTATCTTGCTCCTAGACAGCATATTGGAAAAAGGTGTTAAACAGCAAATTGCCGGTGCAATAGACGTGTTTCTGCCAACCTATCAACGATAAGTGAAACATGTGAGAAGCTATACGGGATACATAAAGATGTCGATCAAGACAACATTGGACGATATTGGATTGTAGTTGGACCACCAAACTCTCATTCCAGTGGACATCGCTGTCGAAATGCCTCTGCTCTATCAGTAGCCACAGGTAAAAGAGAACCATGTGCAAACTCCTGGAGTGATATGTATTTGGATGAAAGAACCAAACAACATATTAATGAAGGTGGTCATGAATATGTTTGTAATTTTTAAATTGTAAAGTCGCTTCGAGTGCTGAGCAGTAGCTAGTAGTAGTACAAGTACTGAAAAGGGGTCGATGAAGGTCGGAGGAAAAGGTCATCTTGAAAAGGTCAACTATCGTACAACTATTTCCCAAGTTAGCAAAAGCAAAGAGAGAGACAACTGCAGACTGTATCACTGCCATCATAGGCGGTTCTTCTCTCTTTTGGCTGCTTAGGTTTCTCTTGTTCACTTTTCATGTGTAGTGGTGCGTAGGACAGTTAGGCTCGTCTTTGCCGTCTTACTGCCATGATAGATTGGCTGTCGTGGGAATTTCAAGCCTAATAGCCGCAGACAGCTCATGAAAAGTTTGGAAAAGTGGCATCACCTAGCAATCCATATTCCTGGGTGGGTGGCAAAAGTTCGACCCAGGCCTTCACCGCTGTAAGCTGTCATGGACGGGCCATTCTCAAACAAGCAGCATATGCACAAAGACGCGAAAGGCTGATATTGTGTAGCTGAAAGAGATGAAGGAGAAAGTTCTGAATGGTAAAGAGATATGATGAAAGGGGGCAATAGAGAGCCTCAGCTGCGGGATCATATGGCACAACAACGATTCAAATTTCAAGGAAAGCAGAGTTAATACACCTAGGCTAACGCGCGTGGAAGGAAAATGCTTAGGGCAGTAGTTGAATTGACGGGGGAAAATGAACACAGAATATTGCCCTTGCCCTGCTATCACTACACAGGAAAAAAGGGGGGAAGAGGAGGCATTGTGTCGGCGACTGCTAAACCGACGTTGGTTGGGAGAGCCATTTGATTTTGGTGTGTAAGAGCGCTACGTGATTCCCTTCTAGGAAGTAAAAAATCATCACATGCCGTGCAGCAAGAAATTGAAACAAGGGATCAATTGTTCTAGTTGCTAAAGTCGTGTCATACCGCGGCGTTGGGTCCAGCCAGGACTAGACTTTTGGGGGAGTGAAGGAAGCAACTTGGTCCATAATTACAAGTGAAGGAGGCGGCGTGAGGAAATATCCTGACCATGTTTTTTCTGTCCCTTTTTTCCCGGTTTTGCAACGAAGGCATGGGCACCCCGGCGGAGGCGACGTTAGCCCTGGTGTTGTCCTCCGTAACAGAGATGAGGTATCACTGGTGAACTCACGAGAGCAGTGGCTATGAGCGATATACACTGGAGGCACCTGGAGTCTGCTGAGCTGGGAAACATTTTTTTCTCTCGCTACTGGGCTCGCTCGCTAGCAGGGCCGCACTAAGACGGAGCGAGCAGCCGGGACTATGGGGATCGGCAGAGGAGTGAATAGTTGCCAGATGCATAAATACGCGGGCTGTGATTGGCGAGAGGCCATGCCCCCGGACGCTGTTTAGGACGGAAGCAGTAAGTCGACGCAGCGTTGAAAGGGCGGGCAGGCTGATAATAGCGTAGGGCTCGGAAACGGCCTGAGGCTCTCGGGGCCATGCACAACGGCCAACTCGATTCGACCGTCATCCTACGTCACGCTCTGGAGGAGGCCTCCCTCTCGATATAGCGATAGTATGAGGCATTTGGCTTTGGGCCGGGGCATGGCTGTGCTGTGCTGCGCTGTGCTGTGTCTTGCGGTGAAGCTTTTCACCGTGTCTAGACCAGTCCAATTCTCAGCGCCAGAGTCGATCGCTGGTGTAAGAGGCCAGTGCGGCAGATGCGGAGTTTGCCGCGCCAGTCGAAAAATCTTTTTTGGTGATGATGGATCCCGGCAGTGTGTTACTCGTATATGCTATCTAGTGCTTTTTGGATGTCTTGATTTTTTTTTTTATGATTAGTAAAGCTCCGTCGACCAAGTTGCTGAGCTGTTTATACACGTATCTATGGAGTATGCTCTATGGCCTTAAACAACGTTGGAGTGTTTTCATCTACTCTACTCACTCTTGATGCCATCTTGCACTGCTAGATTCACTTACACAAGAACTCAAGTCTCACCGCTCAAGGGTCGGAGAATAAACCGGACGTGCTAGTCTCCTTACTACCGTAGCACCACCAGCTAATACTGCATGGACAGCACAAAACATTCAAACGCAGGTGAGGCGCAGAAAAGGTCGCGAGAGAGCACTGGGAATCGCCAAAGTGCCCGAGTCTGGGGAGCAGCTGGTCGATGCTTGCTGCTCCCTGTAGCCCTAAGCCATGTCCGTCACTGGACCCTTAGCGGGTAGTCGGTACTTTGGCGAGCGTGGATACACAGTGCGGACGCAATACAGCCCACACTGGCAGCTCCATTATGCACGGGCTGCAGCCAGAGTGCGCGTACAAGCATATTACGCCCCCATTGCCGCATATATTCTCCACGTTGAAGCATCGTCAAAGCGTCGTTGCACGCCATCACCACATTGCTGCATGCTCTGGATCCGCCCATCTCGAACCGGATCGTTGCCACGGCCGCCCCTCCTCGCGAAATTCCTGGGCCGCTCCCCATATTTTGCCATGAGCTTATCATAGAGCGAGCCTTGGCATCTAGGAACATGCACCGCGCGCAACCAGACGCACACGCCCCTACCACCTGGCGGTTGATGGCCATGACCTCATGCGCTTGGCTGTACGAAGCCTTTGGCAAGGTGCCTCTCGCCGCCTCCCACCTTTATGCGTTCCCGAGTGCTCGCTCGACGTCTAGACTGAGAGATATTCACGCATCATGAGTATATAGACGGAGGTATGGACAAAGGACCAGCACAGAATACCTAGCACGGAACTGGCTGGGAGCTATAGCTATACAGAGAGCCATATAAGAACGAGCCCTCTGCTACTCCACAGGTCTTCTCAGGGTACCACAGCTCACAGCCCTAAATCACTAAAGCAGACAGCATTGTTCGGCAGCGACAATTTAGCGGCGGCTAATTGCGTTGACGATGGCGGTAGTGTCGCGGGCTCCGCCTATCACAGGTACCATACATCGAGAAGAGCGACAAATGCAGCAAGAAAATGAATGGGATGGCCCCGAGCAATGCTTGGCATCGCAACGGCGTGGCCTACATGGCTGAGTCAATGTTTTGCGCCTTTGACGATGTGTCTTTCTATTTCTTCAATACTGGTACCTTCGAAAGCCATGTTAAGGGCGCTGCTGGTCTAGGCGACTAAGGTTTGCAGAGTACAAGGTATTGATTGGGTCTTCGTGACCTCCTCCTTTCTCTCTTCTATTTTCTCCTCTTCAGTCGGGCTCATTCAGCAGTCCTGTCAAACGAGACTTGCGGAAAAGAGACTAATGAAGACTACAGCTCTGTCATTTTGTTCTCTAGCACAAAGCTAAGAGCCACGCGGTCATAAAAGTTGCGCCGACAGAAAAGTGGCCATATCACGTCCACTGGCAAGCGCATGTCTCACTAGAAACATAAACTTCTGCGCAACAAGTCATCGAATGTCTTAGTAAAATATGCGAGTGCGGACACCAGTGCTTTAGTGGGAGAATTGCCCGCTCTCTATCGCGCCACGGCTGCGAAAGCCTCCTCTATCCCTATTCAATTGACACAATTGCTGGCTAATATGCCACTAGCCACGCTTGAATAACGGCAACTTGCGGCATTACCACAATCGAACAGATTCTATTAATGCATAGACAAGCGATTCTGAAGCGCTAGACAATGCGACCAGACCACGATCTATGGAGCCCGACTTACAAAAAATTCTAAAATTCTCCTCAGTGCCCCAGAACCAGGCAATAAGCTGTCAGTTGTCCCAACAGCCATCCTGAGAACAAATGATAGGGCTTGTCAGGAGAGTGGGAATCTGTCCTCTTATAGGTGCTTACTGGAGGAAGCGAGCAACCCACTTTCGGACCTTTTACCAGGACATCTCTAGCGACGCAGCACTATCATTTGCGCGTATTTGCTTGCGCAACACGACTTGCACGTTGCATTGGCTGAATACGAAGCACTGCTCAAATACGAAGCACTGCCGTGAGTGGTGAAACTGCAATGGAAGCGACCTGCCTTTCTTGATGCTGGTGCTGGTGCAGGTGCATCGCTCGGATCTGCGGCCTGCCGTTGCATCGTTGCATCTTTCTCATATATCACCACCATATCATCTCGTCGTTGGTTGTGTGAAAGCGATGGTGAAACTTATCTCTCCGCCATGTGAAACAACAAGAAGATTCTCGCGCGTCACAGCATGGTGGATGGTATTGCCGTGTGAACCGCAGCTGAACGTCGACGGCGTGAGCAAGAAAACTCCCTCCTCCAGATTTTCGATGGCCAGCGGACAGTGTCAATGTGCTTCTGATAACCTGGCAATTGTCTTCATACAAATCTTTTTCTTGTCAGAAAACGATTCTAAAGAAAAACTTTCCAATTTCAACACGATAGACGGACTGGAGAGAGAGAGAGAGAGAGAAAAAAAATCGGCCCTTGTGTTGGCTCACCGTCGATAGTCCTGCAGCCAAGCGGGAGATGGTGGGTACGACCCGATGAGACATTATTTCGGCGCCCACGTGCGTGAGCTACCACTGTCAGATGGATACGCGCCAAAGGGCCCTCGCGGCGCCCGCAGCCTCTATTTGACGGTTTCGGTTCCGTTTCGAATATTGATTTCTTGTTGCGATGCCACGTGCTCGAGCTCTGGCTGCATTTGGCTGCGAAAATTTACTCACGCTACCGTCTTCAGATTTTCCATCGCCAACACAAGGCGTTTTACCAAAGTCCCTTTGTCGATGACTCGAATGGGCCATTTAGAGGGCCTTCTAGAACTCGAACAACGGAGCTGTTGGTCATAGAGCAAGAGACCGGTGGATAAGCCATTAACCACCATCACCACTGGCGCGATGCAATCCTCATCGCCAAGTGCAGTCGCGGCATCGCCAAGTATGCTGGTGGCATCGCCAAGTACCTTGGCTGACATATGTCATTTAAAAAATTCATCTACTGCCAAGCTGTCGCATGCCCAATTGCCGAACCGTTGGATCAATTGATCGCAGTAGTGCCATGCGGATTTAGCACATCGGCAACGCCCAAGTTGTAATTCCCGTGATCGAGATTGCACACCTTACGAAGCTGCACTTGTTTAAACGGTCATAGCCAAAAAGCCAAGTTCAATGTGGTGAATCAGGATATACGTGATGTTCATTGCCATCATTATTATTATATATTACAAAATGCTTCTATATCCATGCCCAGGTGCTGGGATCATTTAGGGTTCCCTTGGTCCTTCAAAGCTTGCTTCAACGCCTTGTCTGCCTTTTCCTGGCGCCTCTTGAAAGGTCGAAGAAACATATCAGGAAGAGGATTGGCGCTGTTTGCATGATCTGCAGCAAATTCTACGCTGGCGCTCGAGCCAAATGCGCGATATGTGGTCTGGACTGCAAAGTGCAGCAGGTCTGAGCCGACTCCCTTTCCTCGGTACCGCAGCTTGGTGGTCCAGGCGCGGATGATGCCTTGACCATCTGTGCTGGCCTGCGCAGAACCCTTCTTCTTATTTAACTTGTCTCCCTTCAGTCTGAGAACGAGAGTGCCGATTAGTTCTTCGCCAAAGAAGGCCGAAATGATGACATCCTCCTTGCCGTCGGGGCCGGTGATCCATTCCTTCCAGCGAAACTTTTCCGCCTGCTCAAGGTACCTCGACGTGTAAAATCGAACGAAAGACAGATATACGATGACGACGCCGCAGAGCATCGTCAACACGGTGCCGTAGCCGGCATACTGGTATTGGCGATATACGCCGGCGCACGTCGCTAACAAGCCTGCGAGGCAGAGGGGGTTGAAGATGATGGCGGCAGAGGCAGTTTGACGTTGCTGCGCAATGCTATCGGCCACCAGGTGCAGCGCATCTTGCTTCTCGCTGTCTCGCGTGACCACGCGATATGAGAGCGGCAGCACGCCGTCGAGCGCGTCCTTGGTGTCGCTGTTGTCGCTTGTTGGCTTCTCTGCCATGGTTTGGGAGTGTGTTGTGAGAGACATGGTAAGGGTTGATAGCGAGAGCTGAACAGAGGGGAAAAAAATATTAGATCCCGGGCTGGGCTTGAGCTAGGGTTGAGACCGACTGGGTATGAAGCTGGGATGGCACAATCCCCAAAAACCCCAAAAACCTTGTTCTTCTTCTTTTCTCTGCTCACACGATCAAAAACAGGCAAAGAAGAACGAAAACCGCTCAATGTAAAAACAACCTTAAAAGTAAGCTGCAGAAGTGGGAGCTATCCTGACCTGCATGCAGGCTTGCTGAGTGAAGCTGAAGTGGCGCACATGAGTGAACTTGGAATTGATCAGCAGCTCATCGAGTGGGAATATTCTCTGGGTCGGTGGATTATAACTCGATCTTCTACTGCAGCGCCACCAGAAATCGCAGAGATTCAACGACCTTGGGGCTCGCACGTGGGAGAATGCAGGCCTCATGCGCGGAGAGGCGTCAAGACGAGGCGAGCCCAGCATGGATCCGGACCCGGGAGTCGCCACACTCGGTGTCCCTATTAGGCAACCGACCGGATCCACGCCTGAGACCCTTAGCCTCACCACGTCTCGGTCGCCAAACCAGACGACCGGCAGCGGCAGACAAGGCAGTGGCGCTCTCAGATGCTCAGCTGCGAGCCTTCAGCATCCTCACAAGCCGTAATTTTGGCAGCAAAAGAGCCTGCCAAGCCGCGAGTCAGCGCCGTATAGCCATGGCCTCTGGTGGCTTTTGACTCTCGGGACTCCTGTGCGCGATGCAGCTAGATTTCAAGCATATCGCAAAGTGTGGAGAGGCTGCGTCCCCCATACAGATGGGGTTATCTCGACAACGTGCCGATTTGCGAGCCCCTCATTGGCCGATCCTCCACATGCATCGACGCAAACCAGCATAGAAGCCATGTCGGGTCGACCACGCTCTGGGCTTTTTTATCTCGAAGCTGACAGGCATTGCAGCCAATAGATTGACCAGATTGGCGTTAGAGTGCCTGATCTACTGCCCTTCCATCTCCGTCTATGGCTGCATTCGCGTCAGTTCATTATCAGTTTTGCTCCCGCTCCGAGAGGCAGACCAAGGCTAATATTGGACTTCGGTCGTCTTGGCTGGGAAAAGGGCCCGAGGAATCGATCCACGATGGATCAAGCTGCCTGAAAAAGATTAAGATTAAAATCTCCTTCACGGAGAATGTGAAGCAGTGTGGCTGTAGTATATATTTCCCCTGAGCCTGTCCCTTGTATCTGGCTGGACTTTTCTTTTCCCCCCTTCTTTCCTTGTTTCTCAACCACAAGTGTTCAAGACCCCCTTGTCTTTTTCCTCTTCTTACTGTAGAAGGGTGATACAAGCTTCTTCTTTGACTTGTGTTGTTGCCTCTCATTACTACCTTTCTCTTCTTCTTCTACTTGTTTGCACTTTCATAAAAGATAAAAGCACAATGGCCTTCGGCAAGACTACCGGAGGCAACAGTGCCTACCACAACTATAACAATGACTTTCTCCACGTCCAGGATCTGAACGAGCGCCGCCGCCTGGCCCTTGCGGAGATCGACAAGGCTCCCTTCGGCTGGTACCATGTCCGTGCCATCGTGGTCGCTGGTGTTGGTTTCTTCACGGACTCCTACGATATCTTCACTGCCTCCATGTTGACCATTATGCTGGGCATCGTCTACTTCCCCGGTGTTGGTGTTATGCCTACCTCATCTGACAGCGCCATCAAGCTCGCTACTTCCGCCGGTACCGTCATTGGTCAGGTTGGATTCGGTATCATGGCCGATTTGGTCGGTCGTAAGCGCATGTACGGTCTCGAACTCATTGTCATCATCTTCGCTACCATCGGTCAGGCCCTGACCAGCGGCTCCCCTGCTTGCGATATCATTGGCCTCATCATCTTCTGGCGTGTGATTATGGGTATCGGTATTGGTGGAGATTATCCCCTTTCTTCCATTATTACCTCTGAGTAAGTTGATTCATTCTTCCAAAAACTAATTGAGTTGGTGAGCGTTGGTTCACTTACACGATTTGCTCCTGTACAGGTTCGCTACTACCAGATGGCGTGGTGCCATGATGAGCGCCGTCTTTGCCATGCAGGGTCTCGGTCAGCTCACCGCTGCTCTTGTCATGCTCTTCGTCACTCTCGGCTTCAAGGGCTCACTGTCCTCTGCTGCCAAGGTTGCCCAGTGCTCTGGTGTTTGCCAGCTCGCTGTCGACAAGATGTGGCGTACCCTGATCGGTCTCGGTGCCGTTCCCGCCTGCATTGCCCTGTACTGTAAGTGACTAAGACAGAAAAAAGGGACCCACTTAATAAATCCGTGTAAGAGAGAGTGCTAACTTGGCCGTTACTCGCAGATCGTCTCACCATCCCCGAAACTCCTCGTTACACTTTCGATATCGCTCGTGACGTCGAGCAGGCTGGCGATGATGTCGTTGCCTACGTCACTGGCAAGCGCGAGGGCCACCCCGACGAGATTGCCCGCATCACTGCCAACAAGGCTGCCCAGCAGACCCTCCAGGTCCCCAAGGCCAGCTTCAAGGACTTCCTCGCCCACTACGGCAAGCTCAAGAACTTCCTCGTCCTGTTCGGCACTGCTGGTTCATGGTTCTGCCTTGATGTCGCCTTCTATGGTCTTTCTTTGAACAACGCTACCATCCTGGGCGTCATTGGCTACTCTACCAAGAACGCTGCCACCGTCTACGAGTACCTGTACAACACCGCTGTTGGTAACATTGTCATTGTGCTCGCCGGTGCCGTCCCTGGATACTGGGTTTCCGTCGCTACCATTGATACCCTGGGCCGCAAGACTATCCAATTTGGTGGCTTCGCTATCCTGACCATTCTCTTCATCATCATGGGTTTCGCCTACAACCACCTTAGCTCCAACGGCCTTCTTGCCATCTACGTTATCGCCCAGTTCTTCTTCAACTTTGGTAAGTAAATTTACATAATCATTCTTTTCCTTCAAGCAAAATACTAATGAGCACGCGGCACAGGCCCCAACACCACCACCTTTGTCGTTCCCGGTGAGGTGTTCCCCACCCGTTACCGTTCCACCTCCCACGGTATCTCCGCTGCCTCCGGCAAGATCGGCTCCATCATCGGCCAGGGTGCCATTGCTACCCTGCGCACTCGCGGCGCTACCAAGGAGGTCACTGCTCCCTGGATGGACCACGTCCTTGAAATCTATGCCCTCTTCATGTTGCTCGGCTGCTTCACCACAATCTTCATCCCCGAAACCGCCCGCAAGACCCTTGAAGAGCTCAGCGGTGAGAATGACTACGCCGTTACCCACCACGATGACCCCGTCGTCCGCCCCGGCTCTGAGGTCGTCACCATGATCTCTGCCGATGGCGAGTCTCCCAAGGCTCTTGCTTAGATAAAAAGTCTCGTGTGATGAGGTTACGGCGTTGAAGGCGAGAGGGGAGGTTTCTCTGGTTTCTTTTTTTTTTTTAACATCTTAATTGAGGCTCATGAACCTTACACGTGCATATGAGGTGTGGCCCGCAAAACGGTCTTTGTTGATGATACCACTCGCTATACGCCGGCACGGTTAGCAAATCATTGGGGCGATTTTTTAAATACTACTACCAAAAAAGAAAAAAAAACTACCCTCTTTTTATATAGTCAATATACTATACATATATACTTATCTAATACTATCATTCATTCATTCCCTTCTCATTTTCTTTTGACTGTATCTTGTAGGGCTGCTAGTTTCTTGCTGGACTTGTCCTGTGCTTTGCGCATTGACCCAATAAAGATGCCCGGAACGTGCCGACCAAGTGCGGGACCCCACATGCCCAAAAGGGCTGGCCACGTGCAGGGTCACGATGCCAAGACTATTGCGCATCTGGGGATTTATGCGCGTATGTGTGTGTGTGGAGAGCTTCTTTGCTTGTTTGGAGTGCATACACCACTGGAAGTAGTAATAAGGCTCTTTTACTGATGTTGTTTATAGGTATGCAGCGGGAGGTTTCTTCCGAGGTGGACCTGTAACGTACGACTTTGGATTGCGTATCTTTACGGCTTTATGGACGTCCAATGAGTGCCTGTCGTAGGAAGCATGCGCCTCTTTGCATTATCTGCGGAGTTTTGCTGTGCATATCAATATTGGAACTACCCAAGTAGGTATTACTGACGCGTGAATCAGAGTATTGCCGCTCAGCATGTAACCCATTGGAGCGGGTGGCGCCACTGCTGGGATGGGAGGCGGAGTAGATGCATGGTAAGCTGGAGCTGGCAAGTGTCTGCTTGGGCATGAATCAAGCTTTTTGAATGACTCGAAGCGGAAACGAAGATGGCTTGTTTCTACAGGGGTTTTGCTCATATGCTTTGAGTAATCTCTATGGTTGTTGCTCTATGTCGAATTAAAACATGATGGAGAGCTGGTTGGATGAGGTATGTATGGAATGATTTCTCTTTGTATGAATGGATGCGGTGAACTATAACTCATGTGTCTTGTTAGGGCATATAAACCCCATTAAGAAGCAGGAAGCTTGAAAAGATGGAGACGGGATTTTCTTTTAACAACGAGAGGAGGCAGTGGTATACGTGAAATTTGAAGGACAAAGAAAGGTAGTATAATGTGGGACGTGCGGTATTTATATCCAGCAAGCCTTTTTATCAATGAGAATTGAGTAAAACAAATTAAAATCAAAGCAAAGCTGGGAGGCAATATACGAGGTGGTATCCCAAGTCCATACGAGATACGAAGATGAGATGAGATGGAGATGAGAAGCGGTGGTGGGAGGACGAACGGGCCTCGAGACCTTAGCAGCGCACATGGCCCGCAAAATGGCAAAATGGCAGAATCAAGGTCGAGTGCCGAGGAGGGGGACGTGCATACGCATTGCATACAGCGGGGCCTTGACCCTTGTAGTGAGGTGCATTGCATGGCCGCATGTGTTAAAGGGGGGGAGTGAGATTGAGATGTGAGTTGAGTAGCGAAGAAATGCGTCACTTTCGGGGAACTAGAACGCCGGGAGTTTGATGGGTAAAAGAGCTGAAAAAAAGGCGCATGATAGATGAGAAGTTTGGAAAGAATTGGAGAACATCAAAAAGTCAAAAAAAAAAGAAAAAACGAGAGAGAAACGAGGGCAGTGAGCTGAGCGGGAACCAAGAGCAAAAAGCTCAAGAGGAGCTCAAAGACCCGTGAACTTTTGCCCAACGCGCTGATGTACGTAAAAGGCGATACTTGATGCGGTAAGTCCATATTCCCCGCTGTGATGCAATAATTTTCCATCTGGCAGGCAGCGCGCAAAAAATAATTCCCTCATACAATTGCATATTTATCCACAAGCTCGGCTGGCGGATCCCGAGAACCACCAGGCCAGCAGCGCACTGTGCGAGGGTTTTCAAGCTGGCGGAGGCGTAGCGTGTACCCGGGCACTCTGACCATGTAGTTCTACTGTTTGGCTTGAATTGGGAAATTTTCGGGGTCTTTTTATTCTGATACGTGTATTAATTGCCTTTTGGCGAGATCCATTTCGGCCGCCAGAAGAAAAAAACGAGCTGTGAGACACCCCCCTTTTTTCGTTCTGACACTCCTCGGGCCATTCCAGATCAGGGAGATGGTATTCTTTTTTTTTTCTGGGTTGTTTCACGCCCTCAGCCTCTTTTTTCTTTGCCGTGTCTCTTTTCGGCCTTTGCCATGTTTCTCTACCTAGCTGGTTCAGGTAAGCTGAGAGAGACTGTGAGAGGCACAGCATAAACGGGCTTTTTCCCTTCTTCTCATTTTGTTCCTTTCTTTACCTGTATGCGGGAATATATGTGATTTCACTTACGAAATACCGTGCTCTTACTTGTACACTTGTCTCATCTCGACACGCCCCCCCTTTTCCCTTGTCTATACATGGGGGTGTGAGTGAGAGCTGAGCGCTGCGTTGTCGACATACCACCTCTAATACATGTCAATGTATTTGCATCTGTAGGTAATCTCATGTAGCTGTGCGTGTACGCTGTACCGTGCCCAATCAGTATGTTATGATTGTAGTAAACTACCTTGCCTATCATGGCCTGGCCTGGAGGGGGCAGAGATATCACATACAGCCCCCAAAGAACCCTAGCCTGGGGGGCGTGGGCATGGAAAACGTGTTTGCTTCGTTTGGTGCAAAAAAAACTGATTGCTCTGGTGGCGACAAGGGGGGGAGAGAAGAGCTCAAAGGGTATAGGCAATTGAATCCCTCATGTTAGTTGAAGCTGCATGCAGGTGCTATTGTTATCACAGCCCAGCTATCTGGGTCAAAAAGTTTTTGTCTGTCTTGACCGCTCAGACTCAGCTGTGCATAAAGCCCGCCTCGAGTCCTCTGCTTTTCCCTACTTTTTTTTTCACAGAGTTCAGGTTCACACTTCTTTCCTCCTCCTCCTTCTTTCATCAAGGCTCTTCTTCGCTTTGTATCAAAACTTGCTGTGAAAAAGACGGTCAGTTGGCTTATACACTGCCCCTGTCCCGCTTGTTTTCATCAAAGTTGCCCAAGAAGACTTGAAATCAAAATCGAACTTTTCCATCTTCCTTTCTCCCTTTTGAATTTCACCCCCTTTTACTTCAATTTCAACCATGCCTGAAAACGTTGCCCCCGAGCCGGACGAAAAGGAAGCCAACGACCTCCGCATCACCTTCAACGATGTTACACATCCATCAGGCCGTGTTGGTCGCAGCAATGCGGCTGATGCCGAGCAGGGTCTCCCTTTGTCTCGCAAGAGGTCCATGAGTCGCGGTTCGGTCAACAGCCGTCGTGATCTGCCCTCTTCGCCTTACTCCGGGGTTCAGATTGAATATCGTACCTTGTCTATTCACGTCTCCGAGTCTCGCCAGGTCGATTCCGATAACTTGCCTGATATCAAGGAGAAAAAGGACAACAAGGAAGAGTACTTCTCCAACTTGACTTTCCATGAGCTCGAGGCGGATCAGCTCTGCCAACAGCTCAATGTCTCTCAGGAGATGGGCCTGTCGGAGAGTGCTGCCGCGCTGAGAATTCAACGAGATGGAAGAAACACGCTGCCTCACCCCAAGCCAAACTATCTGAAGAAGCTTCTGATGTACATCTTTGGCGGCTTCTGCTCCGTCTTGTGGGTGGGCGTCATCATCTTCTTCATCTGCTGGAAACCCCTGAGCAACCCTCCTTCTCCTACAAACCTGGCTCTCGCCATTCTTGTTCTCATTGTCATTGTCCTTCAGGCGGGCTTTTCTGCCTTCCAGGACTGGTCTACTTCACGTACTATGAATTCCATCATCGATCTCTTGCCCTCGGACGCCTTGGTGTGTCGTGATGGCCAGTTGATGAAACTCAAGGCTACTGAACTTGTAAGCGGAGACATTGTCCATCTGCAGATTGGCAACAAGGTGCCTGCGGATATGCGAATCATCAACCACTCCGGTGATCTTCGCTTTGATCGTGCCATCCTGACGGGAGAGTCGGATGAAATCGATGCTTCCATTGACCAGACTGAAGAAAACTTCCTGGAGAGTCGCAACATCGCTCTGATGGGCACTCTGGTTGTCAACGGCAGCGGTGTTGGAGTTGTTGTTCTGACCGGCCCTCGCTCTGTCATGGGTCGTATTGCAAAGGCTACTGCATCAGCAGAGGAGAGGCCAACTCTGATCCAACGGGAAATCACTCGATTCGTCTACATCATTGTTGCCTTGACCGTTGTTCTCGCTCTCATCATCCTCTTCACATGGCTTGGCTGGCTGCGTAAGGACCACCCCGACTACATGAATGTTGTGGCCATGCTCAACAATGTCATGGGATGCGTCGTGGCTTTCATTCCCGAGGGTATGCCTGTCGCTGTTGCGCTGACTCTTATGATGGTGGCAAGACGCATGAAGGCCTCCAATGTTTTGCCCAAGGGTCTTTCTACTGTTGAGACTCTGGGTTGTGTCAATGTCATCTGCTCTGACAAGACCGGTACTTTGACTCAAAATCAAATGCACGTCAACTCCATCGCCTTTCTCGACGAGCCCATTGCCATGCAGGACCTCTACAACAATCTCTCAAGCGACAAAGTCGATACTGGAATGAAGAAGCTTCACCAAGCCGCTTCTCTGTGCAATGACGCCACCTTTGAGCCATCTACCCTTCATCTCCCTGTCGCCTCTCGTACCATCCAAGGCAATGCCACAGATGGTGCTGTTCTCAGATTCTCCGCTGGTGCTCCTACAAACAACGAGAAGGCAGCAGACCAGCCTACCCAAGTCTTCAAGATTCCCTTCAACTCCAAGAACAAGTGGATGCTCACAATGTACAAAATTCCAACTGAAAGCCAAGCAACCAACGAGTTCCAGGTCTTCGTCAAAGGAGCTCCCGATGTCCTCCTGCCATCCTGCACCGCCTACTGGTCTCGCAAGTCAAAGTGTGTCATGCCCCTCGACGGACCCGCAAAGGTTGCCTTTAAGGAATACCAAGACAAGTTGTCCAAGAACGCCGAGCGTGTTATTGTCCTCTGCATGAAGAACATGACCGTCGACGAACCCATTGGCACCAACCACTTTGGCGACGAAGTCACCAGCCGAGCCACCGAAGACCTCACAGTTGTCGGCATTCTTGGTATCACTGACCCCCCTCGCCCAGAGACCCTCAGCACTGTCCAAGAGTGTCGTCGTGCTGGAACTCGATTCTTCATGGTCACCGGTGACTATGGCCTCACTGCCGCTGCTATTGCCCGCAACGTCGGCATCATCACCAGCGAGCGAGACCCCGACACCATCACCACCATCAAAGCCAACAACGACATCGAAGCCGTCAAGAAGCTGAACGAGGCCCGTGTTACTGGCGAATGCAACAGTCTCCTGCTTGAGGGACAGAGTCTCGGTGGTCTCTCTGACGAAGACTGGAGCATCATCTGTGAATATCAAGAGATTGTCTTTGCTCGAACGACGCCTGAACAGAAGCTTCGTATTGTGGAAGAATTCCGCAAGCGCGACAACATTGTGGCTGTAACTGGTGACGGAGTCAACGACGCGCCCGCTCTTCGCGCCGCTGATGTCGGTGTCGCCATCGTCTCTGGTAGTGATGTTGCTATCGAGGCAGCTGATCTCGTCTTGCTTGATCGCTTCGACTCCATCATTGATGCTATCCGTCTCGGTCGTCTTGTGTTCCAGAATCTGCAAAAGGTCATTGCCTACCTTCTTCCTGCCGGCAGTTGGTCCGAGATTTGGCCCGTCATTCTCAATGTCTTCTTTGGTGTTCCACTCCCTCTGAGCTCGTTCCTCATGATTATGATTTGTGTCTTCACCGATCTGTTCCTGTCTCTGTCTCTGATCATGGAGAAGGAAGAGTTTGATCTTCTTTCACTTCCTCCTCGGAACCACAAGAAAGACCATCTTATCAACTTGAAGATTTACGGTCAGGCCTACCTCTTCACTGGTACTGCCGAAACCCTCTGCGCTCATTCCATGTTCTTCTTCTACATGTGGAAGAAGGCCGGCATCCCCGTCCACCAGCTCTTCTTCCTTTTCGAGGGCTACACCGAGGGCTTCCACGGCTACACTCAGGATCAACTCAACCAGTTCAACTACACCGGCCAGTGCGTCTACTTTGTCACCCTCGTTATCCTCCAGTGGGGTAACATTCTTTCTGTGCGCAATCGCCGCCTCAGCATCGTCCAGGCCGATCCGTTCACCCAGAAGCGTCGCAACCCGTGGCTGCTCCTCGGCATGCTCATCAGTCTTGCCATTGCTATTTTCGTTACAGAGGTTCCAGGCCTCCAGACATTGTTCCTCACGGCGTCGGTTCCCATTGAGTTTTGGTTGATTCCTATTCCTTTGGCTCTGGGCATTTTGGTCCTGGATGAGTTCCGCAAGTTGATTGTTAGACTCTTCCCTAACGGACCTGTTGCGAAGGTTGCGTGGTAACCAAGAAACACTTTTTTTATTAATCGTATACCCCAATTTCTTTCTTCGTTCGTTTATTTGTTTGGGTACCACGTTTGCTTATGTACGCGATTGATTTGGGTTGAATCGTATAGAGGTACGAGTGGAGGAGGCTTTCTAGAAGTATATAGTATATAATGACTGCTTATGACAAAATATACGATTGACTTTGATGATGATTCTTCATCCAAGAGAACTTGAATTCCAAGAAAGTTGTGTATTTGCTGTGAACATTGGTTTGTTTTAACAATGCATATATCATCAACTGCGGAGAGTTTAGAGCTGAATATACGCTTTTGAAGTGACCTCTATGTTGTAGCTAAATCTGCATTCCTATACACACCTAACGCTGCCTGAGAAAACAGTTGGACCTTAATCAAATTCAACTAATCTAAAGCTGTTAGAGCTCTTCCGTGGTAATTGCTTGCATCACCTTTGCAAGAAGCGAATGCTACCTGATACAGACGGTAGTATCTGAGAGCGCTTTGGCCATAGTGACATGGTAAAAGAGTAGATAAATTTTCATGCTGCAGATTGCTGGGAAAGCTCCATGGTCGCCTTATGGGTAGTCCTAAGATTTCTTTGATGGGTGATAAGCTGAGTTCAGAAGAAATACGCCCAATATCGCAATGAAAGAAAGCAGAATAAAGATGATGAGCAAAAGTGATGTGCTTTATTGAGCAATCTCGTCCATATAGCCGCTAATCTTACTGAAATGGATCTAATACCGAACCATCTCGCAAGCATATCTCTCAGTAACAACATCCTGTGCGCCTTCTATACTGTCTTGGATCTCAAAGATATCTTCTTGTTGCGCAATGCACTAGTTATCGAACTTAAGCGAATCAATGGGCTGCTTTGGTTTGTACTTTGCTAATGGATGCGAAGGGTTCGCGAGACGCATTGGCTCTCTCAAAAGCTCGCTATCCTCAAGCCGGACCGTCACGCGGTTGGCATGGTTGGCATGTTTTTTAAAGGCTGACAAATTAGTATTGCGTTAGCAGCTATCCAATGAAGAACCCATACCATTATTTGTTATTATGAACTTACAGCTGAAATATGCTGCCCCAAATGACTTGAACTCTTCATAGAGGGCAGCGTACGCTTTTGGGTGGAAGCGAAAGTCAAGCCCCATCTCCTCAGCTAAATCGTTGACAAGTCGTTTAAAAGCTCCCTCTAGGGAGCGACGAGCAGCTTTTTGCGTGTTTCTAATTTTGTGAAGCTTATGATCTATGACAATTAGCAACGCCATGTCCGTGGAGAGAGAAAGCAGAGCATAAACACTGGAACTCAATTCTTGGCGTCCACTGTTTTCTCCAGCGACAACTGCGCGCCCTATAATTGTCGTCGCCTCGTCGTTTCGAGCGACGGAGCCCTTGAAATAACGAGCCGTTCCCTGGTGGGAGGCTTTGCGAGGCAGCATCTGGAGATGGTCCGCCATCTCTGGTGATCTTGCTCCAAAAGTTGCAAAGTGGGTGAAGAGAGATAAAGAGGATGAGATTGAGAGATTTCATTAAATAACTGATGAAAGAAGGTGCTGTTGGCGGTCAGTTGTATCTGGCCGGCAGTATTTTGATGCGAGTGGCAGCTGTAAGTGGCTGCTGGAGTCGTCACTTACATGGAGGCTTGTTGAATGCATCAACACCAAATCTTTTCCATCCTCTGTCGCGATTCTCCTCCTTTATTTTTTACACTTTGTCCGTGTCTTCTTAATTGATCAATTACGCAGTCAGCTGCATTCCAAGACGCTGAGCAGAATTGCAAGCGTGATCTCCAATAATCGGATGGCGGCCTCCCCTGATGGACACTATATGAGGAGAAAGAGGGCGAGAGTGCGTATGCTCATGCAGCCCAAAGCTACAGATTCTCAAGAGGGATTGCCTTAGTGTTTTGCCAACTTTGAAATCTTCCTACTGAAAAACTATAAAACATACTAACATTCTTGTAGAAAGGGGACGCTAGCTTCATATACAGTTATAGATTCTTTCGGCTATATACCCACGGAAATGAAAAGCTTTACGTTGAAAACTGCTTTTTAGCAGCATCAAATCATTTTTCACAAGTGACATCAAGCAATAATAAGTGTCTGGCATCAATTTTTATTTATCTTCAGTAGAGCTATACAGCTAAAGGAATGACCGAGGCAGCAATGAACGTAGAGGTGCCAGATCTGCATGCGTCTACAGCGAGCGAGGACGCAATCACGCATATGCTCAGCCAAAGTGGCTGAAGGCCGTCTTGATCAGATTAAGCCTTGATGGTAGGCGGGAGTCGACGGAAGCCGCCGCGACAGGCAACATCGCACTGCAGCTCAACCATACGCTTCTGATCGCCGGTCGGGTCTTGAGAGTCAGCCTCAAGCTCCCAGCCGAGGAACTCGTTGGTGTAGTTGGACTTGAACTGGGCATCAAGAACGCCGAGCCTTTGTCCATACTTTGTCACCTTGTTCCAGTCACGCTGCACGTTCTTCAAGTCCGTGGAAAAGTATGCGAAGCTGCGCTCAAACATCTTGCGGTTCAGCTCAGTTCCCATGACGGGCTTGAAGTCAATGTATTCGGCCCAGGCCTTGCTCGGCTCAGCGAGCACAAAGTCAGTGGCTTTTTTCACAGCACGAAGGAAAGCGCGGACTTTCTCCGGATTCTTCTCAATGAAGGACTCGTTGCCAATGTAAAGGATGGTGCAGAAACAGCAGCAGCCCAATTCAGCGAGTTCGTCAATGCGGAGCATCTGAACGTCTGTCTTGGGGCGGCCCTGCTTGTCGAGCCATTCCTCAAGCTCGACCATCTGAACGTTCTCCAGGCCAATACCAGCGTCAATTTCGCCGGTGATGATGGCCTTGGAGACATTCATTCCGCAGCGGACGGCAGTATAGTCCTCTGGAGTGAGGCCATAGTGGGAGGTGAGCTCGTCAATTTGGATCTTGCCAAACTCGCCCACATAGCCAATGCGCTTGCCCTTGAGGGAGCGGAAGTCGGTGGTGATGCCAGACTCCTTGAGATAGATGACGCCAGTGAATGGCTCGTCAAGCAGACTGCCAATGGAGGTGACAGGGAAGCCACGGGCCTTGGCCTTGAGTAATTGTAAGTAAAAGCCAGTATACTCAATGGTAGAGGATAGTCTTACAGCAAGAGTATGAATCATGGCTTTGAATCCGAGGTCCACTTTACCAGATCCGATGATCTCAGTGACATCCTAGCAGCAACAATGAGCTTTCTGTGCAATTGTCTTGAAAACAGAACAAGTCACATACGCTAGGGTCGTTGGGCTCCAAGAGAGCGACCTTGATGCCTTCATCCTTGAAATATCCTTTCGCCTGAGCGAGGTACAGCGGTGCGTGGTACGGGGTCGCGTGCCTGTATCTTGGTCAGTACAATCGGCTCGACTCAATTGACGAGGATAAGCCTGACCAGTTGGTCAAGAACGTAATCTTATCCGTCGACATTTTGGGTGATCGAGCAAAGAGCTACGTGGGTTAGTCTGCGCAAAAAGCTATGGGGAGAGCAGGGGAAGCCCAAGAAGCAGATCCTTTCGCTGGTATTATCCAGATCAAGTTCGCCGGTATTTCTCAGATCAATCCACCCCATCATGCTGTCTCTCTCCATGAAGAAGAGACAACAACATGATACAGCAGATCGAACACCCGGATGCTTGCTCAGTCTACTTTACCTCGATGACTGGATAGTTCCATTGCGACAGGTGACATGGCTCCTTGTAGACGCGTGTCGTACCAATGGATTTTTTAAACGGTTTGTTAACTTGTGCGATTGAAAGCTTTGATAGAAGCAGAGAAAAATTGTGAAGAAGAAGGAAAAGAAAGAGGGATTCGAGATCAAGGTCAAAGTTTTGTAAGACTTACCCCTCACCCTCAAATCTCACAGTGGGTATCAGTTATGTCATACCAGAGTTCAGATATCGCGCATAGAATCAAGGTTGTTCAATCGATCCGATAATATCCGTGACGATGAAGCGATATTTCCGTGGTGGGCTGCGCTGATAGGATGGAGCTAATGGAGCTGTCATATTAATGAGTAGCTCCAATTGATAACCAGGATTAGGAAAAACTTCTTTCCAATCTGCATGCGCCCTATTTACGTGAGGAATAGCTCTATCGTGTGCGATGGGTATGGATACGTACTCCAATTGACTTTTACATGTTGCTTCTTAAATTCGGTAGCCCTGATTATATGCTTGTGGAGTTAGGAACCTCCTAGTCTCAAGAAATATGAAGACAGACGTGATTCATTTATGGGTCGTATATACATTTCTAGCATAGCTCTCATCATTCATTTTGAACCTCCCATCTCATACGTTAATTGTGGTGACAATTACGAATTTGTTATCACGGACCCAATGTTCCTGATCCAGCCAAGGTCACAATTGGGGCACGGCGAGTTGAAAACTGACGGGTGCACAAATTGCGCTTTGGGAGTATTGTTCTGACCAAGCACAATCAATGAGGCTGTTTTCTGGTCAAACTCAGGCCATCCAATGCTTTTAAGCCCAGACGATGGATTATTGCTGAAAGAGAACCAGGCGTGCTGCATCAGCCTCGTCAGGCTCCTCTGGTCCGCAGTCGTGGGCAAGCCACTGACATCTGCTGACGCTCCAAAGATCATGTGCAGGTCGACTCCGTGATACGCACCGCTGGTAGGGTACAGACGAGTATTGTTCCAGTCGGCCATGTATCGGTAAGCCCAGGCTGGCACGCCGTGAGCTCGGCGAGCACTGGCTTGGTGAGATACGGGACAAGTGAAAGACTCGAGGAGAAAAGATGCGACTTGGGCATCTGTCGGTATGATGCCGGAGGCATAGGCGGGAATACGATAATATCCATCTTCATTGTTGTTGTTGCCCAGCAGCAGGGGCACTTTTGCAAAGTGACCAGAGTTGGTCAAGTTCACATAATCTGAAAAGACAATCTCGTCGTCGGGGATTGGGTAGAACGCAGGCGTGCTTCGTAGGACACTGGTGGTTGAAGCAGGCTTGATGCTGGCTGCGGCGGCTTTGATAGCCTGCCAATCAGCCTTGCGCATACACGCCATGACATTGGACGCAGAGGAACAGTTCACGGCAGCTACAACAGTATCCCAATTCTTCTCGGGGACACCAGGGGCATTGACAGGAAAGCTGAAAGCGTTGCCCGAGTGCGAAATGACGCCGTGGACGATGGGGTCGTTTTCGTATGCATAAGTCCAGTAATCCACCGACACACCACCGGCGGACTGGCCTTGGATGGTAATCTTGTTTGGATCGCCGCCAAATTGCTTGATGTTCTCACGGACCCATTCTACCGCTGCTCGCTGGTCACGGAGCCCGAGATTTTGAGTCGAGCCTGGGGCACCGGGGAAACCAAAGATGTTGATCCGGTAGTTGACGGTGACCACCACGATGTCCTCGGCGTCGGCGAAGTATTTGCCGGTGTAGAAGGGACTATCGGTGTTTCCAATGGCAAATCCTGCTCTCGTGTTAGTGATTGAGAGCTTTCACCGTGGACTGCTAAGCCCGAAGACTGTTTGCTTACTGCCACCGTAAAAGAAGACCAACACGGGCTTCTTCGCTTCAAGTGAGTTCCGCGTCGCCTTGGACCAAATGTTCAGAGTAAGGCAGTCTTCGCTCTGGGGAGTGCCTGCAGCACTAGCGAAATAGTTGACGATGCGCTGCGCTTGAGGCGTGAAGCCAGGATAGTCCACAGGCTTTGAAGGCGTCAGAGGACAATCGGCTCCATAATGGGCCGCCTCATAAGTATCCTTGGCTGCGATTTTAGCGGGCGGCGCGAATCGCAAGTCTCCAACAGGCGGTTGCGCAAACGGAATGCCCAGATACTCAATCACGCAGTCGGAGTTGGAGGCAGTGTGGCCTATAATTGGGCCGTTGGACGTCGACACGGTGAGGAATTGCTGTGTGTTACATGATGTCGTGACACCTACGGAAGCAGCTACAGCAGCGGCAGCACTTAGGATCAAGAGCGTGCCCTTGGCCTTGGAGAGAAACATTGCGACGATGGGACGAAGGCTGGCGGTGATGTGTTGGTGAGCTGCCGCTACTCAGTACGTCTGTTCTATCCAACAAGCAACAGCGGCATCTCCGTTGCTATATAGGCCCTGCAGCTCAAGCATGTCCGATCCAATGCGCGGCGTGGATACGGCTCATGGACCGTTTCAGCACCCGTCGTTTGCTAAACTCCATATTGATTGCCCTTGACCAGGCTGGAAGGATCGCAGCTATAGCCCGATGCAGTAAGCATGCCGCCAACTGCTTCTACTGGTACAAACATTGCGAACTAATGTCTCAGTCAATCGTGGAGGCCCCAGCATTAGCCTCTCGGAGCAATCTAGAAAAGTCTGCCAAGCATGGCGGTTAAATACAATTAGAGCTCGCTTTGCGTTAAGTACTTTGCGTGGCAGATCAGTAAACCTGACATCAGCAAAAGTAAGTATCGCCAAGCAACCATGGCCCGTTTGTATGCAGGTGCTAATGTCCTTGTATGCTGGTTGCTACTAAAGCGTCCAGTTGTTTTGAGGGAGTTTGTTTCTTGCAGCATGCCGATCACCGCTCTTCCACGGACGAACTGAGCCGGTATCCGCGGCTTCGAAAGCCATCCCTGTCAATAGCCAGAGTCACCGATACAACGTAAAAGTTTGTCAAAGCAGTAATGTTTGTTCCTCCCGTTGCTGAGAGAGTACAGGCAAGGCCGAAATGAGTGTCCGCTTTCTTGCTTATAATATATTTGCTAAAGAGAGCCAATTTGGATTAGGTGTGGCTAGTACAGTGCTGATGTTTATTTCAAACACTCAGATAATGTAGCGCTAAGGAAAAGCGGAGCTATTGATCCCCAGCTAACAGCCATTTCAGATCTACTTTATAACCATCCTTCAAATATCAACACCTAGACAGGTTTTGCATAATGCTAGGGATTATTCTTAGACAGCGATATAGGATCATGCAGACTCCTCTTCATTTAATTCATCTTAGATACACCGCCTTCTCGAGGCTTGCAAATGCTTACTACCGTCCAAAACCTATTAATTGGCAATAGGTTATGGCCCCGTGTCTATAATGTGCTCAGGTCAGTTAATACGCTTCGCCCCACCATTTTGCGACCATGGAAGCGCATGGAAATGCAGGAATCTCAGCAGGCCTGAGCGTACGAAGTGCTGTCGGTGCGGTGCCGGATGCTCTGGTTTCTGGTACAGGCACTGCATTGCCCTCATGTCGTCCACGTCCGTCCTCTTCAACTGAGTCAAAACTGTACGCCGCCACCATGGGCAGTGAGACAGTTGATGACAGCCAATGGCTGTATGACAATGGACCTGACTACTCAACTCCTGTTCCTCTATATGGCTCTAGTGGTTCGCCACCCCCAAGCCAGCGAGGACGAGGCCGACGAGGGCACGCAAATATTGACAGCCAAGACCAGAGCCAGGTGCTAGATGAAGCCTCTCCAATCGAGTGTTGGCCATACACTATCATATGGATGCTTTGTAAAAAGTAGATGAGACGCGAGAAGCTTACTGTAGACACAGTATAGAATGTCAACCGCTACTTAAGCGTTTTCTGGGAGACCAGTTTTAGGTCCGAAATCGAAGCGATTGTCAAAGATAAGAAGTTGACTGATACCCACGAGCCGGACGAGACTCAAATTATCGTTTCTATAAATGCAAGGGGAGTCGAAGACATAACCATGCGGTCTCCAGGACTTAATATTGATTGGAGCGGAGTGAATCAACAGATTGATAGCTGGTCGAGCCTAGTCGATGGTGGAAGGAAGCTGACCATTCGTCTTACGTTTATTTTCAAGGAAAATAGCCGATTGATACTGGCGAGGACTGACCGCCGAGGCCGGAGCGCTACAAACGCTCAGCTAAATGAGCGAGCCGCTATCCATAATGATCAAGATGCCACGGATGAAATTCCGCTCTGGGAACAAGTATATGATCTATTGGAATGCCCGGGAGCAGGATGCGACATCGGGCCATACTGCTGGCGCAAACCAGCCACTGGCATACGCCATGCTGTGCCGACAATTATTTTGACAAAATTAGTCCAGTATGCTGAGAGAGGTGGGAAAATCAAGGAGCATAGCGACGTTCCTAAACATTACCAGAACGAAATATTGAACCCACCAAGCAAGAAGAAACAGGTCGAAGGACCCCAGATTAATATCACTAATGTAATGCCTGGGGCTGAGACGGCGCCACCTCCAAAGAGGCTTTTGCCGGTCGCAGAGACAAAGCCATTGAGCGCTACCGCGATTGGCACTACAAACAGGTAGATGATCCGGATTGGAAGAAAGAGTTCCATGCTATTGCTGGGCTTACATTCGAAGCACGTCTTCCTCTTAATAGGCTGTTTGAGGCGCAGGAAGAAGAGATGAAATTTTTCGTTTTATATAAGATACCGCGAGGCATAGCACATCAGTGGGTAAGCATGGTGGACCAATGCAAAGAGTTGGAAGAATAGAAGTAAATAAGCTCATCGGCGGGACCGATAACAGCTTAAATGCTTATTAGAATTGTATATGTAATAGAAATACTGGACGACCTTCCTCATAGCTTATTTGCTATATTTCCTTGTAATATTAATCCTTAGTACAAGATGTTATAGTAATTTCGCCGGTGCAATTTGTGTAGGCATAGTATGTAATTACTAGCGTGCTTTCGCATAACATTGCTCTAGAATATCTACTCCATGTCGCTATTAGCGGAAAGTATTTTTAACATGGTACTGCTCTGCGGTACATATCTACTACATTCTTTGACAAAACCCCGTTCGAGTATATTCCACAATTAAGCTAGTTATTCGCGATTGATCGCACGCCTTTACCATGCAATGACCGAGCCATCACTATTGAAGAAGGTACCAGATGTTTCGATATTCAGCTCATCAGTCTAGAGTAGCATAGATATTAGGTAGAGTTTAATGTAGAAGTGTATTTGGAACTCACAATTTTGATAACTCTCTGAGCACTCTCCTCAATTGTTAATGGCGGCTCCTTCTGATTAAGTACATCCGCAAGTGCCTGACCCATAGACGTTTTGACCCAACTGGAATAGTACATACAATTAGCATGCATAAGTGTTAAGGTGGTATAATGGATATCTCAAATGACTTGGCAAGAGTCGCAATACGGGATTTTGTGGCGTTACTTACCCAGGATGAAGAAGACCAACCTTCAGGCCTTCATGTTTGAACTCGATACTAGCCATCTTTGCGAACTGGTTAACCGCCGTCTTGCTAATGCTGTATGATGCACTAGGAATATTCGGACGGTCTGCAATGCTGGCAAGGTTGCTGCTGGCAATAACAAACTTTTTACCCGCATCACCCGCTTTGCTCTTGGTTAGCAGTTCCCTGGTGGCAAAGAACAATTTCACAACACCGATAGTGTTAACTTGGAAGTCAGTGGCGATCTCATCAGCCGTCGTCTCCTTGATAAATTTGAAGCCACTAGAGTAGCCAGCATTTGCGATTACGATGTCCAGATGATCCACTATCTCAAGCACACGAGAGGGCAGACTAGCATAGTTGATCTCCAAGACTTCATCATCAAGGGCGAAGGTAACGAGCTTGCTGGTTGCGTGCGGAGTGATACCCGTAAAGACGAACTTAGGGTCACGAACAGTGGCGATAACTGTTGTGCAGGGGCGCTTAACTAGAGAAGCAATAATATGCTTCCCAATGCCTGTAAAAAGGACTGGTCAGTAGGTTGCTAAATTATCCTGGCTTTACACTTATTGTTACCCCTATTGGTGCCTGTAATCAAATAGACTGTGTTGCTGGACATATTGGCTCAGCTATAAGCTTGAATTGCTGAATAGGGGAGAGTTTGTAGAATCAAACAATTGATCGGTAAAAGGATTTTGGTGTAATCCTGAATATTAGAGACGCAGTATACAAGACCTATATATACTAGTTTTTGATTTAATAGATGGTTACTACATTATTACAAATATAATTAGTAAACTCTCCTTACTCTTACTTGATTTATCAGCTTCCGAGTATAAGTTACTAAAGTGTTATACAGGGCCTTCGCGTATGCTACTTCCGGACAGGCCGTGAAACTACTAAACCCATTCATGAATATCTCGCAGCATGGTTCCACATCAAAAGTTATTATGAATCATAGTTTTTTACAAGCCTAGATTCTGCTTAAATGAAGACAGTAACATAATATTTGCTCTTGATTCGGATAGATGAGGTTATACATAGAATAAACCCGATCTTATTTAGAGCTAACGGCCATAAAAGTGATAACTTATACCAATGGCCCTAACCCAGCCCTGTTCCAGAACATAGGTATATTCGAGTAAGTAACTTCATATTATTATCAGAGTCGACCTTGGATAGTCAGTAAGCTATTAGTGAAGCAATCTCAATTCCCGCAAATACCGGAACGTGCTGCAAATACCGCAAATACTGCAAACTACCGCAAATAGTGCAAACACCACAAACATTATATAATACCGCAAACCCCGCAAACCCCGCAAACCCCGCAGACCCCTAAATTCATATTAAGTGTACGTATAAAATTTTCTCTCTGTTACGTTGTATTAATACATGTCCATCCACATCCGTCGATTGTGCAACAAGTTAGGTAACAATTTTTATACTATTGCGTCAGTGCAGCCAAAGGCAGTGTAGTGACGGTAGAAAGAGATAAGCTCGTATTATTATTGGCTTTACTTTATATAAACTAATTCATTTACGTGGTCCTTCTTCGAGCTCTCAATGGCAAACAACTCCCTAAATATACAACTCCCCTACGGATACTCTATTGTAATGCCAGAATGACGGAAATGACCTTCGGCGCTCTCACGCTTTGCACCCACCTGGCTTATACACCACTTAAGGAAGCGACCAAATGGCAGCCCTTTGGTATCGCGAGAGTACCATTCTTTCCTCATAAAGCATTTCACCTCCCCAAAGTGTTCTTCTATAGGGTTTAAGTCAGGTGAATACGGTGAGAGTAAGAGAAGCTCAACTCCAGCAGCTGAACAAAGCTCCCTTAGTTTCCATTCTCTACGAAAGCTTGCATTATCCATCACGAGAACGGACTTGGGTTGCGGAAATGTTCCACAGTGGCGAAGCAGTTGCCTGATAAAATCTTTACATATGACATAATTAGTCGAGCCCCGAAAAACATGAGACAGTTCAATTCTATCCTAGGCATAAGCTGAGGTAAACTGATGCCTAGCATTGCGTTTGAACTCTGCGACAGTTACTGGCGTAGTTCCTATAGGAGCCCATCCTTTCCGCCGCTGCGCTGTTAAAGAGTTACACCCAGACTCATCGATGAAGATTAAATGATATGATTTATACTTTGAAAGCTTGTAGTGGTATAGGTGCCGCAGCACTGAATTCCTTTGCTTCGCGACACAACGTAATACCTTTTTGGACCATTTAATCGATTGCAAGGCTTGGGTGACGCTGCTAGGCGATACCTCCACATTAAATTCATCTCAAAGATATGACACTATCTCTTCGCGGTACATCCATGATTCTTTTTTTAGCTTATTGCATAATGCATCTCGCATACATGCTGTGATGCTTGAATGGCGACCGGTTTTATTTGGCGGCGGTTGGGTGGCTCCGAATCGACGTACATTTGAGCGGATTCGGCGAATAGTGCGCTCGCTGCATTCGGCCTTTCTGGCTGTTTTACGAGTCGATTTCTCGGTTAGAAGTAAGGCCTGAATATACCTATGTTTGATGCTGGTTAACTGCCGTGCCATTAATTTACTTCGCAATGAGCCTTTCTTAGCTATGGTTTGAAGGATTAAGAAACGACTGCAACAGCAGCAAGAGTACAACAGGCTGTATGTTGAAGGGAGGGGTAGTGGGGGCAGAGATGGTTCCTGCATACCTACGTAACCCACATTATGACAAACTGACAGGTACCTAAAGCTCACAGTAAGAAAACAGTATAAGCCACATGAGGCGGAAGTGGTCTATGCTTAAAGAAGATTTAGTGTAATTAAAAAACGGACACTTGTTTCGGCCGACCCTGTATGAGCGTTTGTCATAGGCAAGGGCTGATAAAAGTTGCACGTAGCCATTTGGATCTAAGAGTTGGGAATGCCGTACGTTCAAGACAAGACATCGCGTGCTCCTTGCGAGATTTTACTTCTGATTGCCTATACAGAACATAGCTAAGAATACTAGCCGCAGTTTACAAAAGTTATGTGATAGCTTTGGGGTGGGCTTTGATTCAATCACAAACAATGGAGAGTAGCCATCAGTGCAAGGATCAATTAGCGCACTATTCAGTTCTTTTGGCGCCTATGTCTCGGCAGTCTAGTCCCTTAGAGCTGCTGTCAAAAGGATTAGAGTTGACGATTAACTCAGCTCATCTGTTAGACATGATTCGTGCATTGAAAAACAACACACAGGAAGTTAGTCTATCGCTAAGCATGAAGAGCTGTGCTGTTTGTGCTGGGCGACATCGAGGAATCATCCCATCCTCTTTCATCGACTCACTTGCACTATGGGGTCTGTGATTATTTACCTCTTGATTGAACCAACACGCCTTCCTAACCAGTGCACAGTTGGTCCTCTCTTCAATTATTGAGTGGAGACAATGGAGTCCGGCTCAGCTCCCCGAGCGGTGCGTGCCCTGGTAACCATTTTGCAGTGGGTAGAAGCCGTTTTCGCGAGCACGTTTCTTTGCAGACAAAAGAACCCCTGAGAGGCACTGACGAAGGAGCCGAATCTGCCCCAGATTGGTCTAACGTAAGACGATTTTCTCATCACAGGGGATAGTCCTCGTGCTTAATGGTCGAAGAGCTTCAAGCAATAGCCATACAAACATCATCATGGAATTGTATACGGTTCATCTACATTGTCAATAAAGCGGCGGTGAAAACGTCGGTATATGCTGCCGGTATGCGAAATAGAAGAGCAACTGGTCTCGCAACGAGAAAGATCTACAAAATGGGTTATGTTTTGGGCTGCATATATCTCTCTCTTTTCACTAGTATCAACCATTCGCAGAAAACGACTGAACCTGGCGCATGCGAGGAAAGGGATATACTCTATCAAGCTCTACAGTTTTGACATTTCCTTCGAGTACTCGCACTTTTATTGAGCTACTACCTCCTCATTATAAATAGCACAGGAGGCTGTCTCATTTCGCTGAGTTATGTGACATGCTCCACCCGTTGTTATACGGGCAACCCAGACCTTCTATTGTTCCCACCGGTGGCCCGACGCTGCAGGCTCACCTTGTGAGCAAAGCACACGCCATCACGGGCTGATCTGCCAATTAAATAGCATAGCGTGCGTCAAAGATGTTGGCATTGACAAGATCTTTCCGGCTGCACCAGATGCTTGCGTTACTCAAAATATCTTTTGCTGCTCTTCTGCAGATGGATTTTCTCTATAGACACTGGTGGCATCCGGCGCTCACATCTATACAAGTACTCAAGGGGGTAGCAATTCGTATCTGATCGGCAACAGTAAATTATCGATACCAGGAGCTTGCTTATCGTGGTGGGCTGAGTGCTCTCCTTTTCAAGGCATCTGAGGGTCCCCCAGCGTTCATCTTCAGAGGAGCGACCTTTATTGTTGGGTCTTTTGGATCAATGCTTATGAACAGAGTCTCAGGAATTCGACTTCTACCAGAGTAGGCATCTGGATGCCAAAATCGTGGTGCCAGCCATGTATCTTGCTATCAAGCTATAGCCAAGGTTACAAAGCAATCCATGATGGGGCCAAAGGGCATGGGCTTCCCTACCGACGGAGTAGACAACCATGGCTGGAAGCTGTACATTGCGTCCATGGTGATGATTATCTTTGCTGGTGTGGTTGTTATCGCCAGATGTGTAGGCCGAGTCTATCTCTACAACTTTGGTGTTGATGATATTGTGATTATCATTTCACTGGTAAGCTCCCTTCCACCCCCGCCATATCAAATCTCAACAATAACAGACATTTTCTGACTTTTCTATAAACTGTTTCACCCAATGCAGCTGTTTTCAGTTGTTCTTTCCGCTGCTGTTCAAGTTGCCATTGGAAATGGATACGGCATGCATAAAGCTGACCTCACCGCCATCGAGCTCGAGACGGCGCTCAGGTGGTTCTTCATCGCACAAACGCCTTACAAAGTAACCATTTGCCTCAATAAAGTGGCCACCATCTTGCTCTACTTGCGCATATTTGTGACCCAAAAGTTCCAGATCGCCGCCTACACCGTCATGGGAATCATTATCGCTTGGAGCATTGGAGCTGTGGCATCAACGATTTTCCAATGTGTACCTGTTGCGGGTGCGTGGAATAGGAAGCTGGATGCAACATGCATCAACACGGATATCTTCTGGATCGCATATGCTGTTATCAATATTTTGACGGATGTGATGGTTTTGGCGCTTCCCATTGTGCCCATCGTGGCGCTTCAGTTGAGCACGCGCAACAAGTTGATGATTTGCGCCATCTTCTTGATGGGCGGATTGTAAGTGTGAACCTTTTCTCGCCCGTCTAGACTAAATACTAACTGTGGAATGCTGACTCCATATTAGTGTTACTGTCACGTCCATCCTCAGGGCAGCATCTGTGAAGAACTCGCTCGCCAACAAAGCCGATACCACGTGGAACTTTATCGATCGCGGAATATGGACATTGATTGAGGCGAACTCTGGCATTATCGGAGCCTGTCTTCCAGCTCTCCGGCAGCCGCTAGCTCGGACATTCCCTCACATCTTCGGCTCCATATCGAGGAACTCTCATTATGAAGACGATAGAGTGCCGGCAAAAGGAACCTATCCGCTATCCAGCCTGCCTAGACAGGCATCCAGCTCTGCTTTGTGGCGTGGAGGCGCACACGGCCGCCCAGCTGTATCCACTGCCGGATCCGAAACGATAATGGAGAGAACAAGTGATGAGCGATGCTTTATCGACGAGGGTGTCGAAGACAACGATAGTGGTTCCGAGATGCTGGGTGCTCATGGGATCCCAAGAACAGACAAAGTTTCGAGAACACCATTTCACGTACATACAAAACGGCATTTACCATGCTAAGGCTGCCACGCCAGAGTCTTAATAATATAATGCTTGTTGATATTGAGTATTCTCAATTTGTTCCCCATACATAGTAATGGGATGAACGAGGTATGTGCATTTGTCTCTGCCCAAGTCTCGAAAACTAGGCTTCCAATTACATCAAATAAAACGAAAAACCGCGCTTGCCTTCTATCCTGAAAATTATCAACATGTTTATACAAATCAAAAGCCACGCATATATGGATGACATTTATGCTGAATAGAGCCTCTCGAAACTGAAATTCCACGTCGACTTGAGGGCGCCTCCTGTAGCTGACGACCCCCTTGCCCCAATATGCTGAAAGGCACTTGGCACAAGCGCCCATTTGTCAAGCTCAAGGCTATCAGCTAACCTCTCGATTGTAGAATCGGCAGGCAGATCATAGGGGGCCTGTTTTAGCTTCTCTTCAAGCGTGGTGAGATGCCGGCTTGGTATCACTAAGCTCTGGCTACAGCAGCCGTACCGCGGCATCTCTTGAACGCCGAACGGGAGTGGGCTGACTGTTAAGCGACCAGCCATGAAACCTAGCCCAATAAACAAGGGCATCCATACGACAAGTATATTCGCCATCAGCAGTTTCGAGATTTTGGAGGTTCGCTCTTTGGCAGAGGGTTGCGCCATGTGGAAGACTTGTCGAATGGCAAGCATGGCTCCCAAAACGGCCGCGTACAACAAGAAAATGTTGCGTATGTATATAGGCCATTCCTCCGAGTTCCAACCCATATAAGTTTCGGTGTAGAACAGCCGAAGGTACAACCAGTCTCGATGTTTGGCGACCGCGCGCTCGTTTACTTGCGGTGTTGCGTCTTGGAGTCGCTGGAACCAGTCTCTCGCGGCAATAACGTCATCTTCGACTAGGATAAAGTATTCGGCGTCGTTTTGGCGACACATTTCAGAAAGTACAGAGTAGTCGCGTCGTACTCGTTCGTCTCTAGCGGCAAATTCGTGATGCCGCGGTATCGTCTGGTAGCCATTTTCCGCAACTAGGTCCTTGGGCGTATCCTCATGAACCACAACGGTGTCGGCGATTGCGTGAAGCCAGTGTTGTCCAAATGCTGAGTTCGCCGTCGCATCGTTGTCGGACAAGAGAACAACAATGTATAATGAATCTCGTTCTTCGGCTGTCAGGGTATCGACGAGGGACGCTGCTGTCTTCGCGAAAAATTGCGCGCGCTCTCTTTGCAGAGTTGGGATGCCGATACAGTAAGGCGCGGCATGAACAGTACTCTTCTCCGGCCCTTTTAGTAGTCTACTCTTGTGCGACTGGCTTGAGGCGAGGAACGTATCGGCTTCCTGCTCTCTTACCGCAGAGTAAAGTGGCTGATACGCGGCATCCCAGCGGAAGAAGAATGAGGACGGGTCGTAGTAGGTAGTCTGCTGAAGGTATCGGAAAGTAATGAGCCAAACTAAGCCGAGCACAAAGTTGACGACCCGAAAATCGACTATGAATCGCGATAACGAAGGAGATGATTTAGTCATTAGGGCATTCTTTGCTACGTATGCCGAGCGAAGGCGAAAATGCTTTAATCGTCGGAAAACAACAAGATGACATGAAAGGAGTGTTTTGTCGGAGTTCTAAAACTAGCCAGGCTCTACTACTAATATGAAAGGCACCTCGCAGGGATTCTGCCTACGATGATTCAACTCCATATTATAGCCTAAAGCGTCTCCACGAAACGCGGGCATTAATAGCATTGCAGACGGGGCGGTTCATACAAAACGATTGCTGGAGGATGAAGTGGTAAGCGCTAGCCGGCGGGATATCCATGCTCAATGGCTTCTTGGGCTGCTGAGCCCTTGTGAGAATACGCAGCCAACTCTCGAGCATCTGTCGTTGACGTAGATGGGCTGTCAATTCAGAGCATCATCTGATGCGCCAAGTGTTGTTCGTTCGCCTTGGTAGGCGTATATGATGCTGAAAGGGGCAACACTACCACGGCTCTAATGTTTAGTATTTCTTGACCATCGTCATATTCCGCGCTAGTACACGTATTAGATACGAGATGGTCTACTCCTTGGCGTTTCAAAGACTACAGTGAGCTTCTCGTCCGGAACACCGGCGCTCGGAAATAAAATAAAGTTATGATGCCCATAGGGCTGCTCTGTGTATCGAGATGTCACAATAAGCTCAACTGATTCAACCCGAAAGGTTTCTCATAAACAACCGGCAGAGGGGGAAAAACAAGTCTGTTGCTAATAAATGGCCTAGTCACAGCTAGTCTCATGCTGCCAGATTTTTTGGGCTGCTTTGCGTGCGGGCCTTGACGGAATATTGCCCCCGTTCAGGGGAATAGACGCCCGCCACCTCAGCTAAGATTATCTTACCCTCATTACGGCGTAGTAGGGAGGGCCAATACGCTCGTAAAAGTCACTGGGCATTAACGCCGCCGGCTATAGCGGCTCTTGTTTACTTGGCATGTCGTATCAATATTTGGATCTAGAACACGTTCACGTCGAATATGAATAACGAATGCGTACTATCCTTTCTAATGATTGAACATTATCATGAGTGGCAATACAGATGCTTCAGCCGAAGTAGCACATGTATTGATGCCGGTAATTAATTGATCTACATATTATGAGCTATGCTGGGTGAAATAAGCAGCAATTAGTGGTTGTCGCTAATGAAAGTTAAAAGCTTATTCCATGCATTGCAGCGCGTTGTGAGACGTTCTGAAAAGCTAACCGCGACAGTAATAAAATATTCTTACGCTATTCTTTGTTGGCGGCTCTGTGTTTCACTGCATGTCAGCTGAAAGCGCCCTCAACTGCCATTTAGATCTCGCTCGACAGCGTTGTCTCATACTTTTTCTTTCTCCGTGCCCTAACTCCTGGCCTTTCAACCTTTTTACGAAGTTTACGAGCGTTTTGTGTGTAGCACTGCCACTGACACTATGGTCTAATTCCCACAGCAGCCTCCACTTAGACTTCTGAGCTTTCCTCCCCATCGTAACACGCAATAAAGGAGCAGCCGTCATTTCAATCGCTTTGGCGTGTCGCTCGAAAGAGAATATCAATTCGAAAAAAAAAACCCCCCCCATGTCGAGTTTTTTCGCTACAATTGGTTGCGGATGTGAAAAAAGAGCACAAAAATGACCTGTGGAAAGCGCTGCTATCGCCGGCGCCATCAATGCTCACGAGGACCCCAACCATATGTCTTAACTTGTTCGAGTTGATGGTTAAGGAATCAACAACCAGCTAGCGTTCTGCAATTACATATACTACAAGAGGAGAGGTCTTTCCCCACAATGAGGCTCTTCTTTCTTTCCCCTGTAATCTATTCGATCGTTAAGCCAAGAAGCCAAGATACCAAGCCAGATACCAAGCCAGATCGGAAGCTCGCTAATCAATCGCCAAGGCAAAGCTTGACGATAGGCGCTTCACTGGCGATATTACCCCAGCAAGCGGCAGCAGAAAAAAGAAATAGCGATTTATATATTCTTATCGCTACAGAGCGTTTCTACATATGTACCCTTGCTATCATCTTCTGTTTCCACGCATGCACTGTGTGAGGTCTCGTCGAATGTCAGCAACTCGTTCAACAACTTCCCGAATTTTGCATTTTCTTTGAAATACTATAACATTTGCAACGAACATCTATTCGTGCAAGTCTCTGATTGATGTCGAAATTAAAGAACGAAATGCCATTAGCCTGTCATCAATCCAGATGAACTATTTATGCTGAACCATTCTTTATAGGAGATGTCGAAGGTGCTACTACCGCCTTTGTCAAATTTTAGACTTCATGTTCCTTTTACCTGCCTATAGCCTATAAGGTAGCTTGAGCATTACTAGCTGGTTACCAGTAGCAATCGCGGCTCACGTATACATAACGCTTTAAATACGTCGAATTCCGGATTTTTTTTTTTTTACCAACCTGCCCACAAAGCTGACTTAGAGGAAAGCACATAGCTCTCTGCCTCATTGCGTATACAACTGGCACTGTGCCGTCAACATCACGACCTAGCTACGGTAGCACAATTTGAGTGTGGCGCCATAGTGCTAATTCCGACTCTAAAACTACATGTACGAAGGAGCCGCCTACACGCATTTGGCATTTGTGCCGAGCGGAATAGCTGCCGCAAGACCCCAGTGCTCGATTAGCTCGAACATGCTTAAAAGGAACTTTAGAGCGCCCCAATATACAAGTATCAAGGCCTGGTTGGCGGTGCTTGGCATACCGTTACATTCGGTACCACCTTGAGCGGAGGCAAAGTGCCTAGAACCCGAATCATAGGGCACTTTTGAAGGGCGGCTTGCATGAAATACGCTATAGATACTTCGTGATGGCATTTGAAGCCCAAAGATAAGACACGGAAGCTAGGCATGTCACGCTATCACTGTAGCTCCAAAAGGAGGGAAAGGTAGGGGGAGAGCGAAATATTAGAAAAGCAGAAGCAACGAGCTACTACCAGAGACACGTAAAGCCTGTCGCTCGTTTTTCTGAGATCGAGCTCTTTGTCATATCCGTCCCAGCTCTTAGTGGCCTCGTATCCCACCATTCGCGATCGACCATTGTCTGCCAAAAGTCCCATCGCGTGGAGCGAATCTGCGCGTCTCGTTCCGGCAGGTCGACCAAAGTGCAGTGCAGTTACTGCAAGATTGAACCCCAATCTGCCTCGCTCACGGGAAACCAGCCTTCTTCGGCAGTTCCATCGAGCAGATTCACTTAGCTCAAGGCCCAGAAGCATTGCTGGGATCGAAAGCCGTGAGCGGGGAGGCCCTTGGGAGGATCTGCATAATGCGGGCGGTCTAGTCATGATCCAATCAGCGAGCAAGTTAGAGCATTTGATCATCCTCAATCCCAAGCTGTAAAGGCAATAAGATTGTTTTCGCTCGTACTTGTTTGCTGTTCGTCGCGCTATAGCGTTGCACTGCCCTCGTTTATTTGGCTGGGCCATTGGCGGAACTTGCTGTCGGTGTACTTTCCTGCCCCGGCTACTACCTTCTAATCGTGGTCAAAAGCCGCATTCAGTTCATACGAGCTTTGATTCCAACAACAAGAATTATAGTCAGCTTGAATGATGCAAAAGGGTTGACTATATATTGTGAGATGCGAACGTACTCACCTGAGAAACACCTGCCTATCGTCCGCGTCTGCCAAGACATTCACTTGGTACTACCAGTACACAAAGTGCAATCTCGCTGTTATCGTTGACCTTCACCATGAAGTCTCTTACACTGCTATCGGCTTTCTTTGCTTCGGCATTGGCTGCCGTTATCCACCCCCCGAAGGTGTCCTACGATGGCTACAAGGTCTTCCGACTAGCCGTCGACAACGACAATATTGACCGCATCAATGGCGTTATTGATAAGCTGAATCTTCAGACGTGGCAGGCTGCTAAGAAAACAGGCTCCTTCACAGATATCGTAGTCGAGCCCAGCCAGCTGGAAGCTTTCAATAAAGAGACATTCGGCTTGAAGACCATTGTCATGCACGAGAATCTCGGTGCCTCTATTGCAGACGAAGCTGCTTTCCAGCCTTACGCTGTTGGCGCTGTCAACAGCACATGGTTCACCTCATACCATGCCTATGCAGACCACCTTCAATTCCTCAACGACCTGCATACGCAGTTTCCCAACACTTCGGAGATTGTCACATCTGGCTCTTCTTTGAACGGCAATCCCATTACTGGCATTCACTTCTGGGGAACTGGAAGCAAGCCTGGCGTCAATCCTGCCGTTATCCTGCACGGCACCGTTCATGCCAGAGAATGGATTGCTACCATGGTGGTCGAGTACTTTGCTTATACTCTCCTCACAAGCACCGACGCTACAACAAAGAGCTTTCTCAACAAGTATGACTTTTACGTCTTCCCTGTTGTGAACGTCGATGGTAAGCTTCCTTGCACATCTCATACGATGCAATCCTGATATTCACAATTGTAGGATTCCTGTATACCCAGGCCACCGACCGTCTGTGGCGCAAGAACCGCCAAACAAACTCTGGAAGCTCATGTGTCGGTCGTGACATCAACCGAAACTGGAATTACAAGTGGGATGTTCCTGGAGGCGCATCCACTGATCCCTGCGCCGAAGATTACAAGGGCGTTAGCGCAGGCGACACCGTCGAGTTCAAGGCTCTCTCTTCATACATTCAGAAGATCAAGACTGCCCAGGGCCTCAAGCTATATATCGACTATCACTCCTATTCCCAACTCTTCATGACCCGTAAGTAATAAACGGCCTACTAGTTAGCCGAGACAAGCACTAAATCATGAGTTCAGCCTATGGATATTCTTGCAGCGCCGTCGCTCCCAACAACAACGAGCTGCAGTCTCTTGCAAAGGGCGCCGTTGCCGCCATCCAGGCCGTCCACGGAACATCCTTTGCCTACGGCCCCATCTGCTCGACCATCTACCAGGCCACCGGCTCCAGCGTCGACTATGTGAATGATGTTATCGGCTCGGATTACACCTTTACCTCTGAGCTGAGAGACACTGGCAGATACGGCTTCGTGCTGCCGGCTAACCAGATCCAGCCCAGCGGAGAGGAGGCATATGCAGGCTTCAAGTACTTGCTGCAGAACATGAAATAGGCGCAGAAGAAGGAATAAGGAAAACAAAATAGTCAATACATAACCTCACAAGCTCCCTTTTGAGTGAATCCTACAGTTTCCGTCAGCCATTGGGAGTTGTGAAACGCTATAGTCGCTGCATCAACTAGCTTCAAATCCATCTAGAGGGATCGCACAACCGATTCGTGCACGAGCCAATCACCGTTCTCGATATTATACAGCTCTTTTTCCCCTCCTCCAACTCTTTCTCTTTTCAGTAAATGGTCTTTCAGCTCGCCTGTTGGATTGTCAAAATCTCCGCTTTGGTTCCAGGTTAGTGGCTTAAACAAGCCACTCAGATGTGCAAACTATGTGATGTTGGTCGTCTTATCTGACCAATATGGACATATAACAAAAGCTTCTCCAATACTGGGCCTCGGTCCCCCGCATTAAAAGAGCCGAAGTGACGCAATGCTGCAGTTAAAATCATAGGAAAAAGCCGTACTATTAAGTCGGGTCGCGCCAGTTTTTTATTTTATTTTTCCAGTTACTCTTTCTATAGAGGATTTACTGTTTGCGTATTCGTCACGATGGCGGCCCGCGCCTCAATCACCGCCGTGCTACTGGCCGTGCTGCTCGGCTATGTGTACAACTCGTATCTGCAGCGAGCCCTTGTTGTAATGGGCGCCTTTCGACAAGCAGGAAGCACAGAGCTGGCGCCTGGAGACTTTGTAGTTATTGATGGCACGACACACTGCGAGGACCTGCATTATCACGAATCCACCGGCCTCATCTTCACTGCGTGTGAAGGTTTCCAAGGGGCCCGTCTGAAGTGGTTCCCTCCGATCGACCACTTTTTTGAGCCATCACACCCTGAGCTTGTCAAAGGGAATCTCCAAATAATTGACCCAAAGGTAAGAGTGATAAGTAATGCTTTTGATATACCAAGGCGGGGGGGTTTTTTTTTCTAACATTTCAGCGCAGACATTAAAGGCACAGGTTCTGGAGCTTGAAGGCTTTAGCGGTCCATTCGTGACTCATGGCATTGATGTTATTGATGACCCGAACAAGTCAAAAGGCGAAGCGGTTTACATCTTTGCTGTTAACCATAGGCCCAATCCTAAACACTATGGCGAAAATGGTGATGCCAATGCTCCGCAGTGTTATTCAGTCATAGAGCTATTCCATCACGTTGTTGGATCAGGCAAGGCAAAGCACATCAGGACAATATGGCATCCACTCCTCACCACGCCAAACGACATATTTGCCATGTCTCCAACGTCGTTTTTGGTAACCAATGATCACTATTTCAGGACCGGATTTCCGCGAATGTTGGAGGACCTTATGCCTGCGATTGCACACACAAGTGTTATTCATGTCCAGCTCAAGGACTTGAAGCCGGTAAAGAATGACGACGCAGGAGTTCATGCGTCAGTTGCATTAGACAAGCTGCACAATTTGAACGGACTCGGGCACGGTCGAACTGAAGATGAAGTCTTCGTCACCGGCTGTGCCAGCGGTGTCATGCATGTGGGCAAGATCAGCGAAGGCAAGGATGCCGAGAAGATCATCGGCGTCAGCAAAACCATCGAATTTAGCTTACCTGTCGACAACCCGACATACTTCAAGGATCCTTATGCAAATAAAACATTTGATGCAAGTGGAGTTGTTGCATCTGGGCCCACTAGAGGCATAGATTGGTTCTCGAATAAAGGCAAGGAGAATGTGTTAGATCCCAGCATGGTGTGGATGGCCTCGCCAAGGTCCAGCGGACAGAAAGGAGAAGGTGCTGCAAAGGGGGAAGACTGGGATCTCAAAGTCATCTTCCAGGATGACGGGCAGAGAGTGCGAACCTCGAGCGCCTCTGTTTTGCTGGCCATTGACCCCAAAGAGGAGCAAGGCAGACGACGCGCGTGGCTCTTTGTCTCGAGCTATCAATCCAACAACGCCATTGCTGTCAAGATCGATCTATGATGTGGGGACCGCAAGCTTTTATGACTTGTTCTTTATTTCCTTCTCTTTTTGCTTTGCAAAATTGCGGAGATCAGAAGCGGTTAAACATGAGACAATGATTTTACGCATAGCAAGGTGTGCGAATGCCCTGCTATTCCACGTTACCTGGTCGTGGAAGACACGACGTTTGTGCGGTGCTTACCATACAGCGGCGCAAAAGTGCTTCGTCGAGCATCTGAGGTAGATAGATAAATAATCTGAATATTGATAAGACGGAGTCGGCGGCTTGGCTATATATTGCGTCGGCCTAAGTGATTGTATAACATCATCTGCAGCGTTGCATTCTCCAGTCCCCAGAGCTATATATAGAAAGGCAGCATGGGTGCGGAGGGACTCTTCGGACAGACCCATATTCCGAGTCATCACGTCGTTGTATTGCCGCAAACTCACAAGAAGCATCTGTATACGCGTATATGTAATCATCAGTCCATAGGAATACATTAGGATACTCTGACTTCATGAGTCGATAACGCCCACGCCTAGTATCGAGTCCATAACTGTAGTTTCCATATAGTATAGGTAGAATATAGTGTTAGATAGGGAGGTATATGGAACCAAAGCGGGCATAGAAGCGAGCAGACTACCACATTCGGCAGTCTCGGCGAAATCCCTGAATGACAGCGCTTGGCCAGACCTCCATCGACATTACCGATCTGCGGGCATTTGGCGCCCCATCCAATAGCCTATCTCAACACTTAGCATAGTCTATGTGTGTGTGTGTGTGTGTGGGCAGAGCCTGCCGTAACCCCCCGGTTGTCCGCCTGGAAAGACTTTGCGTCGAGTATTTTGCCGTAATTATTCGGTTGGCTGGAAGACTGCAGTGTGGCATGGTGACTGGGGTCGTGATCCCCTTCAAGAGCTCGAAACCTGGAACCGGTATTTTTGACGTCTTTGACAGCCTGTTGGCACTCATTTTAACAATCTAGGCTAATGTTACTTTCAACGACAGGCTGTGGCCGTTAATTTATAGTATGGGGTAACCGGCGTGATTATTGGGGTCACCACCTGCGACGACAACGAAGCAATGCGAGATTGACATCCCCTCCACCACTTCTCTCCATTTCTGGCAACTTTTTGGAGCTTCCAGACCTGGCGCAGTTCGCAGAGCGGCTTTCGGCCCAATTGTCCAAATCTGAACCTCATGTCTCGGGCTTTTAAATGGAGAAGTACAGCTTTGTTGGGAGGAAACGATTATAAATGGCGTGCTTGAGAGATACAAGTCGAGGCATTTTTTCGGTTTCTTGTGGGCTCGGCTTAAACCGCACTGCGCTGCACCGTAGAATGCCAGATTGGGACCTCGCAGGCCAATCAAGAGGGCGGGATTCGATGGAGCCACATGAGTAAGAGAGGAGTAAGAAGATATACTTGCGATGTAGCAGGTTGTGAAAAATTTTTATCTGATCATCTTATCAATCCATCTAATCTCTAGCGGGCATCGTCACTCCACCACCCCTGGGGCTTGTATCCAGTTCTACCCACATAGTTAGTGTTAAATTGTGGTAATATAGCGACGTCGGCGGCCCTAGTTGTCGGGCGGGAGCCGCCAGGAAAAACTGTTCTCGTGAGATTGAAGTATGTACCTACAGTAGTGTGGCGTGGACACGGCAGTTTTCTGATTCCAGAACTAGCATTTGTATGGCACGCAGATACAGCTCCTGGTACCGCTAACCGTTACATGGGGTCGTTCTAATAAAAGTAAATGCTAATTTTTATTTTGTCTCGTCTTCTCTTGATAACCTTACAAGCAAGGACGGGTTGGGAAGGTGTCCAAATGTTTAGTCTAGGCGCTGACTCCACACGATTGGAAACGACTAGCATCAAGGGCCGGGCGAGACCTGCAGGCTCCGCAGCCCATTCTGATTATGCTCAAGGTTACAGGGCAGTTTGCATGTTAAACTTTCACACGCATACATACATGCATTGTCTCGTTTCTTGGATGTTGAGATCTGAGCTAGGTACCCCTACCGTCTCTATCCTAGCCTCACGCAACGTTGTCCCGAAATCCGACTCCGACCATGTCCCGAATCAAATTGTAATATCTGAGTCAAGGCAGTAGCTCGAGTTCCTCCGAAATGTGGATTGTTTAAGCTTCGGCAGTAGCCCGTCTGGCCAAGTTTATTGCCAGATTCGTGTGGGTAGAGAAGCGTTGATACGCCATTGATGCCTCGGGTAATACCTGAAAATCTTCAATAAGCCAACCGTAGCCATATCTTGTGTGGATACCACATGTATCCGGTAAAACTGTTCAAAGACTGGGCTACATAGGCATATATATCATGGACCTTTGGCGTCTCTGATGTTTCCCAGCTTGCCAGCCCCTCAGTCATCGTAGACCACTCTACGAGATCAAGTTAACAGGATGCTATCACGGATGCACTACCTCCTGTGCCTGCTTTTCGCAGCCTGTGCTTTGGCGGCCAAGCCCCTTAGCAAAGAGGTTTGCGGCGCTTCCTGCTATTACACGTTGAGCAAGGCCAAGTTCGCTTCGGATAACACCACGGAACAAACGCTTTGCACTCACCCGTTGCGTGTCACTTCAACATACTTGTGCATCTGGGAACACTGTAAAGATTCGGAAATAGCACCAGGTATTGCCTGGTGGGCTTCGACGTGTAAGAAGTCTTCCAAGGTGGTCAACCTCAAAATATACGAAAGCACCACTGCCAATGTCACGCAAGCATACATCGATGGCCTTCCTACTGTCGAGCAGACGCAGAAAGCCATTGTCGATGTTGTGTCGAGGCCATCGGATTCGAACTGGAACCAAGTTCATCGAACTGTCCTCACTTACTGGACTAACATTGTGTACCACCAGAAGCTGAGGTAAACAACCTTACTATGACACCCGCTCTTCTAGTCCTTCGGCTAACAGATGCTCAATAGATGGATCCCTTATGCTTACTGGGGATTGGTGCTTTTCCTGGGCACAGTCAGCCACGCAATTGCTTCGATTCCAGTGAAACGATCTAGCCAGCCGGTCCGAAAGAACAACACGGGAGCGAAAGTAAAGGGATGGTTCCATCGCAACCTGATGATGGCTCCTACATTCTCATACCATCACCATCAGCCTTTGGGATGGTTCATCGTCCCGCTTCGGTTACAATCTTTGGTGATTGCTGGTTACATCATCACTCAAATCTTCATGCTGGCTTTCCATTACCCTGTGTTCTCAAACAATATTTAGTAGGTCTTGACTATCAGCTGCTATAACTATATGTAATACTTTACTAACAGACTACCAGCTACAAAACCATCACAGGCCAAGTGTGCAGAATTCTGGGGGACAGGCTTGGTATCTTCATGACAGCTGAGCTGCCACTAATCTTCCTCTTTGCCGGACGATCAAATCCCTTCGTTTACCTCACCGGATGGAGCTACAGGACATTTAGTATCTTCCACCGTTGGATCGCACTGATCTTGACTATGGAGGGTATTATTCACGGTTGTGTATTCTCAGCCTACTATGTCAACGGTTAGTATGCCTTTACAACGTCCACAAAGGAATGACGCTGACAATCGTATAGAGCAAGGATGGTCTGGCTACCACGAAGAGCTATCAACTGATCCTACTTTCAAATATGGACTTCTTGTAAGCCGATATTTTAAATACAATACTTTTCTACAAGATGCTTACACAGAGTTTAGATGGTCATATCATTGTCAATTTCCGCAGCTTTTGCCTTTGGCCCCATTCGCAATCGAATTTACGAATTCTTCAAAGCTTCTCACGTTTCCCTGACAGCCATCTTCCTTGCTGCGTTGTTTTAGTAAGCAAAACAAGCCCATCTTGCATCTGCACTTGCTAACAAAGCCTTAGTCACATCGAGGGCCAGTTCAAAGGCATATACAAGGTCTGGGTGTGGGCCTGCGTTGGCCTATGGGCCGGTGACCATGTCTTCCGTCTACTACGAGTCCTTGTAATGAACTACAAGTCGTTCCTCGGACAAGGCTCTCTGGCATTGGCTAGTTACAGCGAAGAAACTGGCATGATTCGACTCCAAGTCAAGCCTTCTATCAACAGCAAGCGCCAAACTCCAGGAACTTACTTCTTCGTATACTTTCCGGGTATGCGCTTTTGGGAGACACACCCATTCACTCTAGCTGGAAGGTCAAAGCAAATCGACGATATCTCGATATACAACAGCAGCAGCGACCAGCCAAGCGACAAGGAGAACGGCACGCAAACTCCTCGCGTGACCGAATTGACTTCCGAACAAGGCGATACTCACATGACCTTTATGATCCGTCCTCGAGATGGAATGACTCGAAGACTACGAGACAAGCTGGTGAGCAAAGGTGAATCCGGCCCGCTTCGTGTCAGAGTCTTCCTTGAGGGTCCGTATGGTACACCTGCTCGCCTCGACCATTTCGACGATATTCTCTTTATTGCTGGAGGCAGTGGAATTACCACTGTGCTGCCATACCTCCGCATGTTCTTCGAAGACCAATCATCGCAACCACCTCCGAATGTGCACCTGGCTTGGGCTGTGCGAGATGAAGGTTTCATTCGAGACGTGCTTGCCAACGACCTCCGAGCTACTGAGGGATCTGCTTTTGCAGCATCGAAGCTCAACATGGAATTCTACATCACTTCGGGGGCTTCAGGGACTTCCACTCCTACGCCAGTGTCAAAGGAAGCAGGAAACGCCACTTCCGACTCTAGATTCAAGAGAGTGCGTCCTGACATTCACACGATGGTTGATAACTTTGTCAACCAGTCTCAAGGCCGAGCAGCCGTGTTTGTCTGCGGCCCGGCTGAGATTGCTGATACAACACGGCAGGCCGTGCTTAGGCAAACAAGGAAAGTTCATGTTGACGTTGAGCTCTTTGAAGAGATGTTTGTTTGGTAAATGGAGACCGAAGCGGGACTGCGGTCAATTGGGCAAATTGGGTTTAATGAGGCGTATTGAAAATCTGGCGGTATACACACGGTGGGCCATATCATATACATTGATTGGACAGAATCGAAATAGCAATCAATTTCTTGATGGTCTCTCTGCGCATATACACTTCGTATATACGTACTTTGTAATTTTTTAGAAAGGTGAACACGAGTAATTCCATGATAGTGGAGTATTTCTAGCCAAGAATCTTGGCAATCCCATTACTCCGACTTAGTATCTTATGATAGCACCAATCTCATGATAACTCAGAAAAAAATGAGCTATAATAGCGGCACCGCCATATGTAGACAATAGAGGCCTGAGTGATTAGCCTAATAGTGGACGTCTCCGCACGGCTAAGCTTGCTTCTCCTCATGAAGCCAATTTCCCATAACAGCCATTATTAGAAGGTTCGGAGAGAAGGAATAGACGATGCATTCACACCGAATGCAAGCTAGAGACTCATCTTCATCAAGACAAATTATCTATTACTCCAATCGCATAACGCATAATCACATTTCTTCGCCATGCCATTGGTTCGCAACCCCATTCTGCCGGGGTTCAATGCCGACCCTTCTATATTGAGGGTTGGCTCGGATTATTATATCGCTACATCGACGTTTGAGTGGTATCCTGGGGTGCAGATACACCACTCCAAAGACTTGGCGAACTGGGAGCTCGTTGTGCGTCCCTTGACCCGCCGGAACCAGATCGATTTGCGTGGCGAGCCAGATAGTTGTGGAGTTTGGGCTCCCTGCCTAACGCATGATGGCGACAAATTCTGGCTCGTCTATACAGACGTGAAGCGCAAGGATGGGTCATTCAAGGATACGCACAACTATATCGTGACGGCACCTAAGATTGAAGGTCCCTGGTCTGATCCCATCTATGCCAACTCATCTGGGTTCGATCCTTCTCTGTTTCACGATGAAGACGGTCGTAAATGGTTCATTAATATGACCTGGGACCATCGGGCAAGGCCGAATACTTTTTCAGGGATCGCGCTACAAGAGTTTGATCCGATTAAGCGCAAAGTAGTCGGCCCTCGAAAGATTATCTTCCACGGCACTGATCTGGGACTGGTAGAAGGGCCGCATTTGTATAAACGAAGCGGATGGTATTATCTTTTGACAGCTGAAGGAGGCACCGGATACGACCACGCAGCAACACTTGCGCGGTCAAAATCTCTTTGGGGCCCTTACGAGCTTCACCCACAAAAGCACATCCTATCTTCCAAAGACACTCCATTCGCGGCGCTGCAAAGAGCTGGCCACGCCGATATTGTAGAAACACCAGAAGGCAAAACATATATGGTGCATCTTGCCGGTCGACCCATTGGACAGAGCCGAAGATGCGTGTTGGGGCGAGAGACGGCTATACAAGAAGCGTACTGGGACGAGGATGACTGGTTGTATGTCAAGAATGGCCCAGTTCCATCATTGGAGGTCGATGTGCCAGGAACTCGTGACGAAGACGCCTACTGGGAAGAGAAACGCTATGCGTTCGCAGATGGCCTTCACAAAGATTTCCAATGGCTGCGGACGCCAGAACCAGAACGCATATTCGGTATTCAAGAGGGCAAGCTTGTACTCACAGGAAGAGAATCCATCGGCTCGTGGTTCGAACAATCACTCGTGGCTCGGAGACAGACACATTTCTCTTTCGATGCTGAAACTGTCGTCGATTTTTCACCAGAGGATGAACGCCAATTCGCCGGCTTGACGCTGTACTACTGCCGATACAATTTCTTCTACCTCGTCGTGACATCACACTCGGATGGCGAACGCGAACTCCAAATTATGCGGTCAGAAGCATCTTGGCCAGAAGGAAAGCTCGCGGATCGTGGTTCAAGCGCCCATGTCGTGAGCCTTCCCGCAGAAGGCAAGGTCAAGCTTGCGGCCACTATTCGCGGAAGCCAACTACAGTTCTCTTATGCCGTTCTGGCAGACAACGGTGAGGAAGAAGGAAAACTCGAGCGATTTGGACCTGTCTTGGATGCCTCGATTGTTTCAGATGAGTGCGGTGGGCATCAGGCTCATGGCAGCTTCACGGGATCTTTTGTTGGGGTGGCCTGTTCGGACTTGAATGGGACGGAGAAGAAAGCCACGTTTGACTACTTCTTGTACCGCCCTGCGCATGATAGAACAGATCGGTATACCATATAGAAGGAGAGTCTCATGGGCTTTTGAAAAAGTGGGAATGTTTAAACTTATCTACTAGGTATACAACTGTTTCGATAGTGGCACATTAGATGAATGTACATCTATACGTATTCTTCGACTGTTCTACTATTGACCTGATCTGATTTGAAAAGAATGAGTAAATTCCTCCGACTTACGTGTCACTTCCTTGATGCTAAGGCCGTGGCAATCGGAGTGTTGGCTGAGGTGAAATGGAGTTATATGCAGGGAGAGAGATCAGCACCCAGCCAACTAATAATATCTTGCGCTAAGTGCCGAAAGCCTGGTTGAATCACCCGTTATAAGGGCTAAATAATTTTCATGCGAGTGTGAATGCCAGGGGTATCAGCAGTACTACTAGTAGTACCAAGCAACCAGTTGTCTCAGTTGGTTGATTCATTTTAAATTGTCTCAGTGCGAGGCGCTAGTCGGACCGTTTGGCTGTTACGCAGCTTTTGTCTATGTAATCGTCTCTCTCATAATCTCGTAATCAGAGAAAATAGAATAGTTTTATTCCTTTCTTTTTAAGCCTACTGGGTAAAGTTAGATCCTAATGACACTTCGACGCCGGAGTTGATTAGTGAGCTACAGCATTCAACAGACTGCCATCAACATGAGCTGCCTAATGGAGCATTGCTTCTTGAGTCTTGTGAGACGTTCAAGCGAACTTAATCGAGGCTTTTCTCCACTTCGGAAAGATTGAGTGACGGCAGTGGCGGGACTATGGCTTAGAATGGTTCCGAAAGCCGCCAACAGTTTTGTCGTATATCAAACTGAATGTTCTTAATGCGTAGTGTTGTGGCCCGCTTCCGCCCAAAAGCACGAATAACGAGTAAACATCTGCCGATTGCTTTCCAATTTCATCTTTTCATCTTGCCATCAGTCCGGTTTCATCCGCAAGCGGCCATGTAACCTCCCCGCCCTTGAAGTAATCCATTCCCCAAAATAGAAGCGAGAACCTGATCTAGTTTTACCCCACACTTCCAATGCGATCGCTTTGTCTACCGCAGACAGCGCATATACGAGGCATGATCGAGGAGGAGCTGCAGGGAGAATGCCATGGAGCATTGTCAAATCATTAGCAAGTAAGGCCGAGAGTTACGTAGAGAGTCTTGGCGGTCCTACACACACATATATATACTGTATCGAGGGAGGGTCGCGTCCGAGACCTTGTCGTTTGGAATGGGAACTTCCCGCCTCGTGGTTTTCTAGACGGTAAAAAAATGTTGGCCCCGCGACTTCTTGTACCTATTCTCTTGTTTTCAATAGCCGAAGCTGTCGAAGAGACGGTTAACGTAGGCTACTCTGTTTATAAAGGACAAGCTCTTTCAAATGGCGTAAGCCAGTGGCTGGGAATTCGATACGCAGCACCGCCGTTGGGTGAGTTGCGATTTGCGCCGCCACAGGATCCTCCTCATACAGAAGGCGTACAAGATGCCACACAGGTCAGTTTCCACATTCATAGTGACTCAAACTAGCAAATTTTACTGAATGGCAAACCATATAGCATGGGAAATACTGTCTTGGGACTGGCCGTTCCCCCACAGATACGGATACATCAGAGGACTGTTTGTTCTTAGATGTGCAGGCTCCAACATCAGCCACGGCCGGTGCGAAACTTCCCGTATTCCTCTACATCCAAGGCGGCGGCTTCAGTCTCAATTCGAATCCCAACACAAATGCATCGGGTCTAATAATAAACAGCGGCCACGCCATTGTCGTTGTGAGCCTCAACTATCGCGTTGGTCCATACGGCTTCATGACAGACTGCGATAAAATCCTTCCCAACAATGGCCTCCGTGATCAGCGAAAGGTCTTGGAGTGGGTGCAGAAGCATATTTCTCGATTTGGCGGCGACCCAAACCACGTTACTCTTGGTGGAAGCAGTGCCGGAGCAGCCAGCGTGACATTTCATCTAGCCGCCAATAACGGTACTGACCAAGGGTTCTTTCATGCCGCCATTGCTGAATCTCCTTCCTTTGCTTCGACTCTCTCAGTTACTCAATCCCAGTACATGTATACACAATTTGCAACTCGCGTAGGCTGTGTCGGTAAAGACAACCTCGCCTGTATGCGCAACAAGACAGCTGTGGAGCTTCAGACAAACAACTTCAATATTCCTTTGCCGGGTGCTTCCAAGCCACCCAACTATATGTGGCTGCCTGTGCTCGACCGAGAATTTGTACAAGACTTCTCCTATCGAGTATTTCAAAAGGGGAAGTTCGTTAAAGTGCCAACCATCTATGGCGACGATACCAACGGAGGGACCAAATTTGCTCCTAAAGATACAGCCACCCTCCAGCAGAGCAATAACTACGTGCTAGATCAATACCCTGATCTCACTTTGAACATGCTTGGGCAAATCAATGAGATGTACCCTAATCCAAACAACAGCTGTCCGGCTATCGGCTGCTATTGGAGGCATGCCAGCAACGTGTACCAAGAGGCCCGTTACATGTGCCCAGGTATGTATGTCAGCTCGGTGGTCACGAAGCACGGTAAAAATGCTTGGGTATATCGATGGAACGTTGAGGATCCTGACCAGATGGCCTCTGGACTGGGCGTTCCTCATACTGTCGAGTTAGCTGCTCTTTGGGGTGCTGATTATTTCCCCGATCCGCCGGCGAGCTACCGCGATGGCCAGATCAATGCCAATGCTTCGCGCGCTATGCAGCACTATTGGTTGAACTTTATCAAATACTACAACCCCAATGGGCGGCCCGTCGACTCTTCCAGCAACTATACCAAGTGGGAGGCGTGGGCAGACAACGCTCAAAGTCGTCTCACGTTTCAAACCGGGGGCCTGACGGAAATGATCTTCGTTGATTCAGGTTTGAAGCGGCGGTGTGAATTTTGGTCTACAAACGGTATCGCATTGACTATGTAAGGGCGCCGGAGATGATACTATAAAGCGATCCTTCGTTGCTATACATGTTATCAAACAGACATGGCTGCCTGTTTGCTCTCATGCTCTTCTGAATGCCTTTGAAGTTTATCAAGCATTATTACCCTCCGTATATAACTGAAGATAAATACATAGACCAATTGCAGCTATGCGGAAAGATCTCAGTTGCATCACCGCTTGTCTCACATAAACATGCACTATTCGTATTCGGGTGACCTAGGAGCCGTTCTCTAAGTCATATTGCTTCAGTACTAACCGTTTCATCTCGGGAATGTATAACGGTCCTATCCATAACAAAAAATACGGGCTTTTACCACAGACGATAAGATTCTAAACGATGTTATCTTGTAGGCGCCGAGATACCTGCGGCATGACGACACGTGATGGTTCTCCCCGCACGGTTTGATAAGCTCTCATTATCCACATGTATGTAACCTCAGCTTAGACAGCACTGAGCGAGAAGTCATCTCGCCATATTAACTGTATAGAAACTTTGTTATATAAAAGCTACAAGAAATTTACTCGAAATGTCCAAGCCTTACATGCTATGGGTTGGCGGCAAAGAAGTGGCGGGCACCGGTGAGCCGTATGTTGCTGCTCCATGTTCCCACTCTCAAGACGAAGCTAAAGTCGCTTGTATAGCATAGCTGTTGAGAACCCAGCAAAAACGGCAATATTTGCAGAGTAAGAGGATCCCTCCCGTCAAATATGCGTTTTCTACAAATACCATCATTCGTGTTCTAATTTTCTGGCTAGATGCCATTCCGCATCACCTCAAGATGTCGACGACGCTGTTCAGCTTGCTCATAAAGTCTTCAAATCTGGAGTTTGGGCCAAAGCTCCTCGACACACACGAGCTGACGTGTTGGATAAAGCAGCCGACCTTCTCGCTTCGAGGCTTTCTGTGCTAATCCCCCTGGAGGTGGAACAGACGGGAAGAGCCATCAGAGAGATGCAGGCCCAAGTCCCATCTCTGGTTCGCTGGTTTCGCTACTTTGCTGCCGTGCTTCGTACTGAAGAGCGTCCCGTCCTACCAACGATGGGAAAGCTGCATAACTGGATAGAGCGGGTTCCCCTCGGCGTCGTTGTTCAGATCACTCCGTTCAACCATCCTTTGCTCATCGCAGTCAAAAAACTTGCCCCTGCTCTAGCGGCAGGGAACAGCGTTGTGCTGAAGCCGAGCGAGCTCACGCCTCTCACGAGTTTACTACTAGGGCCAATTTTGAAAGAAGCAGGGCTTCCAGACGGCGTTTTCAACGTTCTGCCCGGCCTTGGAGCTACAACAGGACGTGACCTTGTAAGTCATCCGCTTGTCCGGAAAGTCGACATTACCGGAGGAACAGTTGCCGGAAGAGCAATTGGTTCAATTGTCGGTAATAACTTGGCACGCTACAATGCAGAGCTAGGCGGAAAGGCACCCTTGATTGTGTTCGAAAAAGCGAATCTTGAAGTCGCTGTCAATGGCGTCGCATTCGGGTCATTCATCGCGACGGGCCAGACTTGCGTTGCAGCCACACGGATCATTATTCACAATAGTATTCTCGCAACTGTAGAAGAGAAGCTTTCTCAAAAAGCCAAATCCATTGCGCGACGTATGGGCTCACCTACAAACACAAATTCAGCAATGGGCCCTCTGATTTCATCTAAACAGCTGGGAAACGTCGTTGGCCTCGTTGACGATGCTGTTGCGAATGGCGCGAGGGTTGTTTGCGGCGGAAAGAGAATGACTGGTATTTCTGAAGTCGATGGCACGAATTTTGCCGAGGGCTACTTTTTCCCACCAACAATCTTGGCTTCCAGTCCCGAATGCGATATTACCAAGACGAGTATCTGGCGCGAAGAGGCGTTTGGTCCAGTCATTCTGCTTGTTGGGTTTGAGAGCGAACAAGAAGCGCTGAAACTCGCCAACGATAGCGAGTTCGGCCTGGGAGCGGCGCTGTGGACCGATGATCTGAGCCAAGCTTTCAGGGTCTCTGAGCAGATCGAATCTGGCATTGTCTGGGTGAACACGCACCATCGGAATGACCCGAGCAGCCCATGGGGTGGAGCAACTACTGCCAGCGGCGTGGGAAGTGAAAATGGAGTTGAGGCATATTACGCGTATACAACGACGAAAAGTATCATTATCAATTATGCTGCCGGGGATGAGGCCGCAGCAGACGATTGGTTTAGAGAAGACGGTGCTCAGGTTCGTTACGGATAAGCTATCATCAATGCTTGGCTAGAAATGGAAACTTTGTTCTACTAAAGCATACTAGCTCAACGAGGATGTATTACGATAGGGCTGGCTATATAAATAGAATTCAATTTGGAAACATAGATTAGGCCGCTGACTGTTTTTAACCAAATCTGTAATATTGCCCTGTTTGCGGAATTTCAGTGGTTCTGCGGAGTTAGTTGGTAGAAGCGGCCGCTGAGCGGCCGCTTATCTCCATGCATATAGCAAAGTGCGGGAAATTGCGATATTAGTAGTGAGCAACGTACGCAACGTACAGTTGGTAGCTGGCTCAGGGCTCGTGGCTTGTAATTTCATGCCAAATGTACTGAATTCTGTCAACACAGGAACTCGACAAATTACACGCGTTGAGCGGAGCGGACAAAAGCTTCAATTTTGTTCGCGGAGGCTCCCAGCAGAAGTCTCCGTTGACAATGCGGTTGGATAGAAGTATAAGTAGGAAGCCACTTCGACAGTTCGTAATAATAAATAAACAATTAAAAAATCAATATTCAATCGTTTCCTTGTCGACATTTCCGCCCTACGTATAACATCAGTGCAGTGTAACTTTCGTCATGCCTTCATCCAACTTCTCACCAAGCTCGATTCCCGATCTGTCAGGGCGAGTGTATATCGTTACCGGAGGCAACGCCGGCTGGTACGTCCACTCCAACTGCCGAACCGGCATTTGCCAAGAATTAGGAAATAATTCTCCAAAATTTTAGTGGTTATGAAACCGTTATCGGTTTGGCAGCTCGCGGAGCCAAAGTTTATATGGGTGCGCGCAGCAAAGACAAGGCCAATGCCGCCATTAAAGAAATTCAAGAAAAGCACCCATCTGCCAACATTCACTTTCTCGATCTCGACTTGACCAAATTTTCCAGCGTCGTCGCTGCTGCCAAAAGAATTCGAGATGAAGAAACAGCATTGCATGGACTCGTTAATAATGCTGGCATTATGGGTGTGCCTTATTCCGTAACAGTAGATGGTTATGAGATCCAATTGCAGGTACGTTATCTAGCAGAGCTAAGAAGCTGCCTCTTTTATGCAATTAAAATTCAACAACTCATCTGACCAAACGCATTAGACCAATTACTTATCACATTGGCTCTTGACCTATCATCTTCTTCCTCTTCTTCAATCTAGTGCTCGATCAAACCCCGAAGGAACTGTCCGATTGGTTAATTTGACATCGGATGGGCACAGTTTTACACCCTCAGACGGAATCCGTTTCGAAGACATTGGCCTAGAAAAAGAAGGTGCTATGACAAGATATGGGCAGAGCAAACTAGCAAATATCTTACACACGACGCAGCTGAATAAGAGATACGGTCCCGATTCTAACGAGTCTCAAATCGGGGCAGTTTGGTTTGCTGCCGTGCACCCTGGCCACATCAACACGTAAGTCTTAAAGCCCTAAACTCTCATCAGCTTAATGAATTAGCAGACGATTAACAACAAGTTAGTGATCTGACTAAACAAGCCACTGGAGCTGCGCCAGGGTTCGTCCTTCGTGCTGCTGTACCAGTCATGCGATGTCTCGGAGTTCTGGAGCCACAAGAGAAGGGAGCCTGGTCTTCGCTTTTCTCCATTGCTAGTAACGACTTCAAGAAGGCGAACTCGGGCGCTTATATCGTGCCATATGCGAAAATTGGAACGCCGAGCAAGCATGCACAGGATGAAAGCCTGGCAGAGAAGCTGTGGGAGTGGACTGAGACGGAGCTTCGTGGCAAGGGCTTGCTAGAATAGTCGCAGGCGAAACATGACTTAGATAGGCCCATCATTACACTCGATACAGACTCCCGTATTCTTAATAAAATTCGCTGCTTCCTTTATATATCTATCTATTCATGTCTTGTTACAGGTACACACGATTAGGAGACCAAGTGGCTTACACTTACGTATACTTGGAACAAAATGCTTACACCAGAGCTGACACGGCAAGCAACCGGCATACCCCGCTTCAGCCAATTGGAAGCCAGAGTTTCCGAGCGGACCAATCATCAACTGAGCCAGGGAATCCGCATTTTGCTCTGACGAAAAGGGGATCGGAGTCCGGGACGGCCCCACAGCAGATGAAAGTCAGATCTCTCAAGCATCTCCTCGGTTACTTTCATCTATCAATCTTCATGAATGTTAGACGGATTTTTTCATTATATCCTTTGCATGTACTAATAATAAGATTACAGTACTAACCAGTTATCACCGAAGAAATCTATCTAGAACACTAAATCTCAAATGGAAAAGTTGCCCCAGTGCTCCAAAGTCCCAGCAGCGAAGACTGGGAATCGAAAAGTAAAGACGGGATGTCAAACCTGCAAGTATGCATATTCTATGGACTTTGGTGGAATTAACATTTGCCTGTTGCTAATCCAAAACGGTAGAAAGCGCCGTGTGAAATGCGATGAGAAGAAGCCGGCGTGTCAGAGATGCACCTCTACTGGCCGCGTCTGTGATGGGTATGGGATATGGGGAGGAGGAAATGCTTATGGAAGCTCCAATCAGACTCCATCTTTATCCCATTCGTCTCTGGCCCATTACAAAAAGATGCCGGCCCCGCTGAGCGTCGTATCCATGTCACAGAAGCACAGGATCGCGGGCCAACCCGCGAGCGTCGGCTTTGAGTACTTCCGCAGGTATACTGCTACTAAACTCCCCGGCCTGTTTGAATCTGGGTTCTGGGATTCTCTGGTGCTCCAAGCAAGTGACCAAGAACCAGCTGTTCTACATGCCGTGGCAGCGCTGGGAGCGGCGCACAAGAATGACGAACACATCTCGCTAGTCGAGTATAACAAAGCAATCCAGCATCTGCGCCAGAGCCTAAACAGCTCCGACAGGGATACAATCCGCGTATGCCTCATCACTTGCTTGCTGTTTGTGTGTATTGAGTTGCTGAGGGGAGGCTTCAAGGCCGGGTATACGCATCTCAGTACTGGCCTACGCATGCTTCACGAGATTCAGAGGCGCGACGGAATCACAGCCAATAATGAAATCATCTTGCGGTCGCGCGCACAGTCTGTGGAAGATACGCTCATCGAGGTGTTCTCACGGCTCAACTTACAAACTGCGCTATTTGGCCACGTCTCTGCATATCTGCTTTATATAGGAGAAACCGATCAGGCACCGCGAGTATACGACATACCGTCAACATTCTCATCCTTGACAGAAGCTAAAAAACACATAGATTCTCTCATCAATGGATCCTATTTGCTAGCGCAGCAGGCCACTCAACTGCTTCATGAGCAGCTCTTCCCCTTCCCAGAGATTCTGTACCAGAACCAAACCAATCTGGAGACGGCATTGACAAAGTTCCTGGCCACTTTAAACTCAAGCCAAAAAGACCTAACTAAATATCCGAATTGGCGCTCTGCATTCGGCATGCCAATGTTGGCCATGTATCACACAATGGCAAAAATCATGACGGCTACTGCCCTGCGCGGAGTCGACGAAATGATATTCGACAACCATCTGCAGGACTTCGAGTTGCTTCTCAAACAAGCGTCTGGCCTGTGCGATCAGATGCTCAACGAGATGGCACAAGCTATGCACAAAAAAGTCGCCATCATGCCAGGCCACAACACCTTTACCATTGATATGGGCTTCATACCCCCCCTCTACTACACCCTTGCCAAGTGCCGCCAGCCCAATCTTCGGAGGATGGTTCTCGAGCTACTTCAACGGGTTCCGCATCGTGAAGGCGCCTGGGATGGACCAACGGTGATTCGCATGGGCAAAATTCTCCTCAAACTCGAAGAAGGCAGAATATATGACGGAATCGATATCATACCGAGCTGCAGCTTGCCAGATCCATCAATAGCGGATGATTTGCCTGTTTTGCCGATATCTCAGCGGTTTAACAACATCAATGTAGCGCTACCTGATTCTGCGGATGGCAAGGCCACGTTGTTTTGCAGGCGGTACGAGGGATATGGACTCTGGGAAAGCAAAGTTGCGGAATTTGACGTGACACTTTAAGAGGCTTCGCGGTTCATGGATGTGTGCCCAACGCCTGACTCTATTTTGGAGTGACGGAGCTGAAGAAGGTTATTTGGTATTCGCCGTGACGGCTAATAGATATTGGGATAGTTTTCAAGTATCTCTTAGTCGATCTTGGCACATTTATACCGAAGATGAGGATAGAGCAAGAGTCAACTTGAAGAGAGGAGCTTATTCACACTTACACACGATACATTTACACTACAACATTGCACCTATATGCATATGCCGAAGATTTCCAGTAGCTAGCCAATCAACATATTGCTATCTCGCTCTCCAACATCTTCAGCTGCCCCGTAAAAACGTAACGGTGGGGTCTCATAGTCTAACCTCTGCACCGAATTATATCAACCGTGGCGGCGCCCCAATGGTGAAGGGTTGGACGCTAAGCGCCACAGCTCTGATATCATAGGTCGATAGGTTATGATGGACTGCGTGTGAGGGCATTCCGCAAGTTCAGCAGACTTTCTAGAAATGGAAATATGATTGTTCACACGTGGCTCAAAACCTTGCCCTCAGCCACTTATTTGCGTTTATTGCTTGCCAAGAGGCCTGTCGAGGCGATTGTCTTTGCAATGACAGGAGAAAAATCTATGGTTTTGCCATGTGCAAGTGGCAGATTGAAATCTGACCAAAGCGAAGCCTCTCCGTGTAAGCTACCATCCTAGCAGGAGAAGAAGTGGGCACAATCTATTTAAAATACAACGTAAAACGTATTCACGTAGTGCATAATCTGTGAAGCCATGGTCGTAATCTTTAGCCACAAGTAGTCAAAGAGCATGCTTATCATTGCCAGAGACACCCTTGCATTTGGGGTCACGAGCAACAAAGACCCCCAGAGGATATCCGACGGCGCATGAAAATGGGAGACTAGCCGACGAGCGAAAGCCGCGGGTTATCGAACCATCGGCATTTATGCTGGCGCCTCAACTGCTACTACAGCAGAGATGGCTTGCAAGCTGTGGCGGCACTGTACTGTGTTAGGCGAAGGCAAATGCCATTTCCAGAATCCGGATTTCTTCTCCCGGGGATGGCAATCTATACGCGTACGTGGGGGATGTTATCGATGGGGTGATTCTGAGATTGAAGTCATCTACTTCTACTCCCAGCCCACATAAATGAGAGAGCACAGCACGGGCACATCAACGGACATCGACCGCTGCTTCTCTAACCCCACTAAAGAAGATTTAAAATGCGGAGGAGGAGACTTATCGTGAAGCCATCTCCCAAGCCCCCCGTTTATGCCCTTGCTATCAGCCTCGATGTGAGCTAAAAGCCCCCCACGAACAGCCGCTGAGCTTCTCGCCATCCCCAAACCTCTCCACAGTGTCTTGATAGCCACGTAAATCGGCATATTAGTGCTCATGATACCGCTGCCATCGGCAATTAGCGTGCCTCCTTTCGATGGCTGTCTTTATCTCGCCAGCTCTTCTTTATCACAAGAGCGAGCGTGGGGAAGATCGTTTCTCATCCACTTCAGTTCCCCCACCTGTGTTTGAAGCAGAAGCAGTGATCTTTCGAAAGCGCGTGTACGACGATTAGGCGAGGAGGTATATTAAGAAGAGTCGGGCTACCATGCAGCATTGCTTGCATCCGAATGCAACCCTGAGATAGCCGCCTTGTCGACACCACACTTCATTTGTCGCTAGCTTGCCATCCTCTTCTTCGCTGATTTCCTGGCTGGAACATCGGTCCAATTGAAGAGCAATCGGACGCGACATCCGAAAATCATCGGTTTTGAGTTTGGCAGTTTTGCCCGCGATCTGATTGGGAATCTCAGACATATTTCCAGGTCAGAGCGATCTGACTCCCCACAAAATGGCCATGTTTCAAGATGCCAAAGAAAAGGATGAGAGGGATCTGCAGACTGTGTCGTCGTTCCGCCCTGGAGCGACGACTGGTGTTTTGCAGGACTTTGCAGACCCAGACGTCCAGAATGAAGGCGAAACGACTCACAAGGGAGAATTTGGCACGAAACGTGACCTGGTGAGTTGCTGAATATGTTTCTACTTGCACATGTATTTCATAAAGAAGGGATCGACTAATTGTACTTGTGGCTAGAAACCTCGCCAAGTGTCCATGATAGCAGTTGCTGGTACCATTGGAACTGGTCTTTTCCTAGGATCTGGTGCTGCTCTAGTAAACGGTGGGCCTGTGGGCTTCTTTCTCGGCTACACCATCGTTGGTTGTCTAGTTGGCATGATGATGTTTTGTCTGGGCGAAATGTATGTCTGGCAGTGAGCACGGTATCATATATTCTTGCTTTGCTAACAATGAGCGTATAGGACGGTATACTCACCCAATATTGGTGGCTTCATCGAGATGGGCACCAAATACATCTCGCCCGAGGCAGGATTCGCCATGGGCATCAATTACATCTTGCAGACCGGCTTCGCTGTCCCGACAGAGATCACAGCAGCTGCCGTCATGATCAGCTATTGGGATCCCGTCACAAACCACGTAGCAGCGTACATTGCATCTTTCCTTGTCCTCAGTATAGGCATCAACCTCCTTGGAGTCAAATACTTTGGCGAAGTGGAATTCGTATTTGCTTGTATCAAAGTTCTGATGCTCGTTGCCCTCATATTGTTTGGCCTCATCGCCGACCTTGGTGGAGTCAATGGTGTATACACCGGTGGTCGCTACTGGAGAGACGAGCCGTTCAATGACACTTTTGCAAACTTGACTCCAACCTCATTTGCAGCATTCCTCGGATTTTGGAAAGTTCTTACTCAGGCAGCCTTTGCGTTTGGCGGCATTGAGGGTATTAGTGTGCTGGCCGGTGAAGCGCATAATCCCAGGAAGACCATGCGAAGGGCTGTCAGAACGGTCTTTTATCGAATTGGTAAGTACAAAAATGAAACATAAAGAGAAAATATCACTGACGGAACTGGACAGTCGGGCTGTATCTCCTCACTGTCCTGATCATCTCTCTCAATGTCAGCCAGCATTCGTCCGCGCTGCTCGATGCAGTCTCAAAAGGCGGTTCAACTGCAGCATCCTCGCCGTTTGTAGTCATCTGCCAGCAGACTGGTGTTAAAGTTCTCCCAAGTGTGATCAACGCTGTGGTAAGAAACCAATGGTTCTCAACTCTGAGAATAGCAAATGCTAAAACCGAATTCAGGTCATGACCTCGGCTTTGTCATCTTGCAACGAGAATATCTTTGCTGTAGCAAGAACGCTGTTTGCATTATCTCGTCAACGTAGGGCGACTCCCTCATCCTAGCAACTGTTTTTTGGCTGCTAACAGCGCACAATCCAGACTGTTTGCCCAGATGCTTTCTGAGCGTAAGTCGATTGGGCACGCCGTTCTGGGGTGTCTTAGTAGCTTTTTGCTTCGGGCTGCTAGGCTTCCTCTCAGTGTCCAATGGCTCCAATCAAGCTTTTATCTGGTTGTCAAACTTATCAGGTGAGCAATTTGTGGTTCCGCTCTATTCCTATACTTGCTGACAATATTTGGACTTCAGCTCTTAGTAGCTTGATTGCATGGATCAGTATTTGCGCTTGCTTCGTTCGATTCTACCATGCTCTGGAAATCCAGGGCATCGACAGAAGGAACCTTGACCTCCGAGGATGGTTCCAGCCATATATGGCGTGGATTTGCATTGTCTCTTTTTCTGTTATTCTATTCTTTAACGGTTTCCAGTCCTTCATCCACAAGTTCTCGGTCTCAGATTTCTTTGCTTGCTACATCACGTTGCCGGTAGTTGCCTTATCCTTGCTTGGCTTCCGAATCTACTTGTGGCGGACTGGGAAGGCTTATGGTTTGACGAATCTTGATGAGATTAACCTAGGCAACGGACCGGCCAAGGCTCTGCAAGGCACTCGGTATGATCTTGGGGCGTCATAAATGACAAATTAGTTGGGAAAGTTGGAAATATGGAAGCAACAAGAATGTATTACGAGGCTTTTAGGATTTATACAATTCGATGATAATTAATGAATTGACTTTGAAAATCTGTAAAGATTTTTTTACCCGCGATTACACGTTGATAGCTAAGGATCGCCATCTCTTGCCCCTACCACCCCTGGCTTGCCCCAATGGGAAGATCCTGGACGGCATGCATGCATTACAGACACTACGACTGCGGGGTAAGAACTACAGAAATCAGTCAATAATGAGATCTTCGCGAGTAGCTATCTGTTAATACCTCGAGGAATAAATCGGTCCAAAAGTCGGCGTTATCGTATCTGCTTCGGGCATTCTTAGAGGCTTTACAACTATCAAAACTCTTACCAGAGGTGGCGGGAAATACTACACTTCCACGGCATGTGACTAGCTCACAGAATTCTTGATCCTATAACCTTCCCCGCCTCTTCGCCTCTTCATTTAATGCTCCGCAAGCCGAGAGTGTTACGACGCTTAACATGAATTGGGCAGTTCGTTATCGTCGGTGGAAACAACGGATGGCTTTGGAGACAATGAGCTCCACTGTGTTGACCTCACACCACATGCAATATGTAGTGGTACGTCACAGATATTCTGCAGTGCACGCTATTAGCCGTTCCTGGATTTGGAGGCAATCCAAGACCGAGGAGCGGCTACGGCTCCAGCTTCCCTTAGTCGAGCGCCGGTATTAGTCGCAATATGTGAATGCTCCGAATGTCTCAGTAACAGCACATAGATCCAGATCTATCCTAGATCTTTATTGCACCCCGCCGATCGAAAAAGCGCCCAGATTCAATACTCTTCTGAAGGAGGGGCAAAACATCCAATCAATGCGCTGTGACGGTATGGCGCCGGCTGGGGTTGCAGCCATTTAGCCATTCCAGGGGTATGAGCCGGCATTTCGTATATTGGTAATGCACTCCTTCCCCCTCTTGGTTCAAGACATGCTCATCACAATAACGGTAAATGTCTCACAGCATACATAGCATGCTAATACGGAGCGAGCATTCCGGCAGAGCCAGCCCTTCGAGTTGTTGGACGGGCGCTCTGCTGGCTTCTGCGATAAGGAGCGAGCGATGTAACATGAAGAAATGAATTAAGACCATTGAGTTTGAGGGGTTGAAAGCGGTCGGGAGAGACGATGGATTACATATGAACTCGAGATGGCACCTCTATGACATAGGATGTTCTCTCCATGCCTCCTTACTCGTCACCATTGCAGTAAGGGCTTGTGATAATATGGCACCGACAACCAAAGCCGTCAAGGCTGTAAGCTTGCTGTGTGGCCTTGGGGCCATTACTCAAGCTCAAGCCGCCGCTTTTGATCCCTTAACCTATGTTGATCTGCTTGTTGGCAGCAGCAACGGTGGCAATGTCTTCCCCGGAGCTACCCTTCCGTTTGGTATGGCCAAGGCTGTTGCCGATACGAACAGTGGCAGCAATCAGGGCGGCTTCACGTTAGATGGCTCACCCGTTACTGGCTTCAGTGTCATGCACGACTCCGGCACTGGAGGTTCGCCGTCTCTTGGCAACTTTCCACTCTTCCCATACACGTCTTGCCCAGGCGGTGAAATTGACGGGTGTGCTTTTCCCAAGAATGACCGTGTCAAGTTTGGCAGCTTCTCCAACGACAGCGTTGTTGCGAAGCCGGGATACTTTGGGATAACTCTCAACAGCGGACCCAAAGTTGAAATGACAACATCACAACACGCGGCGCTGTTCAAATTCACGTTCCCCAACGCGGCTGCCGGCGACAAGCCACTTATTCTGCAAGATCTCTCAGATCTCTCAAACTCGCGCCAGGATAACGGCACCGTGAGTGTTGACGCAAAGACTGGCCGCATTACCGGCAATGCCGTCTTCGTCCCCAGCTTCGGCAGCGGGACCTACAAGCTCTACTTTTGCACAGACTTCTCAGGAGAAGAGATTTACGATAATGGCATTTTTGCAAACTCGCGCGCAAGTGCCAGCGTCAAGGACCTCACCATCTCTCGCTCCATCAATGGCTACCCGCTGCCAGGCGGTGCCTTTGTCCGCTTTGCCAGCGCTGAGAATCCGATATACGCTCGTACCGGCGTCAGCTTCATCAGCAGTGCCAAAGCATGTTCCAACGCAGAAAGCGAGATTTCTCAGTGGGATCTTGACAAATACGCCAATGAGGCCACCAGCATCTGGCGAGAGAAGCTCTCTCCCATCACCGTCAATACTACGGGTGTAAGCAACGACTTCATCACGTCATTCTACTCAGGAATCTACCGCACACTGGTCAATCCACAAAATTACACAGGAGAGAACCCTTACTGGGATGATGGCGAACCGTACTATGATTCGTTTTATTGCATTTGGGACCTTTTTCGATCACAGATGCCTTTCATGACTATTCTAGATCCTGCGAGTCTTACGGAGCAAATCCGCTCCCTGATATCCATTTACGAGAATGTCGGGTGGTTGCCCGACTGTCGTATGAGTCTTTGCTCCGGCTACACTCAGGGCGGCTCCAACGCGGATAATGTCCTTGCGGACGCTTACCTCAAGGGCCTCAAGGACGGTATCGACTGGCAAAAGGGATACGCGGCTGTTGTGAAAGACGCAGAAGTCGAGCCCTATGCATGGAGCGTCGAAGGACGCGGTGGTCTAGACAGCTGGAAGAGCCTCCACTACATTCCCGTCCAAGACTTTGACTACAAGGGCTTTGGAACCATGACACGTTCTATAAGTCGAACTCTTGAGTATAGCTACAACGATTTTTGCATTTCTCAGCTTGCCGGGGGCCTGGGCAAGAAGTCGGACCAAGAGAAATATATCGAATCCAGTGGCAATTGGAGAAATCTGTTCAAAGCTGACCAGACTTCGTTCAGAAATGGGACAGACACCGGCTACAAGGGTTTCTTCCAGGCCAAGTTCTTGAACCAGACTTGGTTCAACCAGGATCCCCTGGAGTGCAGCAACTTGGATTCTACGAGTGTATGCTCTCTGCAAAATTCTGGTGCCGAGACATTTGAGAGTAGCATCTGGGAATATGGCTTGTGAGTTATAATCCTTTCGTCGATGGCGACAGCCCCTATGCTTTGCAATTCTCTTTTTAACTGACTGCTTTGCCTATAGTTTCGTGCCGCACGATCAGGCTAGCCTTCTCAACCTTTACGGAGGCTCCGACAACTTCGTCAGTCGCCTCTCTTACATGCACGATCAAGAGATTACATAGTAAGTCATATTAATGAAATCCATACCAAGACATTCTAACAAGCTTTTCAGTATCGGCAATGAGCCGAGCTTCCTCACTGTGTTCCAATACCACTATGCTGGCCGGCCTGCTTTGTCTGCTCAGCGGAGCCACTTCTACATTCCCAAATTCTTTGCTCCTACTCCAGAAGGTCTACCAGGCAACGACGACAGCGGTGCCATGGGCAGCTTCGTCGCATTTTCCATGATGGGCCTGTTCCCTAATCCTGGCCAAGATGTGTACCTGATTACACCACCTTACTTCGAAAGTGTCAAAATCAAGAGCCCAGTCACGGGAAAGACGGCGACTATTCGCAACATCAACTTCGACCCTACCTATCAGAATGTGTTCATTCAGAAGGCTACTTTGGACGGCAAGCCTTACACTAAGAATTGGATCGATCACAGCTTCTTCCTCGAAGGAAAGGAGCTTGTTCTCACTCTGGGTAGTAAGGAGAGTGCGTGGGGCACGAGGGTGCAAGACCTCCCGCCGAGTTTGAGCCCGTATAATAGTAGCAGTGTCTCTCACAACACTTCTGGTCCAGCCAAGAGGTCTTACCAACCCCGATTTGATCGCGGGATGGGATTCCAGTAAGCAAGGTATATAGCAAACTACAATAAATAAATTTGTTCTCGTTTACTCTGTTCAAAGTACCTCACTCCATCCAAGAAAACAGGCATTATTTTACTTGGTAGCGGGATGTAAGATCTAACTAATAAGCAATTATCTAGAAGCGAAGAGTATCTTCAAGCAGCATACTAACTTCAGCTTACAACGTACATATTAATAGAAGCCAAAACTATAATACATGCCTACTCTGTATCCGCAAACCGCATTATTTCTTCATACTCGCCAACCTTTACAATCCTTCCATCCTCCACCCAAGCCACTCTATCCTTCTCGGGCCTCATCCTGCCAGCAACGACGCTCAGCCGGTGAGCCACAATAACAGCTGTATATCCTTCTTGAATAAACTCACTCTCCAACACATCGTAAATGGCTGCTTCGGTCGTTGAATCGAGCGACGAAGTGGCCTCATCCAGCAGGAGAATTGGCTTCGGCGCATCATTTCCAGGATAATCCGGCACTGCCAAAGCATGTTTGCGAATGATAGCACGGGCCATGGCAAGTAGCTGTTGCTGTCCCACAGACAGCACAGGCAATGATGAGAATGCTGCATCGAGCACTTCTACTGGCGTCCCATCTCTGCTAGAAAGCAGTGACCAAATGCCAACTTTCTGCAAAGCCGTCTGGAGGACCTCATCAGCAACAATGGAATCGGGATCCAGGTTGAAGCGCAAGGTAGCTTGGGGGATTAAGAACGCCTCTTGAGAAATGGTTATGAAGCACTGTTTACGGATAATTGACCTGGGAGTGCGAAGCAAGTCTTGCCCATCCACCTCGATGGTTCCAGTGCAATCAATCAAGTGCAGCAAAGCAGCAAGAATAGTACTTTTTCCACTAAAAGTTTCTGTCAGCTAAAGAATAATGTGATAAAAGTGCTACTCTCTGCTTACCTGCCAGTACGACCACAAATGACGAGCTTTTGGCCTTCGTGGATATCGAGATTGACCTTGTGTAGAATTTGATGATCCGAGCTATTCCAATTAGTCTTCATTCTCTTGGATGGTGACATGATGAAGCGTTCAAGCTCACCTATAACCTGCGTCAAGATCCGCGATAGAAACTTCTCCCTTAGTCGGCCATCCAGCATACGTCACAAGATCTTCCTCAGGCAAATCCTCTCGAGGGGTATGCATTTCCACGTTTCTAAGTCGGGCAATTGCACCCAGGGACACCTCCAGAGACGCCCAAAACTCTACCAGTCGCACCAATGTCGTATTAGCAACCATGATCAGATTGAGAGCTGCACCAATATCTCCACCAGTTGTCGTCCCCCTCCATTTCACGGCGAGCGCGATTAAACCAATGGCAATTCCGCTGACAATCAAGTTGAGCACTAAACTCAGCCATCGCTGGACGCACATGAGAGCATAGCGCGGCTGAAGTGACCAGTCAAGAGCTTCGAAGCTCTTCCTTTCAGCTGCAGAAGACCAGCCAAAGGCCCGTATGGTGACGACGCCTTCTACCGTCTCTAAAAACCATTGGTAAAGCGTCGCCTGGTTCTCAAGTTCCAAGACCCGCAGTTGGCGGGATGTCCTGAGGTATATCCTCTGTACGAAATAGACCACAACGATGCAAACAGGGAGAGAAAGAGCCAGTCCTTTCTGAACAGCCATGATCAACGCCAGTTGATTTGCCATTTTGAAGGCTTCTGAATGAGAAAGAAGATATTAGCGCAGGTCAAATTCCTAGAGAAAGGGCGAAGAGGTTTCTTACGAACGAAGATGGACATTAGAGCTGACGGCAGCTGCCTATCCACATAGGAAATATCTTGACTGAATCTGCGGCCGAGTTAGACTTTGCCAACGGATATCAATGCCAATGTAGAAGGATCGCGCATTACCTATTGATTGTGACACCAATGTCTGTCGTAGAAAAGAACAACAGCGGGGCACTTAGAGAGTCAGCACGTTATACTATCAACTTGCCTGGTTTACCTTACCCAAAGATGGTTCCAAGAAGAGATTTGTGCAGCACTTCTCCAGATTTCGTTGCTATCAAAAACAATGTGGACCTACACGACACATGTTGTGAGCAATTTGGCGAAATAATTCATTCCTGGTATGCGCGCTTGAAGACTTACAACATCATTCCATTGGTTGCGACCCAAGCAGTAGCAGCTAACAAGACATAGCCAATCATATAATACGTCGAGTCACTTGGAGAGCCTTCTGTCCAAGATTTGACCCAATACTGCGGATAGGTAATGGAGAATGAGTAGACTATTGTAAGTCCAAGCAACAGAGCCACGTTCCCAAAGCCAGCGGATTTCAGATAGTAGGCTAGTCAACTGATCAGCTCATCTTCTTTCATCACATGTATGTGGTCAGGGCTCACAGTAAAGAGAGAAATCGCCAGTTTTCCGATAGAGATCATCTTCAGCGTCAGTACTGGGCCGCGGTATCAATTTAGCGGCATTTGAGATGGTCTCTGCCCTTTTAGCTGTCTGTGTAAATGTAAATTTAGACAAGTTGGTCAAAGTAGTCTTCAGCTCATCCCACGAGCCCCGAGATAGAATGCGGCCCTTTTCGAGAACCAGAATTTCGTCTGCAACGTGAAAATGTTGCGCTTTTGGGATATTTAGTCTAGAAGCTGTATGGACTGAAAGATGTTTGGGCTTACCAGAATTTGTAACCAGAAATACTGTCGTGTTTCTCTTCTTGAACCAGCCGTTTAGTCCAAGCAGATTGTCAACAACTGCATTCTCCGTATTGCCGTCTAATGCGCTAAACGGGTCATCTAGTACCACGATATCGTGGAGATTATACACTAAGCGCGCCAATGCCTAATACACATTTTGTCAATTATCACTTCCGTCCAGCACAGACACAGTGCTGATATCTTACTAGTCTCTGTCTTTGTCCGCCGGAAAGATTGATTCCACGACTGCCAACAATGGTGTTGTCACCATCGGGGAAAGTACTCAAGTCATGGTCTAGGCAACAAGCATGAACGGCAGCTTCGTATCTCTCCTCGTCAATAACCGTAGAGAAGCCACAGATTATTTGTTTGACTTTGCCTGTGGGTAGCCATGCTTGCTGGTCGCAGAACCCAATCGAGGTAGATGTAATTGTAATCTTACCCTCGGAAGGGACGATTTCACCTAATATTGCCTTGGCAAGAATCGACTTACCGCTACCGACAGCACCCGAGCAGGCAGTTATAGAGCCCCGACGAAGTCTCAGCTCGATATTCTGCAAAAGAGACTCGTTTGCTGATGGCGACTTTATCGTTACTCCATCAATATCACCGGCAGCCTCTATCCTATCTGTAGTAGGCACATCTGACAGCCGAGAACTGATTTGGCGCTGATCTATTCGAGATGGCTCTAGTAGGTAAGCTTGTATTCTCTCAAAATTAGCCGAAGTGGCAAACGCCTTGGGTACAATCGTCATAATCATGTTTGCAGGCTCTGTTACGAGTGCCAAAATGGCAACAGTTGTAAAAGCGGTGCTAACATCCATCTGGGAACCCTGAAGGCGAGCCACAATAGCAAACACCACCAGAGTAAGTGCAGGTGCAAAAATTCCAAGCGCATTGGCTATTTCAGAGTCAGTATCGTACCAAAACGAAGGAACTCGGCCGGATCTTACCGCTTGCATTGTACACAGCGTTCATATAACGGACGTTGTTGGCGCTTTTGATCTCATCTTGCCTGAGACGGTCGACATATTTCATCATGGCGTCTGATACCCCCAGTGCCTTGACACTCTTCATAGACATGAGAATTGGGCTCAAGGCTGATATCCGCCGTTGAGTGGCCGTACTCCAACCCTTTTGTCTAGATCGGATATTCTGCGCCACATAACGGCTGATTTGAGAACAGACTACAGTTAAGACAATTAGAGCACTATACTAGCAAATACATGGACAAATTCGGGCCAACTTACAAATGATTATGACGAATGGAAGCGGAGCAAGCCATTTGATTTCTCGGACCAGAAGAATCACACCGATTACAAGCTCAAAAAACTTTGCCCAGGCTTCATGAAGCATTTGTCCTGCTTCTGCTGCGCCATCAACATCTGTGCTCATAATCGTTATTACTCTGCCCGTATCGGAGACGTTTGATCCAATGGTCAATGCTTTATTGTAGATTAATGTCGTAAGGCATCCACGCATCATAAGCTCAAGCTTGTTGAGACGATTATAATACATTGAGGCGGAAAACTAGAAGACGGATATCAGTAAATTATCCTCACTTCCAGGGCCAGCTCATACTCACGGTCTGGCCCAAGTAGACAACGATAGCGGCGACTATTAGCCAATATCCTACGTGGCCGCTGTCTTCATTTGTATATCCCTGGACAAAGCGAACGGCCTGTTCGATTAAAATCGGCTGACTGGATCTTAATATCAGAAGACTTAAACGCGGGAATATCGCTGATAAGAATGGCACTAAAAGACACTGCAACAAGGCTTTCGGCAGCGTCAAGATTGTCTCTTGTTTTGCTGTTGCACCGAGTCAGAACAAAAAGGAACATCAGGAAATCCAAGCCCCATGGGACCCTGCTACGAAAGTTAAGCATACCTCTACGATCCCAAGATAATAGGATACCACGATGCAGACTCTCAGCTTCCATCTTCTTCTCCAGGGCAGGAAGATGGCTGCCACGCAGAATGCTCCTATTTCCGCGACTCAACAGCCCATTCAGCCACCAAAATAGGAGAGAGCTCAACAATCCGGCTGTTTCTTCGGGAGAACGTTGGCGATGTTTTGGTTTCATGATGGATGTCTTTTCCTGGCACTCAAGGGTCAGTATCGCGAGCCGAATCGCGAGTCCGAGGGCTATGCTGCCTTTGGAGGCATTCCGATCATCCAAAAGTCCATTGTAAGTCAATGCGAAGACGTCCCAAGTAGACATTAGCAGCAAGTAGAGCACAATCAAGCTGGAAGGGCGGATGGACCGCTTATGCTCAGCAATCGTCAACCAGACCAGGCCAGCTGATGCAGCCAACGATGCGCCACACGACTCGATTCGCAGCCATTCTTTATTGCCGTGTAGCAAATCTTGGACCAAGTCATTGAGCAGCAACAGAGTAAGAGCTGAGGCTACGAGCTGTTAATTTGCAGTGAGAGTCAGTGGCGGTATACTACCGAGAAACGCGTCGCGTAGAGGGAATGCGTACGGGTTTAATAACACCGAGCCAATTCGGCTCTACTTTCGCCGACTCATAACGCAGAGCCCATAATCGGCGGATGCCAAAAGCAATGAACGCAAGTGAAGTCGCTAAAGTAAGCGAATGAAGAAAATTAATGTTGATAGTAAGCTCCATTTCTCTATCTTCCGTCCATCAGCACGCGATCTGTGACTGAGCAACGCACTGCTTGTCTCGTTGGAAATTGCGAGGAAAAGCTGTTCAAGGAGATCTTTTGGGTCCGCTTATGTAGTCTATATGATAATTCACTTTTGACAATAGATGGAACCGCAAGCGCACGTCATTTTCAGCATTGCGTGCTGGGTGAGCTAAAGGATCAAGTCCCTGTCAATACGAACCAGCGTTATCTGTTAGATGCTCGTTTATGCACAGTCTAAACCCAGTTGATGCTATCTTTTCCTGGGGTTAATTACACGCGCGACTCCTGGCTTCGTATATCTATGAATAGAAGCAGACTTACACAATGAAAGAGAAAAATTGAAAAAGAGCAAAGCTCTCTCTATTGACATGGTATGTACTACATATGTGTAAAATCTTATAATTACTAATACAAGCTCCAACAACTGAAATGAAACGCTAACCGCACACCGCACGACGCTGATAATAACAGCCTCTACTTCTAATGCAGTCCAAAGGCCGTCTTTGCCCTGTCAAAGTATGCCGACCGAGCATCTGTAACGGTCGTGCCAACACACGACGTAAGATATTTTGAGAATCCATCATCAGGATTCGCCTGCAAGGCTGCCTTGACCGACTCATCGCAATGCGTAGAGTAGAACCAGGCACCACTAGCAAAGTTGAATTCGTCGGGCTGGACCAAGGACAGGATGTGGTTCAGATCACCGTCGCTCAGCCCATCGGTGGTGGTGAACTGCGAAACTTGGCTCTTGAGGCTGTCGATGCTTTGAGCGTAGGCCAGGTTGAAATTGGGCATCTGCATGTTGGCAGTACCCTGGCCAGGACGGCCGGGCGAGACGTTGTGCTTGAATTTGAAGTCGGCGGACTCAAAGGCCATGGTGGCGATGATGGCGGCCATCTCGGCCACGTTGTAGATTTTGTAGTCGGACATGCTCTTGGCGATGAAGGGAGCCGCCTGCTCAGCAGTGCGGCATTCGGTGGTGTCGGCGCAGTTTTCGGCGTTGGGAGCAATTGCCTTGACGATGGGGGGAGCGGAGAGCTGGGCCGCCGCGATGGTGGCGAGGCTCAGGACGAGCGAGGCAGCAGCTGAGAAATGCATCGTGGATGGGTATCAATATGTGTGTGAGGGCGAAGACTTTGTGATGAAGCGAGGAGCTTTGCGAGTATTTCGTTTGAAGGTGTAGATGGATATAGCTGGACGAGAGAGCGATAGCAACAAAGGACGCCAGGCCCTTATAACAAGCTGTTCAACGTTGGAAACAAGTCGGAAAGTATTGAGCAGAACAAAACCTTGAACAATAAATGAATGTAAATAGCGAGCGCGATCCAGCGCAAGAAAAGGAACGACTTGTATTTGAACGTGCGTGTAACGAACGATGCCCTGCATTCACTCTCGCCACCAGGGACAGACCAAGTCCCTTTTGTACGGCTCCCTCATTCTGCCACCACGCACAGGATCGTGAATCATGCCATGCTTCTCCAAGGGGTCCCACGAGCTAGAATCCCGCCTCCATGGAGATCCCAGGCCTGATTGGGCGGCGCCATACGGAGTAGTGCACCCAAGCTTCGTTTGTCCCCCTGGCGAACCGACGCAAGAGCTCTATTCACACGATCAGCGCCCAAGTAGCCTTTAGAAACCGCGGCTAAAGATTGGCTCCCTTTGGGCTGGCGCAGGGCGCCGAAAAGGGCGAGCAGGGATACGACAACGACCATCCAATCGCTGCGCTTGAAGGGCCAGGCACTAGCAAGAGGGGGACGTTTCATGAAACAGAAAGAGCTGAGCTGTGAAACCGCTAGGAGGCGACGACAAGGGGGGGGGGAAATCGTGCAGAGCCTTGCCTGGAACACGGATTTGGGGTTGAAGCCCCCCAATTCGGCTCTGACGCATGTTCATCTGGCGTTGGGGGCAGCCTCAAGCGTGGAAGGAAGGGACATTTACGCACTATGAGCACTGCAGTCTTGGCAATCGTCCTTTGTAAGATTTGCTCAATGCTATGTCCTTCACATGAGAGACGCGATATTACTACATGCACGTTGGCCCTACGCGAGAGTGGGCATATTGGCCTGATTGCGCTGTATTAGTTCGCCACCCAATATTGTATCTCTTCAAGCAGCATTCCGCCATGGTGTGCGTCGTGTAGTCTGTGCGCGCCGTTGGCAAGCGTGCAATAACAGCTGTTTTTGAAAATATGTAACATTGATCGAAACTACCTGGATGTATGTGAGTGAGCACGGCTCATTGCTGTTTCGGCCATGCCGCAATGAAAGCCTCGGGTCCTCAAGGCGTCGTGGTAATCGATCAAAGCGCTGCGAGTTCGGCAATGAAGATGTTTGCAATTTTGCGCAGCTGGAGAATGAATTTCGACAAAGCCCTACCTAGTATTTTCTTTGTCGTTTAAATGATGATCTGCGCGATCTGGGCGCGTCTTTTCTCGATACAAATATACCGACTTCGGTTAAGGGGGCAGTGTATAATATCAAAACAGCTCAAAGGATACGCAGAGACGGCCATCTTTGCCTCGGGCGAACGAATTCAATCTATGGCATTCATATTTGAAAGTATCCTCATAGACATACGTAGTTTTACATCCACTATCGCAGCTAGGGTTGTATAACTATGAAAATAAGGATGATCCCTTGCCATCCAGGGTAGCCTGTCAGGCCAAGAACGCGAACATCTCAAGTGCTAAAAGAAAAGGGCACCCGCCTAGCTTGCAGTTGTATACCTAGACGAGGCAACTTTGATACGTCATATGGACATGTTCTCGCTAATCTACGGCCTTTACCATAGCTGACGACGTTGTATGGCGCTTATGCTTCTTGTGTAGAGCTTAGCCAGCCCTTTAACATTCAATGTTTCTATACACGAAGACACGGTGTTGAAGAGATCGTCTCTATCGTCCAGACGACGATCCCTACCATCTTAGGCAAATTCACCGTCTGAGACCGGCATCGCGAATCAATGGGCGGATGGTTTAGTGGTATAATTTTCCCTTAGCATAGCGCAGCTTCCGAGTTGCCGCACCCGCCTGGGAAAGGTCCGGGGTTCGATTCCCCGTTCGTCCATACGCGTGATGCGGGCCACAGGCGCGCAGCCTCTTTTTGGCATTTTCACCACTTTTTTTGATGTCCGGACTTCGACTACCAGGTATCTCATCTCATTAATTGTCCATCTATATAAACAGGGCTTCTCTATTGAACTCCATGTACACGACCTCCTTACAAGTTCTTTTGGAGCTTGGAGACATACCGCTGTTGGAGCCGGCAACGTTGCCAGCCACCATGATACTGAGCTGAATTCGTCATATCTATACCAAACTGTCATAAGAGAAGGGTGAGTCCGTTGTTTAGCCCTACTAAGCCTCTAATACCCATCCATCATAATATACAAATACTGCTGTTGTACACAATCCGCCACCTTTTTTCTCATAATAAATACATATACCATCATTCCCATTCCATCCATGGCATGTGGTCCTCAACCATCATCGTAAGAGCCCAAAACCTCCGCCGCGAAATCATGCATACATACCTCTTTACCTCCCCCTCTTCTGATCCAGCATATCTTGAATATCGCCCTTCCCCTTGCCACCCTTCGCCCCAGCACCCCCCTCCGGCGCAAAGTTCGAAGATACCTCCATCTCCACAGCGCCCTGCTTGCGCAGCTCCTCCAGCCGCCTCTTCTTCTGCAGGTCCGCAACGCGCCACTGCTTGAAATACTTGACCCAGGCGGCCGAGCAGTCGCGCTCAAACTCGGCAGACTGCTTGGGGCACGCCTTGGCAGCCTTGGAGGCGTCCTTGTTTGCGTCGAGGATGTTGTTCGCGTCTAGGCACAGGAAGTAGGCGTCCCGGGCGGCCCAGCAGAGGGCGCGCTCCTCGCGGGTCGGGATGGCGGTGCCGGTGCGGATGGCATCCTGGCGGGTATCTGCGGAAAATGGCCACCAACCCATTTTTTGTATGGAAACTGAGTTGTAGGTTATGTGTGTAGTTGTAGCTGTGTAATTGGTTGATATTCTTTGGTCAAAGAACCCCAGCGAAAGACTTGATATTGAGACAATTGCTTCTTCCGGCACGTTTCCTGCTTTGTAATGAGGGGTATAATAGCCTTGAAACTTGGCGATATGAACAAGACAAGGACCTCAATAAGCCAATTGAGTAACAAAAAAGATGATTGATTTGCCAGCTGTTGAATTGAGATTCCTTCAGCCCCGTAGATGTAGTGATTGCAGGCTAAGCGTCGTCCCAAAGCTGCCACGAGCTACCAAAGCCGCAAACTAGTGAGCCGCCATCCGGTAAATGACGATGAGAAAGCCCGGCAGAATCCTACGGGCGGTCAGGCGCAAACGCCCCCTTCCAGTCTAGCGCCAAGCTGCTCCAACGCCTGAATCTCCTATGGACGCTGGTCACCTGGCTGGCGTATCATGTATGTGTTCATGCCCCCAAGTCATTTCTCGTGCCGTCACCAGCATCATCTCATTGCTTTGCGCCAGGCAGCGCTACTCGCCGAGCATTCGCCTTCGCCTGCACCCGTTTCCGAACTCGGCATCTCCTTCGACTTTGTTAACACGAATCCTCTCAGCATGGATTAGGACCGCGCGCGATTCGAGCCAATGTACAGCAATACTCCATCGCCTCATCCACACTCAAGCATTTCGAGAAGATAGCCAAACAGTTTGCTCGATCACCGACATTCCAAGACAAGCACACGTATCCTCTCTGCTTCAAAGCAATCACAAATAAAACAAACAAAAGAAAGAAAGCAAAAGCATCATGGCCCGCCGACGCAGGCCCCCTCGCGCCGGCGCCCTCACCGAGCTCCAACCTCTCAAAATCGCCGCCCAGATAGCCAGCCTCCAAGCCCTCTACTATTTCGCCGCTCTAGTCCTCACGCTCTTCACGGCCCTCGTCGCCGGCATATCATTCAACCTCAACCTAATTCTCGGGTGGGATCACGTCCGCGGCGATACAACGCAAGGATGGCTCCTGGCCTTTGTGTGGATTCTCAACGGAGGCTTTTGCATGTGCGTCTAACATCCTCCTACACGTCAATCTCCACACCCCTTCTCGCAAACTGAAGAAAGCTAATCTCTTGTCTCATCACCAGGTCCCTCGCCATGGTCGTCCTCATCGCGCGCAGCAAACTCGTCCCCGACTTCGCCCTCACAATCCACTTCCTCCACCTCCTCTTCACATGCCTCTACACGCGCTCCTTGCCTCGCCACTCCATGTGGTGGCTCACCATGCTCGCCTCCTCCGCCACCGCCGTCGGCCTGGGCATGTGGGGATGCCGCTACCGCGAGCTGCAGCCCGTCTTCTTCCTCGGCGGCAGGATCCTCGGGTCCGGCACGTCCGGCCCTACGAAGAATACTAGGAGTACGGGAGCCATGGGCGATCCGGACGTGGAAGACGGCATGGGCGAATCGTCGAGTATGGCGGGAGAGTACGAGATGGGCCAGATGAAGCCTTCGACATAGAGAGCAATTTTCAACATTCAACACTGGGAAATAATAATAGACGGAAATATTCTTGGTCAGATGGGGCATTAACCTTGGAATATATACTAATAATCGATAAAAAGTAGCGTGGCATTATTCGGCGTTTATTTTGGGAATATATAGGGAGAGCCACATAGACGGTCGCATCTGGTAAAGGAGCAGTAGCACCATATTCATCTCGAAATAGCGAGAAGAAGAAAAGCAAATCATTTAGTAGAGATTCCAGGTTGTATTCAACTATCAAACGCATTGTGTCGCTACGATGACTCGGCCGCACCGTCAGTCTTGTACAGGATAAAAGGCTAAAGAAAAAAGTTTTTGTATCGCGATATACCCAAGCTCATGTAACAAAGAAAATGAAAAAGATAAAAGTAAAAATAAAAGAAACGCCTCCCATATATACTATACAGCGGACTCCATTTCTTTTTCCCCCCTTCTCATACTCATCTAGTATAGTCATTTCGTCCCTTCTGGTATCATCGTTGGGCTAAACTCCCCCAGCCCTCCTTCAAGTTCATTACTGCGTACATATTCCGCAAATGAAGCAATCGTATATAGATATTCACGATCAACCCATCTTCCCTCGTAAAGCATCCACCTCTCTTTGTAGCGATTCAAGATCAGCGAGAATGTCTACGCTTTGCCCTATGTACTGCTCGTTGAGGTCGCTAAAATCATCCGCAGATGTTCTTGGCTTCCTGGCCGAGTCTAGACTCGTTCGTCCAGACCGCCCACCCGTGCTGCTTTGACTCCTCGAGGGAGGTGGAGGAGGAGCCACTGCGTCTCGCGGTTTGATGTCGGACATGGTTCGTCGTTGGGAGGACTCCAAGCCGTATAAACTTTGAGGTCGGCGAGTAGATGGATTGCGCGCGGGTGGAGGGGGAGGCGCCATGGGCCTTGCTGAGTCGAGGGAGGCTCTTGGCGGATCAAGGTCGGGAGGATGGATGTGTGTAGAGGATTGCGGCGTGCTTGGATGGCTCGGATGCTTCGAGCTCGATATTGTTCTCCGGGGCGGCGGAGGCGCTGGCGCATTGATACTTTGGCGGACACTGCCAGACCTAGACACAATCGAGTCCATCGACGTGCGTGGAGGTGGTTCATTCTCTTGAGAGTCCAAGGCATTTGTCTTCACCTCGATTCGAGGCTGTCGTCGGGGGGGAGGGGCCGGTACAGCCTTTTTGGCATTGTGAGGAGGCGTTGTAGAAGCATCCATTTGGTCAGGACTGGATGTAAGCTCGGCAGGATGACTATCAAATTTCACGGGTGGTTCCTCTATTGAGGAGTTGCTGCTTGCCGAGCTCTCCCGAGACAGCACAGGCCGAGACGGCTCCTTGTGATGCGCAACCGGCTCGGCCAGCTTTTCTACGGGGCTGCTGATGATACTCTCGGAGCTGGTGACATTCTGCCCAGGCTTAATCACCTTTCCATGTCTGGAGCTTGGAGGCGGTGGAGGAGCCTTCTTCTCCTTGCTGATTCGTGCCGCAGCTGGAGCAGCATCCTGTGCAGGCTTTGAGCGGTCGAGGTCGGAAGAAGAGTCCGTTGGAGACGTAGAGTTGAGCGGGCTCGCATCGCCCGTCATGAGCAATCGCTTGAACGAATCCACGTTCAGGGACCGCCTCGCAGACTGGGCCGCCTTGAGCGCCTCGCCCTCCTCATGCAGATCCTCCTTTAGGTCCTTGGAGTCGCCAGCATCCTGCGTCTTCTTCTTGCTAAAGGGATTGGCCACGGTCTGCACCGGCCGTTGCATCTGCGTCGTCTCCATCAGCGGCTGCCGTCCCTGCGGAAGAGCCGGCTGAGGCTGAGGGGGTGGGGTAGCGGATGCATCCTCCCAGCTGTTCTCGTCGACCACGGCGTTGCTGAAGGGATCTTGCTCCTGTGCATACGACTGTGGTGGTGCGGCGTGGTTGAAGTAGCTGGCCGTCAACTCGGGCGAGTCGGGCGACCGCGGAGGCGGTGACAGCACGCGGACCTTTTTCACCACCTTTGCTTTCTGGGAGGGCGATTGCGCGGCCGCAGGAGGCACGTTTTCGTCGCGGAAGCTCGTCTTCGGGGGCGGGAACAGCTGGACGGAGCTGATGGAATCGATTGCTGGATAGCGACTCTCTGCATGCTGCGTGGCAGGCTTGCGGAATGGGTTTGATGACGACGCCATCGTGACGGGCGTGGTTAGTTAGTGGATGCGTATGGCCGAGCTATTATATGGTGTTGTATTGCTTAAGTAGACGGTAGGTAGTCTCCTCTATTTCCCTTGGGTCATGACAGAAAGAGACAGCAGTCGTCCGCCATCTTCCAGCGTCAGAAAAGAAACCGAAAAAAAGCGGTGATCGCACTCTGCGCCGTTGTCGACAGGATATATGAAACCTTGTCCAGCTTAACAATCGGGAGGTGTGTGGCCAAGGAAACGACGTGCAAGTGAGGCCCCGTCCGGAAGAATCGGTTCCTCCAGAAGTGGGACAGCTACAGGTAGGTACGTAGACGGCCGGGCCTCAGTGACATGTGTCTGGCTGAGGGGAGCGCCCACGCCGAGTTAAGCATATACCTGGCCACGCTATCGTCGGTGGCGGCGCATGGCAGGCAGACGCACCGCAGCCGCAGGTATCTGCCCATCGCAGCCCTGTACATGGCCGAGGGCCTCGCACGGGCCCGCCAGCTGTTCTCGCCAGGTACCGCCTGTTCCTGATACGGTCGGCCGTGACGGGATGCGCTGACGAGATTCGCTGACGGCGAGGCTACGTCCGGTGACCTTAGCATGAATAAGTACCAATGGCATGTAACCGGGGGGCGCCGGAGAGGGGGACAGGACGGACGGACGTCTTAGTAAGGACCCAATGACTTACACGCAAAAAAGACACACAGAGGAAGAAAGACAAAGTCTAAACAAGCAAAAGAGGGGGGCAAACAGCAGCCGTTGAAGAATTGGATTAGCCTGTACAAAGTACAATACTTCTAGTGCTGCTATTCGTAGATCGTACCCTGGAGCTTCATCGCATCCATTTGGCTTGGGTTGACGTGGCAGCGAGCCGCAGGAACACAGCATGCAGCTACAGGGTACTGGCAATAGCGATGCTACCTCACCTCACCCACCCGTTTATATATAGCGCTACGTTGGAGAGCCGGGGGGCTCCAAGTCGGTGACGATGGTGGACGTGATGGTGTGCTGCACACAAGCAGAGCAAATGCACGTAAGTACATGTACCCATTTGACTCGATTACCCTGGACGATGAGAAATAGCAGGCATCAACGTCATGGTGACCAACCCCGCGAGGCTGAGCGCCATTCACGCCATGGGGGAATATTCGCCTAGCGCCAAACTCATTGCTGAAACATGCCATTTGCTGCCTATGAGCTGATGTCCTCCCTTTACTTCTTCGCTCAAGCTTGTGAGTCAAAAATTGCAAGAAGTGATGGAACTGAGACAGCATCTTACAATTTTTTGGGGTGAGAATAAGAATGCATGTTCTAATATTGCTCAACGTGCCCATCCCGTAAACATAGGAGCCTCTCTCCCGAATTTACTTACACGCATTTCACCATGGGTACCTGAATATATCACATCTTACCAAAAGAGCGAGTCTCAATTCATGTGGCCCATACTTCGCTACGCGTAGTCCCTGCTTTATCAAGTCTCAAATCTCAATGCTAGATCCAGGGGAAGGAGAGGAAAATCGAGCATTTCGCTTAATTACGCATTCAACTGGAGCCGTGGAACAGGCAACAGAACTTAGAGCACAGTTTGCCCGCCAGCAATGTTCAGGTTACAGTAAACACCAGTAAACAGTTCTGCATTCATTTCCGGAATAGAATTACAGTAGTATTCTATACAATTTCGATTTTTGCTGGGATTATTTGCGCCAGGCAACACTCAATATCCAGGGTCCAAAAGTTTTGGTAGAGACGCGCGCGCAAACTCCTCAGACACCGCCCCATCGTCCCTCTTTTTCTTTCAAACGTTTCCATCCCCCCACAACAATGGAAATTGAAATCGCGCCAAAAGAGACAGAAAAAAAAAATATTTCACGAAAAAAAGACACACGAAAATAGTAATGTGAAAAAATAGTAATAGTATAAGTGATCCGCCCCACCGGGAGGCTCATTCCAGGAAAGTCACATATATAGTGCGGTTAATGCCAGGCCCAGCGCGTCTGAGAGAGTGCGCGTATCAAAACAAACATTCATTCCTGCGCACCGCCAAAAACAGCAATCAATCAATCCCGAGCCAACCCAGGCTCTCCTTTGCCCGACCCGTAGTAATAAGTTGCAAGCCCCAAAAACGCCGTGCCACATTCATCAAGGATACAAGAAAGTAAAACAAAAGCCGCTTTTTGCTTCACGCAAAGGATAAAGACTAGATTTATGCCTTCACAGCAGCAGCAGCCGCGGGGGCAGCAGCGGCCTTCTCCTTCTTGGGGGCAGCGGCCTTCTTTGGTGCAGCCTTCTTAGCGGCGGCAGCGGGCTTCTGGGCCTTGGCGACGCGGCCGGACTTTGTCTTGGTCAGAACGGTTTCAGGCTTCTCGGGCTGAAAGGGGGGTTTGGGAGTTAGAATAGGGACAAATATGAATGTGAGTCTGTAAACATACCTTGGTGGCAGTCTCCTTGGCCTTCTTGGGGGCAGCAGCCTTCTTGGGAGCGGCGGCCTTCTTAGTAGCAGCGCCCTCCTTCTTCTCCTTCTTTTCCTTCTTCTCGCCCTCCTTGGCCTTCTTGGGTGCAGCGGCCTTCTTGGGGGCAGCGGCCTTCTTGGTAGTGGTGTCCTTCTCCTTCTTGGGAGCAACAGCCTTCTTGGCCTCGGGCTTCTTCTTGGCCAGCTTGGTGCCTCCAGAGGGGCCCTTGGGCTGGGCGAAGAAGCCCTTCTCAACACCGGCCTTGAGGGCCTTGTTGAAGAGAGAATCGAACATGTTGTCCGAAACGTTCAAAGTGTTGTTGGCCTTGACATACTTCTTCAGAGACTGACGGCTAGAACCATTGCGATCCTTGAGCTGTTGAGTGCGAAAAAAGAGCGGGTTAGTTTTTCGTGTCTTCTTTTACACCAATAGTGTGTGCAGATTCTCATAAACCAATCGACGTGAAATACCACGCGACGACTGAACGAGGTGATGTGATAAGATGAAACAAAAATCAAGGGAAATGAAAAGGGCGCAAGCGGCTACAAGACTGCTTGCCCAGTGAAACGAGACGGGGGAGGGAGGGAGAAGATAAGGCGCCGACAATAGCGCTTGTGCAACAACACATCAGTCAGAGGGCTGGCGCCAACGTACATTAGCAATGGCATCCGTAATCATGTCCTGCAGTCCTCGCATTAGCCTCACACACGCAGAGAGCGTGGTAAAATAACCACAGACATGCCGGCATGCGGCCGACGGCGCAACGAACCTGGTAGCTGGCGTGGGTAGAGCCAGACTTGGCCTTGGGGGCAGCAGCGCCTTCGGACTTCTTGGGAGGCATGGCGATGGATGGTTGGGTTGAGATGGTGTGGATGTACGAGACGAACGTGTTCGACTGTGATTGAGAGACGAGACGCGACTGGAGATTGCGAGCGATGAAGATCGAGAGGAGCAGAGACAGCGGGAACCGAACAAGTCGTCGGGCGCGTGGGAGGGAGATGGGGCTTGTTTATATACGGGGCGGGGGCAGCGCCGCAATCAGTAGGTCCTGAGCTCTGCGCAGCTTCTGGGCGGGCAGCTGGCCCCTGTCGGCGCTGCAGCATGTACCGCCAGGCCGCTAGAGCTCCGGTGGGCCCCCCGCTAGCGGGCCAGTGGCCAGACCCTCGTCGTCACCGTCACCCACACCTACAGCGCTGCCTTTGTTTGGCCGCGATCCCGGCGGCACACCTGCGTTGCTGCTTCGAGGCCGCCTTCTAGCGCAAGTACCGGTACAAGCGATGGGATGGAGGGCCCCTCTTCTCCCCGGCCGGGAAGCGATCCTGCGCAAGCCAAATCTTAGCACTGATGGGCGTTTCTTTTCTTACCATGTACAGCACAATCAATCTGCTGCTAGACACACATCGAGCAGCTTGGCACGCCCATCACCCACCACCACGTTTCTCCCTCTCCCTCTTTTTCTCTGCCGCACTCATCTACAGCTACAGTACGGTAATACCCCGTCGGCATTCCATTTATGGTGCCAGCACAGCTTGCAAGCTGAGTTTTTTTTGTCTGTTCTCTTTGACCAGCATCATGGCGTGAAAGAAAAGAAGCTTTCCGCCTCTTCTGATGTGGAGAAAAAAGACATTGATTCCCAACTCCAAACTCTCTTTGATCAGGCTTGCTCAGCTCAAGAGTTATCTACGAGTATGCCCGTCATTGTCTGGCCAAAAATAGCCATGCAGCTCAAAGGACAAACAAAAAGAGGCAATGGAGGGGGGGGACAAATATTTCGATAACAAAAAAAAGAAAAGAGGTAAAAAAAGCCAAAAAAAAGAGCTGCCCAAAGCATGGCCCGCATCGCTTGTCCTCCGGTACCTTGCGGTTCGGAGTACCGGTACAAAGTCCCCTACGTCTGGCGCGCCCCACAAGTTTTGTTATGCTTCCAAAGTAAAAATCGACGCCAGTTCGGCTGCGAAAATAATCCCTTGCCTCGTGACCAATTTTCTGATTGGCCAGCGCCAACATCACCTCGTCCGCCGTGTACCTCGACCTCTGTGATCTGAGAGCTCGACCGCTCCCCCCGAAAATCCTCGACGTTGCCAGAAATTCCTGTCCCTCGCTTCTCTTTGCTTTTCTTTCTCTTTTCTGCTCTTTTTGCCTGCGACCCTCCTCTACCTTGGCCAGTGAGGCATTTTTAGCATTTTGCCATTTATTTGCCATTCATCTGGCGCGCTCTTTGACGTCAGATGCGGTTGTAGTCTCGTATGTTGTAAGCGCTGCCATCTGGCGGCGGGTCATCGCCAGAAGACGTGGTTTGCGTCTGATGGTCCAAGGTGTTGTCGTTGTCGCATTCTGAATTGCGCGACGGCACCCCCCGTTCGCGACCCTGTGAATGGCTGAATGTGAATGCGAGTTTCTTGGGCTTTTCGCCAGTGCCATTTTTATTCGGGCTACTGCTCGTCTTGGTGTCTCTTTTGCCGTTGATAGTCAAAGTCACTTTTTCGACCTCGTGTCGCGCCGGTCGCTCGCGATGCACCCGTGAAGCTATCCAGAGATTACCGTCGCAAGGCTTTTTGGCCACGCAGCCTCACAGCAGCAATCTAAATCTTGTATTTTTTGTGTCCAATGCAATTTTGGGTAATTTCTCAATTGGTTTCATCCTTTTTTACTATTCTAGCTCGTCTTTGTGGCGTGTTATTGCGATTGCAAAACTGCCCGCGGCGGGAGTGGCAGATGGTCATGCGACCGAAGGCTCGGCCACCGTCTCACATTTGCCACTCTCGGGGTCACATCTCCAGCTATTCTTTTGCCATCTTGTTCTTGTTCGCTTCCGCTGGATCAGAGAAGCTCTTCCGTCCTCTTTCAGCCCTCCCGAGTTTCAAATTATGTCCTGCTACACTCTTGCGCCGGCTTCGTAGCTCCGGATCGTTGCACCATGTCATGTCATCCTTTCCAGGGTCCAATGACCACCCAGCTGCCTATATGGTTGCATAGCAACGCACAACAACGCCATCATGCCTATTTTATTACAGCATCAAACATTTTATTACATCTAAAGAGTTTATTTCTTTTTTTCCTTGTTCAAATCGCTGTTTTATACCGTGTTCTGCGACAATATCTGGCATCGGGCGCGACGCCGTCATCACCTCTGCGATCCCCGCACTTCGACTCTGCCACAACACGTAGCCCAACCACTTCTGCCAGCTGTGCCCAACCAAGACAGACGGCTTCTTCGAATTTCATCTATCTGAATCAATCACTTTTGAACTTGCGAGAGTGCTAGGCATTGATGCAGACTCCTGCATTGACTCGTTGCCGTCTTACACGCTCTTTGCAGGCCCATCGCGCAGATGCATCGGTCCGCCAATAACACTCCCGATTGCTCCACGGCTTTCGCAGCGGGAGCTCTTAACAATTCACCGTGCAGGAGTAAGCAAGTAATCAATTGCCAGCATTCAATCGGATAGGGACACTTGTCTCTTCCATATAGGTATGCGACTTGTCGAATAAGGCCTGATGCGGTGCCTGTTGTCGAATGATAGGTCACAGATGCCTAAATCATGTCATGCTTTGATGACCGTGGCGCTCCGGTGAAGCAGCAAGGTACACCAATCCGGTCACCCAGAGCGTCTGCAAAGTTGTCATTGTCTGTGTTTCGAGTGCTGCTATTATTCCCAAATTGCAAATAAAGAGAAGAACACAGAGAGGAAATGAGTCTTGCAAGCCCAAAAAGCTCACTTGTTTGTATGTGCGTATCATGCAGTTTGACCCAACCTACAGCGGATTGGCCCGACGTCCTGCTAGATACATGTCCACACACGTGTATTCTCATCTCAGCCATTGGACAGCCACTTTAGCCGCCAGTCAAAAACATATAATGGCCCAGGATAAGTGAGCTCTCTCCGCGAATTCTTCCACCGCTGCCAGCGGCCGCAAACCTCAACCGTTTTTCAAGCCCGACCCTTTGTCTTACGTATAGAATGAGCCCTCTGCTAGACCGTCTCCATCTTTTCGCTTACACTAATTGGCTGCGCGAGAGACCCCGATACAGCGACTGATGCTCCGTACATGCATGTGGGGTAGAAGCCCCTTGTCGCGATAGGGACCGATAAGCCACTGATAGCTCAGAGCCAGGCTAAGCCAATCACAGACAAGCGGCAACGAGGCTCTCAAGCCACGATTGTAGAAAGTCGCGAAAAGGCCACCGAGGCAAGGAACAGCTTCATCCAGACCGTGCGGGCGCTTTGCAGCATCACGACCTTTTGCGAGCCGGCCTTGTGGACGAGGATCATGGAAGCGTCCTTGAGCCAGTCTAGAAGTCTCTGACCTTGTATCATTTTGCTTTGTTGATTCTGCATCGCCTGCGCTTGTCCCGCAACAGACCCCTCGTTTTGCCAGCTTTCTGTAGGCGCAAGCTCGTCTGATATCGCCACTTGCACACAACAACAATGGACTACACTCAGTATCACGCGCTGGGCCACGGCGAGCCCCTCGATCCCAACGACCCCAATAAGACGTCGGCCCCGGCTCCCCAGCAGTTCCAGCACTCGGTTCCTCCATCGCCATACGCACCTCAGGCAGCCTTTGGCGCTCCTCAGTATGGAGCTCACCAGGGCATGCCGCCGCCGCGAACTCCCGGCTACGGGCCTCCGATGACTCCAGGCTACGGGCCGCCAATGACCCCAGGCTATGGACCGCAGACTCCGGGCTATGGTCCGCCGCAGAGCTTTCCTGGATCGCCAATGCCGTCGCAGGATGGTGCCCTTGCAGCACAGCTTGGGGGGATGAACTTGGGTGCCGATGCGGGGGGTGCCGCCTCCGCAAGGAAGAAGAAGAAGGATAGACACGCCTACCATTCCGTTGAGCCGACTGGCTCGTCACAGGCCTTCAATGGGCTGCCGCCAGGGACGCCTGCCGAGCAGTTCCTCAATGTCAACAACCCGCAGGGAATTCCGGCTCTGGGAGGACAGTTTGCAAGCCCTCTGGCAAGCCCTCTGGTGGCCAATCCAAACCAATTCCCGGTGCCTGTCGGAGCTCCATTCTCTCCCGCAAACCTCGCTACATCACACGAACTTGCTGAACGCTACCTTACTGCCGACGACGATGACGAGCCCATCGGGCCACCTACGGGGCCTGTGGGCTCCGGCGGCCAGCTTTCGGCTGACGATATGCCCAGCGTACCGGCTGCAAGAGACTCGATCCAACAGCACTTCTTCAAGAACGTGTATCCGACGTTTGAGCGCCATGTTCCTCCTCCTGCAACAGTCTCGTTTGTTGCTTTTGACCAGGGCAATTCCTCCCCTAAATATACTCGACTCACGCTAAACAATATTCCAACAACGTCCGAGGGTCTACACGCGACTGGTCTGCCTCTTGGCATGCTCATTCAGCCCCTGGCTCCCCTCCAGGCCGGCGAAGCAGAAATTCCCGTTCTTGACTATGGAGAAGCCGGCCCGCCACGTTGCCGAAGATGTCGAGCCTACATCAATCCCTTCATGATGTTCCGATCTGGCGGCAACAAGTTTGTGTGTAACCTCTGCTCATACCCCAACGACACGCCGCCAGAGTATTTCTGCGCTATTAGCCCTCAAGGAGTGCGGCTAGACCGAGATCAACGACCGGAGCTTCACCGGGGCACTGTCGAGTTTGTTGTCCCCAAGGAGTACTGGACCAGAGAGCCCGTCGGCCTCCGGTGGCTGTTTGCCATCGATGTCACCCAAGAGTCGTATAACAAGGGCTTCGTAGAGACATTCTGTGAAGGTATTCTCTCAGCACTGTACGGAGGAGACGATGAAGAAAAAGATGAGAATAATGAGCCGAAGCGAAGGATACCCGAGGGAGCCAAAGTTGGCTTCATCACATACGACAAGGACATTCATTTTTACAACATCAATGTAAGTGGACAATGCCAAATGACGGAGTGATTTATATCGATCTGCTGACATTGGGAATTCTAGCCACAGCTTGACCAGGCCCATATGATGATTATGCCCGATTTGGAGGACCCATTCCTTCCTCTCGGCGAGGGACTCTTTGTTGATCCTTACGAATCAAAAGCCATCATCACCTCTCTGTTAACTCGTCTTCCTGAGATGTTTTCTACCATTAAAAACCCAGAGCCTGCTCTGCTTGCTACGCTCAACTCCGCTGTGGCTGCGCTAGAGGCAACAGGAGGCAAGGTAATTTGCTCTTGCTCTAGTTTGCCAACTTGGGGCCCTGGTAGGCTGTTCATGCGTGATGACGGCAACCACCCCGGCGGCGAGCTGGACAAGAAGCTGTACACGACGGAGCATCCTGCTTGGAAGAAAGTCGCCGAGAAGATGGCCTCCTCAGGAATTGGCATTGACTTCTTCCTTGCTGCGCCGTCTGGCGGTTATCTGGACGTTGCCACCATTGGCCATGTTGCCGCAACAACTGGTGGCGAGACTTTTTACTACCCCAACTTCATCTCTCCGCGAGATGGAGCCAAGCTATCAATGGAGATTACGCATGCCGTCACAAGAGAAACGGGCTACCAGGGGCTCATGAAGGTCCGCTGTTCGAATGGACTGCAAGTGGAGGGGTACCATGGCAACTTTGTCCAGCATACGTTCGGCGCCGATTTGGAGATTGGCGTCATTGACGCGGACAAGGCGCTCGGTGTATCCTTTAGCTACGACGGCAAGCTGGACCCGAAGCTGGATGCCCATTTCCAGACGGCTCTTCTGTACACTGCCGCTTCTGGACAGCGGCGCGTACGATGCTCCAACGTCATTGCTAGTGTTAGTGATACGTCCAAGGAGTCAAGTACCAAGGAACAGGCCATCCGACAGTGCATGAAGTTTGCTGATCAGGATGCCGTTATTGGTATCCTGGCCAAGGAGGCTAGTACCAAGCTGGCAACAACCTCGAGCAATCTCAAGGATATCAGAAATTGGTTGACAGAGCGAACAATTGATATCATGGCCAGCTACAGGAAGCACTCTGCGAACCAATACCCGCCAGGCCAGCTAGTTATGCCCGAGAAGCTCAAGGAGTACTGCATGTACATGCTAGGTCTCCTGAAATGCAGAGCATTCAAGGGTGGCGTCGAAAATTCTGACCGGAGAGTCCACGATTTGCGCATGGTCAGAAGCATGGGACCTTTGGAGCTTAGCTTGTATATCTACCCCAGGATGATTGCTCTTCATAACCTTCAGCCTGAGGAAGGATTTGCAGATGCAGAAACTGGCCACCTCAAGCTGCCGCCTTCTGTTCGGGCATCATTCTCGCGCGTCGAGCCCGGCGGTGTTTATTTGGTAGACAACGGACAACAGTGTTTGCTGTGGCTCCACGCACAGACATCACCAAACTTGATCACCGACCTATTTGGTGAAGGCCACGATTCGCTCAAGGGCTTGGACGCCTACACATCATCGCTACCGGTGCTGGAAACCCATCTCAGCGCTCAGGTCCGCAACATTCTTGAGTTTTTGAAGAGCATGAGGGGATCAAAAGGTTTGACAATACAGCTGGCGCGCCAGGGAATTGACGGAGCGGAGTACGAGTTTGCACGAACGTTGGTGGAAGATCGAAACAACGAAGCGCAAAGCTACGTTGACTGGCTCGTACACGTTCACCGGGGAGTGCAGCTTGAGGTATGTCTTTCTAACAAATCCCTCTGACTATCCAAACTCTTATCAGAGTAAGAAAGCTAACTCTGGTGTTTCTTCATAGTTGAGCGGACAGCGTAAGAAGGATGATGGAGAAGCAACGGCTGTGATGGCTAACTTTGCGGGACTGAGGCCGTCGTACTGGTAAACACCAGCCATTGCGTCAAGTATGATGCTATAATAGAACCAAAAAAGTTGTGCATTATTTATTATTCGCTATCCATACAGACTCTCGAAAAGAAAGGAAAGAGGTGTCTAGCAATAGCTAGTGTGGGGGAACGTCTTTGTGAGGCGTACAATTTGGGTAAACTATGATGCAGCAAATACCCGCACAGTAGGCCAATGCTAGATTGCCCCCATACCAAGCATTGACAGTAGTGGTCTTGATGTTTGGTCTTTGTGGGAGACGCTTACAGCATGCATTGCGTTCAAACATCGTTAATCTTGTTTTCAACAGATAGCCTTTGTTACATATAGTATAAATGAACATAAAGTTTTCTTCTGATTTCATGGACTGTGAAGCGGCTTTGTAAAAGTGATGACTTGAGAGACTTTGTAGCTTCTATATTTTGCTTCATAAAATCACCATATAGTCACCATACACTAGCTACTCTTTTTACATGCAATGATTACTCTCCAGAGGCGCCGGTAGCAAGTGTTATGTAAACTCTAACAGGAGCTTTGCTTGTCTTACGAACTCTTTTAGCGAGCATGAGAGTTTTCGGTATTCATTGATTGCTGCTATTGTCATTACTTTGGACTATATGGCATGGAAGAAGGATGTAATTCAGTAAAAGAGGCAAGCTAAAGTTGAAGTTCTTCTTTAAGTCTTTTGAGATTTGTATGCTGTTGTCTGTTGTAAGCTGAGATGAGACAGTTCCATGGCACATACGACCATATCCATTGGAAAAATACGGGATCCCCTCAAGCACTTCTCTTGAGTGTGATGTCTTCCATTTTTTGGCTCCCGAGACTCCAAGAAAGATTACTAAATTATTTAAATAAACCCTTAAGACCAAGCCAGGTCCAATATGGTGGGCCGGCTCAATATGGCAGTTGGCCACGGAGCAGGGTAATATAGGGGCCGTGTATAGCTGACGTGAGAAATTTTAGATGCTCGCTAGGAGTGTCGCCTCTAAGACCTTAAGAAATGCCAACGGTTATAGAAATGCCAAACGGTTATAGAAATGCCGAGGCTCAGCAAGCCGATATAAAGAAAACCTGGCTCGAAACAAAATTTTCCACCTCTAATCCCTTGTTGGAAGGTTGCTGACACGAACCTTGGTTAGCAGGCATGTTCGTACTGGAGCATTTTAAGCATACTGCCAAATGCAGGAGCCTATTTCATACAATGGAGTGCCAACTTGTGCAGATCTATGGCCATGGTATCAATTCTCTATAAAAGGGCCTCATCGCCACCAAACTTGACTATTGAAAGTACCACCGTCATAGAGCTTGTCAATTACCATCTCCGGTTTCACTTTCAACATGCGATCTGCCAATTGCGTCGCTGCTGCTGCGGTCCTTTTCGGCTCAGCTTTGGCTGCTCCCATCACCGACCCGTGCATCCCTCAGCTTGATCCCAACCCCGTAGCTCGTGCCGCTGCTGTCTCTGCTCGTCGTGATGGCTTCATCTACGGCCCGTCCCTCACCGGCGAGGCCGCCCCCTTCCCCAATGGCACGCTTGGCAATGCTCGTACCAAGGCCGACTACGATGAATGGAACAAGGACCGTACCATCATTGATGAGCTGATTGCTCTCGACGTCCAGTCTCTCCAAGCAGCTATTCAAACCGTAACGGCCACACTTTCATCATACTGGAAGACGGGATCAAGTAACTAACTTTCACATTGCAGAATGGCGGCCTCAACAGTTGGCAAGACTATGAAAGAATCCTCTACGATGGCCAGCTCAATAATACAAACCCTCGAGGTCCCGCTCCCGGTATCATTTCTAATGCGACGCAAGATCTCCTCTTCTCCATGGAACGCCTCAGCGAGCATCCCCATGCCGTCCGTCGCGTCATGGCAAACGAGCCCCTTCCTTTTCCACTAGACGATGCCATCACGAGCAAGATTGTCGGTTCTGAAAATACGCTTCAGTCTCTTCAGGCTGGCAACCGCCTTTTCATTGTCGACCACTCGTATCAGGCCAAGTACGGCGTTGCTACTGTCGTCGAGCGTTTCCCCGTCGCTTGCAGCGCCTACTTCTACATCGACCCAGAGTCTGGCAACTTCCTGCCTTTGGCCATTCGCACTAATGTTGACGCCGACCTGACTTACACTCCTCTCGACTCCGCCAACGACTGGTTGCTGGCAAAGATGATGTTCAACGCCAATGACATGTTCCACGCGCAAATGCTGCACCTTGTTGTGTCGCACGACGTCACCGAATCCGTTCACCAAGCTGCTCTTCACACTCTCAGTGAGAACCACCCCATAATGATTCTTCTCGAGCGCCTCATGGTGCAAGCCTATTCTTCTCGTATCGTTGGAGAGGAGCTTTGCTTCAACCCTGGCGGTCACTGGGATCAGCTCATGGTTTTCAATCAGTTTGGCTGCCGTCAGTTTGTTACCGACAGCTGGCCCGTTGACGGTCGCTACCAGAGCGGATATCTGGAAAACAACTTGAGAGCCCGTGGTCTGATTGATGCTAATGGACAGTCCGTCTTCAACTCTTTTCCCTTCTACGACGACGCCAAGCGTATCCGTGACAACTACTTCACCTTCTTCACGTCTTTTGTCAACTCGTACTATAAGAGCGAGAATGACCTCGCTGGCGACTTTGAGGTTCACAACTGGTTCAACGAGGCCAGCACATTGGCCAAGGCTCAGGACTTTCCTCAGGAGAAGGATCTGAGCAAGAAAATTCTCATCGAGGTCCTCACCCACTTCGCCTATGCTACCTCAGTCTCGCACCACAGCGTCAACGGCGGCGCTCCAATCGCCTCCGGTACCCTGCCATTCCACATCCCCGCCATTTACACTGCTATCCCGAAGGAGAAGGGCGTCAAAGACCTCATGCCGTATCTGCCAGACCCTGCCACCGCTGTTCTTTACCTTGGATTCATGGCTTCATTTAATCGCCCATTCTATGGCAGCGACGGACGGACACTTGAGGATGCTTTTGATGCTACTACTGTGCAGCGTTTAAACCAGGACACAAAGAGTGCTTCCAAGGCCTTGCTGGACAGTATGCAAGAGCTCAGCCAGCAGATCCGCAGCCGTGCGTTCGACAGCCAAGGTTTGAGTCAGAATATGCCTTTCATTTACAGGACTCTGGATCCTGCTTACATCCCCTTCTTCTGTGCCGTCTAGAGCAAAGGTAAATATTTTCCTTGGGTTTATGCCAAGATTTAGCTCTGACTCTATGCAAACGTGAATGAAAATCTCCGAAAACAGAAAACCTACTGTAATATAATGCGCATTTTGTTCTGCAGGAAAAAGACTACATGTAAGGTTAAGAGGAGTTACTTTAGAACGGGTTTCCCGAATACTTCCGCTGCGGCATAGGGGACACGAATTTTTTTAGCCAAGTGCTTTTGTGTATATATTATGTATTATACCTGCCCTACGTCTGGCCCTATCTTAATGTTAATAAAGATACAAGTATAAAAAGGAATATCTAAATAATTTATGTATTATACAAATTCTCCTCGTGTAATAATAAAGAGTATTTAAATTGAGCTATAAGTAAGTAGCTTATTCATTTACTTACTAACTCTTTTGAATCCATAATATAATTACTTATCAGAGTTGCGGCACAGCAACTCAGCATGTGACCGAGTCATTGAGAGATATAATACGGCATAATTATGTATGTGTATGTGCAAGCGCAACCACTCTTCAGAAAAACTCCATAAAGGATGCAAATCCTGGCAAACACTTGGTCTTCAACTCAAGGGTTATAAACCCGATTTCCCATCGGACATGTACACCGTTACATAACCCACCTTCCTGATGAAATCAAACTCCGTCTTTTTACCCTTTTCACCTGTTCAGCTCTCCTCTTTTTTATGGGAAGTAACAAACTGGGAATGGGGGCCAGAAAATGGAGAATTTTTTTTTACAGTTTTAGATTGATTATGGTAAGACGGCAAACCAAACGTTCAAAGAGCAAAAAGGGAACATTGAGACAAGGAAATAAACCGGGCCTAACAAGCAACAGAGTAGTAGCGAGAAGGACTTCGGTTAAGGACAAACTTCGCCTACCAAGCACCAAGCAACAGAGTAGTAGCAGAGGGATTTTCACTATGAGCACAAATTAGTCTCTTTATTCTGGTGAGATACAACCTACTTCCAGAAAGAGTAATCATGTGGTAAGCAAGTTCCAAAAAAGAATGTAGTAGCACATAGAAATAATCTTCCGCGTATCATGTCATCCAGTACCCAAACAGGGCATCTTTTTCCGATTTTGATGACATCCTACCTGTACTTGCTGCCTGTTCTGTTGCTTTTTGGTTTCCCCCAAAGTCTTACAGTTCATCCCGCTTATCTCGTCTATAGCACCCGTTCGCATGAAGATGCGGGCGAGAGAGAGCCCGTTTCGTCTCATTTTCGGCCGAGTCAATTAAAAAAGGCACGAAAACCTAAACCCCCTACTCTCATATCACCAGGGTATCGCAGCATGCTCATGTTACCCAGTAGAGAGTTGTAAACTCTACCAATAAATTAAACAACCAATAGGTACTCTGCAATGCGGTGAAAATGATTCCAATATATAAAGCATGATTTTATATCCTCAATAATATTTAGCCATCTTTCGGATTTAAAACTGTATAATCGGAAACGCGAGGTCCACCGCGCGGACGTCTAGATTGATACAAGTATCTTTGTAATACTGCATGTGGAAATCGGGGGAAGCGATATCTCTACTGCCAAATGGGTCGATGCGTTGCCATCCGCGGCTATACCATCGTTGTTGGTTCTAAGCAAACGGCCCAACACAGAAAATCAGCAGAGTCATGCACTCCTCCGCGTGTCATCTTGAAATCACAAAATGCATCTGCCGATCATATAGATTGACTCGTTGCCACAAAACCATCTAAAAAGAAGGCTACAAAGGAACATACACTTGATCAAGTTCACTATTATTATTCACGTAACCTAATGCGGATAATTGTTTCCTATGTGTTTCAACTTACACGTACTAGTTGCGAGGCAGCAGGCCAAGGATCGCAGAAGCTAAAAAAAAAAAAGAGAAAGGGACTTAAAATTGTAAGATCAAAAGAGGAGAGACAGAAGAGGCAAAGAGAAGGAAAAAAAGCCAAACAGTAACCAAACCGTAAACCCACAGGTCTATTCTGTCAAGGATTCCTGTTTAGGCAACATCTGCGTTGCTGTGGAGGTGGGGTGCGGCAAAAAAAAACCGATCATCAGGATTCCTACTTTGCTTATGCTATTTTGTTTTTGATGCCCTGGCGTAGTCGTTGGAATACGGGTCATGTTCGTGGCAGCACTACCTGCTGGCCCCTGCTTGCCATGACACAGAAAGCGGTCAGCGAACATTTATGGAAACTGGACGCGAATCGCACACATATACCTATATTGGACAACCAGCACACGAAGCCAAAGATTGCCGTCGCCTATGCCGGCGGCTATGCAGTAATTACCTACAGTAGTTATCTTTGATACTTGACCAAGTTTGTTTGCTAACGACGCCCCAGGGACGCGAAGAGCGGGCAGCCGATTTACGATTGATGAGGGCCAAAATCTCTTGTCGGCTTTGGTCTGAGTGACATGTCGCTTTTGCTTTGCTGCTGGCTTGGCCTTTGCACTACCTGTAGACAAGTAGGTATGAGGTAGTTACTTGGTATACTTGTGTTGGCTTCTCTTTCATGATTTCTGATGAGATAAATAGGAAAGTCTTTGCGAGAGAAAAAAACGCCTCTGAATACGCCTCTGTGTAGGTAAGATACGACAATATATCGGCATAACCACCACCACTGACGCCAGGACAACGGCAGCGGAGAACCGGTGTCGATGGCCAAGATGCCCGAACGGAGAGAGGACAAGAAAGCGCGAGCACACCCTGTCATCTGGATATGTTAAACGGTACGGTATGTAATGCCAGTATAGGGATGCTCCGTAAAAATATAGCACGTTTCTCGTCAAGTGCCGTTGTGTTCTCTTACGGAGAGCTCCGGGCACCTGTTAATAGCAGTAGGTAGCACCAAGCGTACATATTAAACGGGTACGGCCATGAAGCTAATGCAAACTTGGCGTCTGCCTATCCCATGCATTGCGCGCTTCTGACAGGCGCAGATGCCGGCCTTCCTAATGGATGAAGGCAATTGGATGCTAGCCAGGCTCCCGTGCGGCCGCAGAACTAAAGCCCCGAGGAACGCTTGTTGCGCCACTTGCACCCTCTGAACATGTCTCTTAGCTCGGCTATGTTTGATACTGTATCTCTGCATTGCAATGTAGCATAGGGAGTTGGAAGCCGGTGGGAGCCATTGTGCGAGTTCCGCAATCCCCGTTGATGAGCGTGAGCTCCGCACAATCCCGCTAATGCAGCATTGCTACCCAGATAGGAAGAGACACATAGAGAGACACATAGAGAGAGAGAGAGAGAGAGAGAGAGCCTTCTAAGAGGTTCACAGAGCCTCGTGTGGGGGCAGCTAAGATTCCAGACGTTATGCACTACAACACTTGATCGTTTTTCGCTTTCGGTCTCGCAACGTCAGGCTACGGCTGAAATGCAGCAAACGTGGGAGGGGCACCACCCCCTCATGACTAGTGGTCGAGGCCGGGGGCATCACACAGCCTGTCTGAGGGTTAGAAGGGCTACAAACAAATCGGCGATGATGCATGTAGTCCCCGACATGGAGACAGCATTCTGGGCAGTGTCTGCCCGTCCAGGCACGTATCCGGTATAGGTAAGCGAACCGGCCCCCTCTTTGAGACTGTCAGGCTTCAATTTCGATAGAATCAATAACCCTTGTAACTCCAATGGCCGGAGCAGCTAGCGATGTTCACTGACTCAACCCCAAGTCATCACAATCACGCGTCGATATGCCTAGCATCCTGGTAACGACTACCTGTAGATCGGATTAGCCGCGAATCACAGAAGGCCATGATATTTAGCGCTGCGCCCATCCAGTTTTCACCGGTTTCAATCACTGGCATTAGCCATCCGACGATGCAAGGGGCTCCAGCAGGACGGGCTCTGGCAATAGCAGCACCGCGGGACTCCGGATCGGCTAGCGGAGGTGTCCTGACAGCTTACTTGGAAATTCTCGTCCACGGTGGCGGTCTCACTTAGGTTCGGTAAGTGTACGGAACGCGAGGTAGAAACTAGAGCAGAAAGTCAATGCTAATGGCTCGTCTTCGGAGGCCCTTTGCCAACATACAAGTGAGCATCGATATCTTCATAATGTAAAGTTACTTTGGTCCACCTAGACTTTGAGTCGTCGTTTGCAGGCAGTCAAAAGACGGCCTCTCAAGGACGTAGATTGGACGTTAAAAAGAATAAAGCAAAGGCAGCGTAGGAAGAAAAGGGGAGTGAAAAGAGAGGAAGTACCTGGCAGGCCACCATAGGTCGAGTATTAGAGTGCTTATAGACACGACACTAGCCCCCAAAGCTGGCATCCCCAGTCGCCCCTTGTGTCGTCGTGCCATTCCTGTCTCGGCCAGTTCATTGCCAGCCAAGGGGGGGCCTGATGTCAGCTGTCTGTCTCCTGTCGTAAAAAGTAGATATTGTCGTCTGGGCATCTTCACTTCAGGGAAAAGAGAATGAGACCACTTGCTTGGATTCACCGCACCTTAGCAGCTCTGAGAACCGGCTGGGGTGCTTGACCTCAGCCCGCCCGCGACTACTAATCGTATTAGCAATCAACCAGTCGCATGCGCAGAAATGGCTCCACGGGAAGGCAAAAAGAGACAAAAGTTACCCAAACGGAAAGAACTTAAAACCCGATATATGATACCCCTTCGTAGAATAGTCTAACCCGTTCATCCAAACCTAGCCACCCGCACACATACCCAATTGTCCCCCATAGTACCCCAAACCCAGACGCTCAAATCCTTCTCGCTTGAAGCGGGAGAGGATACCAAAAAGCCACTAAATTTTCAAAGACATACAAGGCCACCAATAGCGAACAAATACAGCTCCCCTCCCTCTTTGTAATAGCACACTTAAAATCAAGCTCCAATAAAGAAAAGGAAGAGAGAGAAGAGAGAGAAGGGAGAGAATGCGAGAAAGAAGATGGGGGAAAGGGACTTTTGCCTAGCGTCAAAATGCCAGTCAAGGCCTTCCAGCCATGTTGCCCACCTCCGTCCTCGACAGACGCTCTCCTCATACATGGCTATTCCATGGATGCCACCATGGTCACAACGAAGAAAGGCTTCATGAAGTAATCATGTCAAGGCCGTAACGGGGATCTGGCCGGCAAAGAACACGCTCAATCTCCTCAGGGTCAAAAGTATGCCCAAAGATGTCTATATCAGTAGCGCCGAGGCCATGGGGCACCTTTGTCTTTGTAATGCTGCTACCCTTCCGGTCTTTCTTGGCCATTTCTTCATGGATCAAGCGAGTCGTGTTCTGCGTGGGATCTTCAAAGACAAAGACAACGTAGGAGAACTGCCCACGGAGATCAGGGTCAAATAGGAAAATATCCCGCCAAATTTCCGCAAGTTCCTTGGGTGGGTTGCGATAACCATTGCCGAGGCCGAAATCGCCAATCACGACTCGATCGTAGTTGTTGTATAAGCAAATGCGAAGGGCGCCTCGGATCTTTTCTCGTATCATGTCCCGCTCTTCCGAGAACGAATACTTAGTTCCATTCTCTTTAAGCTTGGGCCAGCGTGTTGGCGGAACGGAGATGACTGGCAGATCGTACCAGCGATCAAGTGGCTCGTAGCGATCGTGAGGCCCACGGCATACAACAACCGAGTCTGAGAGAATAGCTCCAACAGATGGGATAGGATAGTTGGAGACCTCTCCGGTCGCAGGCCAGGGGCTGCCTAGCGTGGCAGAGAGGTTGCTTCGTCGGCACAGCTTCTCTTCATAGCCAGAGCAGCCGGTTTCCCAGTCTCCCCCTGGACGCCGCTCGTTCGCGGCGCAGATGAAAGGGATTCGAATTCTTGGCCCTCTTGCTGCTTCACTAGACTCGCTGTCCATATTGGCGTAATAGATGGCTTTCATGACAGGATCACCGGATTCTACCCGAAACTGTGGGGGACGAGTGCTTGGCTTCTGGCGTGGAATGTCGAGCTGCGCCGCCGGATGTCGATAAAGAATGGAGTATGGTGGAAACATTTCCGAATAGTTTGCTTTGACTAGAGGAATAAAGTTTCTCTTGGTATCGGCCGCTACATCGGACGGCCTTACCTTGCTTGATCTAGTTGGAGCCATACTCAAAGACTTTGCCCAGGTCAAAGGAAAAGCGTGTAACAAGAGTAACCCAAGGGCGAAGACGAGATGCAAGCCAGGTTGTAAAGTAGGTGTAGAAGATTGAAGAACAACTTGGGGACTCGGGTGTTTATGTTGCCTTCTCAGGGATGTAAACCGGTCAGCAGGAGCGGGCGAGGCGCCTTTATATATCACTGTCTCGGCCTGATATGAATTGCTTTTTTCCTCTCTGCCCTTGTTTCCTATCCTTCAAACCAAGTTGCCAATCACCAGTGGCCAATGACCAATGAGGCAGGCAGTGATTCAGAGGCGAGCATCCATAGAGTGAGTGAAGCGAGATGTAGGGGCTGCAATTAATTGTACGACCCAATACGTCCAGAATCTGAACCATTTGTTTAGAACAAAAACCAACGGCAGGCGAGCAGACGGGGTTAGAAGGACCAGCCCAGAGGCTAGCGATCTTCAACTTGAAAAGAGTGCCAAGCAACGCCTGAATGGCCACCGTGGAGGGGGCCAGATTATGTCTCGCCGGCAAGACAGGAATTCATACCGGGACCCACGAGGCACCGGTAGCCAGACTGGCGGGACACGCACGATGGATGGTATCTTGACGCCTAGGACTGGTTAGAGAGTAATCTTTGACCCTTGGGTTGATTAGAGACGTGCGGGATCTCAGCAGTACTTGTCCTGGCCGGAAGCCCCCGGTCGAAAGCCAGAGAGACATGATACGGTGTGCCCCACGGGGGCCTTTGAGAGACATTCTTGGACAGCGTTCATGGTTCATAATGAAGCCTCACACCACTGGGAGAGATGGGGATCCCTAGTGAGCGGAGCCGATTCCGCGCGCTCATTGGGTTCCATAAGGACTAGGAACGGCACGAATAGGTGCAGGCGAGCATGGCGGCCGGAAGCCATGACGAGGCACACTCGTAACGGTTGCTTTTGGCATAGGCCGGAGTATTGTTGCAGACGCATGCGCATAAGATCTGTGATACTTCATCTCGCCCTGTTGAACCTTGCAAGGATCTAAACTAGTCTGCGTCGGCGCAGGACATGGGCCAGGGGGTTCGAGGCCCCCGGGTTTGAGTGCCAGATCTCTCCACCGTATTGTACTTGTACAGTATGCAACAAACGGCCAAGCCCAGCATAGCACGCTCGTGAGGGTGGAGGCCAAGAGCGGCGGCTGTGTGTCTTGCCAGGACTTGACTTGCTGGTCCTATCGACGGTCCTTTCGATGGGCCAATCCCACGGCACTCGCTAGGCTTGGGCGTGATGCTCGACGACGGGCTGATGATTGGGGATGGACGACCAGGCTGGGGCTAAAACATGCAGCGACCAGCTGGTTGGCCGGTCACTCGCCGGGCCGCCGACGGCGACGTATCAAGGGCCAGTCTCGCGGGCTTCTTCTGGATATGATGAAAAGGGCCGCGGTCGCCAGACAGATGGTGGGTGCGAGTGGAACATGGCGTCTTGCCCACGGCCATTCAGAGGAGGCGCTCGTCACTTGATGACTGCCAGCCAACAGCACAAGAGAGGAGCAGGGAGATGAGGCGGGCGAAGGATGCGATACGCCCTCCCAAGCCTGCTTCTCGGCGATCCAAGGCTTTCTCAGAGGCAACGTCGAAGTCTGCCAAGTACAGGCAAGCAAACGTGTCAAATATAGTGGACGATGTCTTGCCTCTGGCGGTTGATGCGATTTGGCAGTATGCATGTGTGTACCTGAGGCAGCGGCGATGATCAGCGGCTAGAGTACACGATACACGCTCGCCCAGGTAGCGGGTACCACCGTTCTAAGGCGATCGCGATGAGGCGGTACCAATGCAAGATACTTAGTAGCTGTAGCGGCTGGTGGCTGCAGGGAGGAACAAGCGTCGAACGGTGGCTATCCGCGACGCCACAGCGCTATTGTCTGGAGCTGGATCCCCTGAATTCCGCCATTTTCTGGCGCTGCTGTCTATCTGAGTAATTTACCGCCATTCCTAGCTTATAGAATAGACAAGCAGAGCAGCGAGCACACTGAAGTTTGAGCACAGAGAGCCAGATGTTAGTAGATACAGGTAGCATGCTATTACAGGCGATAGCGCTGGCTAAAGATGTACCTCATAATGCATGCCCCAGGTACCCGCTAACGCCGTTGCGCGGTACTACAGTACAGTAAATCACCACTCACCGCTTTGACTACACGGCGGCACAACAGTTTTTCCTTTTTTTCTCATTCTGCCATATCCCTGCTCTCAGCTTTCAGCCCGCCAAAAAGCAACCTTTCTCCAATTTAAAGACGAGACATATGATGGCCATTGGCATCTAATACGGCGCAGAACCCAAGACAAGCCCTGTGCCATCTCCCTGCTCGGCCTAAAGGCACACGTCATGAGACTTTCTGCTCACGTCTTGCTGCCTTGCCAAAGTCCCCGTGAGCGGCCAACGTCCAAACATGTCTCGTCCATTCCGCCTGCTTGGGCGCTACCGACGCTATCCTTTTGCTCATAGACGATGCTACTCGGTGCGTGTCCCCAGCGACGGTGCCGGGGACATCAGGACAGTGGCAGACCTGAAAGAATGGCAGCCTGAAGGCCGTGTCTCGGATGTGCAAGTCTGCGGCTGGGTCAGGTCGGTTCGCAAGAGCTCCAGCGTGCGCTTCGTTGACATCACCGATGGATCGTCCATGAGGCCAATGCAGGCTGTCGTTGACAAGAGCTTGGCCGCAGAGTACGTCAGCCCTCGTCCCAGCGGGATGGCGAGCAGCAGCTGACAGGCCTCGTAGTATACGCCCGGGTGCAGCCGTTCGCCTCAAGGGGGTCTGGCATAGTAGCGCCTCCAAATTGCTGCCTAGTGTAGAGTCTCAAGATGACAACCTTGCTCGTCGTAGTCCAATTGCAGGCGCTCAAGCCCTGGCTGACCACCAGCTGAACCTGAAGAATCCCGGCCGTGGTTCAGAGCATGCCTCAGCAGCAAGCTTGCCGGCGTCGACGTCAGTGCAAGAAGCAGAAGCGCCCAGTATCACCGCAACAAGTCGTGGCCAGGCTCAGGCCTCAGCTACGGCTGAATTGCAAGTCAACGAAGTGGAAATCCTTGGCTCATCTGATCCCCATGTAAGGCTGGAGCCGTTTTGCAAACAGTTTCCCCCCGAAACGTTTATCCATTCTGACGTTTATCAAGACATATCCCATTCAGAACAAATATCAAACACCAGAAAGCTTGCGAGCAATATCACATCTTCGGCCGCGAACTCCTCTCAACTCAACGCTCCTTCGGCTAAGATCAGACGCCATTGCGATTCTAACCAATTTCTTCTTCAATGAAAAGTTTCAGCAGACCCACCCCCCAATCATTACTTCATCAGACTGCGAGGGAGCTGGTGAAGCATTCAGCGTCAAGAGCGGCGGATCTTCCGAGTTCTTCAGAGACCCCAAGTATCTCACTGTCTCATCACAGCTCCATCTAGAGGCTCTGGCTCAAGCGCTGGGAAATGTATGGACTCTATCGCCTACTTTCCGAGCCGAGCAAAGTGACACCTCTCGGCACCTGAGTGAGTTTTATATGCTTGAAGCTGAAATGAGTTTTGTTCAAGACATGGATGAGGTCATGGACCTCGCTCAAAGAATGCTGGCGTCGCTTGCTAGCGGGCTCAGCCAGTGCAGTGCCGCCCAGGAACTCGAAAATCACCGGCTTGATTCCAGAGACCCTGCGGAACGTTTAGCATTTGAAGACCTTGTCGATATCAAGGAACTGCAACAGCGGTGGAGGGGCCTGACGGCGCCGACCAGATGGCCGCGAGTGACGTACACAGAAGCCATCAAAATCCTCGAACCCGTGGCCCATCTGTTCGAACACAAGCCCGTCTGGGGATCCGGCCTCCAGTCAGAACATGAGAAATACTTGGCCGAGAAAATTGGGTATGATGCAGCAAGCGATGCGTTCCAACCCATCTTTGTCACCCAATACCCGCGAGATATCAAGGCCTTCTACATGCTCCAGTCACAGTCTCCCCCGCCTCAGGGGCAGACGGTCGATTGCTTCGACCTCCTTGTCCCTAATCTTGGAGAGCTTGCGGGAGGATCCATGCGAGAGTACCGGCTTGCCGAACTTGAGGACAACATGCGCCTGCATGGTCTAGAGGTCCCAACAAGCCGGAAAGCCAGATCCAACGATATGGGGTGGTACCTGGATCTGAGACGCTGGGGATGTCCTCCCCATGGAGGATTTGGTCTTGGTTTTGACCGCCTGTTAAGCTATCTGACTGGTGTGCCCAACGTCCGCGATGTGGTGCCATTTCCACGCCATTTTGAGCGCTGCGATTGCTAAATGTGGCTATCTTTTCGACTTTGTGCCACGTCAAGCTTCGTCACTAAGACAGGAGATTGCCCCGACGTCTCGGGAAATGATGAACCACAAGCCTGCTGTGCTCGTCAATGCTTGCCTACCTCGGACTGTTTCATTTCAGGCAAGCTTGCTCGCACAGCAGCAGCAAACGGCGATCTGCGTCAGGGGACCGATTGCATGACGCAGCGCCACGCCGCCATTCATTGTTACACGGCGTAACCTGATCTTGGGGCTCAAAGACGAGAACGGCTTTGTGGGAAGCTGCATGTGCCAATGTTCATGTCTCTCCTTATTTATATCTGAGCACCTTACACGCGAGGCGGGGAGGCCGACACTGATGCTCCGGTAGCGATTGGATCCCACTCGGCGAGCGTGGCTGCCATTCACGAATGGGGAAATTAGATCTTGTGCGATTTGCCCATCTGCGACAATGGGTGCGATTATGCGGGAAAGCGATGAGATCTTTTTCATTTGGAGTTCGGCGATTTGCATTATCGTTACTCTCAGCCCCGACCTTGCCTGCCTTGTTTGGAGATATGCTACCCAAATCCAAGTGGATGGCTCTCTTCTTTCTCTTCTCTCTCTGGTTACGGTAGCACAACCCATGATGAATTTGACGCTGCAGGAACGCATCTAACCGTGCTGTTGTGGATTCAGAGATCTGATCTCTTTGTATTCCGTTCAAAATTGCCAGATTGGGAACATACATGGATGGTTATGTATGGGGGGATGGGATGAAGAAGGAGAATACGTTTGAGAAGCTCTCTCACCTCGTACTGTGATGCCAATATAACTTTTTGGCGATATGTAGGATACTGTAAAATAGGCTATTGTAAGATGGAATAGAAACTAAAATACCCCCGTCATTCATCAGAGAAAGGCCATGGAGCTGCGTTAATACCTGCTCCTTTTTACAGGTGACATTTTCTAAAAAGTGGCAATGGCACATGCAAGAAGAGCTCCAGGGGATGTTGAGCCCGCAGCTTATGGACGAATACTATGGACGTGTAGTCGCTTACCTTTGATATAGATTTGGGAGACAGCTACAGGCTCTGCAGTTCTACGAAACAAGTATATTCACATTAGATTAAATCTACAGCCCTTGGCATCACTATGGCTGCACTCAGTCATAAAACGCATGAATCCCCGTGGCTACAGAACTCGTCTGCCAAGTGGTATGCTCATATCTAAGACTGAGAATTTGTTCCTTGCCCATCCGAAGCTTACAAGTACAAGTTACAGCTAACCCTAGGCGTCAGCTCAGCTTTTCAGCTCAGCTTCAGCTTATATTGCCCGCACACCCAGAGTATATCAGAGCCTCGCCGGGTGCTTTTTGGGGGTAGCGCGGGCATTGCATGGGGTTACCAAAAAGCGCCCCCAAAGACAGAACCCGAAACGCTTCCCAGCGCTGAGTTGACGATGTTCACTTCAATTGGTTCAAGCCATTGATAAGGGGGGCCACCCCTCTTCAGTCTCAGCCTCGAGTTCGAAGCAGACAGGCCCCGGGCATTAACACCAGCCAAGGTTTGGGCAGAAAGCCGGGACGCGCTTATGCCATATTTTCTCAAGGGCTCGTTGCTTGTTTTCAGCTCTCGATATGCCAACACACCATTTGATGAAGTAGTGGGCGTGGCGCAACGAATGGTGCATTCAAGGGATCCTACAAAGGGTGTTGTTTGGATACCAGGGCCAGGGTCGGGCTTTTTGTAAGGGAGGAGGGGCTGGTTTCGCATAAGCATAATCAGCTACTATATCTCGATGAGCCTACAAGGGGAGAAAACACACATAGGGTTGCCCATTAACGTGCTTGTACAGGCACAGTGCAAGCGTCACTTGTTTTCCCCTTGGTTACAATTTGAGTCTATCATTACCTGTGGCTTGAATGGCCTAAAAGAGTTGAGAGAACTCTTCCTTGGCCGAAGGATTTTGGCCTCTATTGGAAAGCAACACCCGCTAAGGCCAGGGATCATTGAGGCTGAAGGGGGCCGTTGACGCTGTGGCTTTTTTACCTCTCTGCTGTTGGCGAAATATTTTTATTTGTTATTTCTATTTTTCCATTTTCCTGTTTTCCAGTTTTCCGGTTGGTGAGGGGAATGAATAGTAATCTAGAGGAAGGCAAGCGGTCGACAAAAAAAGCGAGACCGCAAAATAAATATGCACTCACAAAACAGCAATAAGAGCACAGATTGCGCACACGCTGATCTTGGCCTTTTGTGTACATAGTTACCACATTGTGTGTTTCATATCTTTGCGGTCTCGCTTTTTCTGTCGACCGCTTGGAAGGGTAGGATTGAATCAGGGAAAATGGAGGGGAGGCTGGGCGGCCGTGCCGTACGAACCGAGTTGGCGTGGGAGAAGGGGGGGGAGTTACGGGGGGAATAAAAAAGAACTAGAAGAATGTAATTAATGGAAAATGTGGAGGGGCGTGCGGAGTGAAGAGCGAATTGATTGGGAAAAGAGAAATAAAAATAGCCGCAAGGATTTGTCTATCCATCCAGGCTGGAGTACCAATGGTACAGAAGAGAGATCGCCAGATCAAGTACTGGACTGTAGCTTCGAGGTCTGATAGACAAGGCTGTAACCGGAAAGGGTAACATTGAGTCCGCAGTGCATTAGCAATTGAGCCTATCCGCGAGCCGTTGTTATGCAAAGCTACGCAAGAGAAGCTCAAGCGAAATATACACTGCACAATTGTCTGCTGCAAGATTAGGCAAAGGGGCTTGTTTTGTCCTTGTGACATTCATGCGAGGCTGTTCGTGTGTATATTACAGATGCTGGATGCTGGGTAATGAAGCGCTAACAGAAACAGGGACTCGACTTACTATGTAGGGGAACTATATCGGAATAGATATTCAGTAAGCATGCACCTAGAGTACGATATCTATCAATCCAGAGTTATAGGAGGAGGGTTTTCGATGTATTCATCAACCAACACTTGGCTGGACTAAGCCTTTACAAGGAGGAGGAAGTGTCTGCAGTGATACGGTCTATTCTCCTAGCTTCCTGCTACGTTATTGTGATAGGATTAGACCGCATAGTCACAAGGAACTATAGGACTTTTCCATTATGAATACATGTCAGCGAGGCTTAGCATAGTCGATTATTACTATCTATAGCACACTGCTGCGCTAATTACCTACGTACGTACTGAGAGTTAGTAATAAAAGTCTTGGAAACGTATTCTCTTCTACTAGCCACCCTGAATTAAACATTAAGCATGCATGATGTATCATTGAGATTAAAACTCTTCTTGTTGAGCTGGGAGAGAGTACCAAGGAGTAATGACCGAAGGCATCAAACCCTAGTACCTATCTCAGGCAAATACGCTTATAGCTGAGCCAAATGTAATTGTATACATGCTTATTGTAAGTGGGTGTATATGCGGATGTATGTATTGCTTACGCGCCTTGTTCTTATACGCTATTTTAGTATTATACCACTAGTAATATTTCTATTTTACAGTAACTATGTTCTACTGGTATCTAAACTATTATAGACTGTTATAGTATCGTCCACACTTAACTCTCCATTCCTTCTGACCTAGACATGACCATTTCCTCAGACGGCCAGGCTTCATGCCCGGCAATAAGATCTGCTCTTTTTGATTATAGACTTAATTATCGGTAAACTTGATTAGACATAGATGATTCGACTCGAGGGCGACAACACCAATAGCGATCTGAGATTCCAACACTGCCGTTGCTCTGTTTCGGTAATTTGGAGGCAACCAAATCAGACGCTCCTTGCCGTTTACAATCCATATACCATCAAGACTTATACCATAGCCACGGTAGAGCACTTCTCGCGGTGATACATTGCTGAGCGTTGTCGTACTACCAAGGCTTAAGTCCAAGATTCCAAAATTGGTGTGAATATGAGAACTGTTTAGCGGATCAAAGGAAAGGCTGTTGGTTGGCGGATCAACGCCGAACGATAGCAGAGAGGCACCTGTGGCGACGTCCCAGACATTAATTCTATCTGAGCGCCTAGTGGATTGCCACCACTTGGGTGTTGAGATTGATACCATTACCTGGTTATCTGACGAGAAAGCGCCTTTTTGCACTCTTCTACCGACGGCCTGAAAAGTTTGTACACAAGTGCCCTTGACTACATCCCAGCATCTCACTAGCCCGCCTTGGTCATCATCAACTGTATTATCTTCCGTTGCCGTACCGAGTAGCTTGTCATCTGGGGAGAAGAACATATATTCAACAGCGGGCGCATTCAAAGTTTGAAGACACTGCTTTGTTGTCAAGTCCCATATATTCACTACTTTGGATCCGCGCTGGACGGTTGCCGTTGCGATTTTCTGACTATGCGGAGCGCATGCTATAGGTACCCAAGGCGTAACATCGCGAATGATCTGGAGACACTCTCCTGTCGTTGGCTCCCAGGTTTTGGCCACATCATACCCCCGGCTAACAAGATAACGACCATTTGTGGTGAAGACGATTTGCTGCAGGAATTCCCCATGTGCATTTAACATCCGAATGGACTGGCTCCCGTCTACACTCGAAATCTTGATTGTACCATGCTCTTCGACAACAGCGACCCACTGTCCACCTTCCGAGAACATCACGTCATTGGAAAGAAATCGGGGGTGAACGTGGATCGAATGAGAAAAAGTGCCATTCAACGTGTTCCAGATCTTGACCTCACCATCCGATGGTGATTTTATCGACTCGTTATCTTTGGAAAGGACAAGGCTGTCGATTCTGTGGATGGGGATTTCGGGTACTGGAGAGGTATGGCCTGCATCTACATTCCAGATTCTGGCTACGCCCTCTCCCGAAGCTGATATCAGTTCTCTGCCATTGGCAGAGAATACCACCGACTGAGGCCAATCATTCGCACCGAGTATTGTCTGAAGATGGTCTCCTGTAGATGTATCCCAAATCATGAATCTTCCACCAGACAAAGCAGACGCAATTCGCAGGCCGTCTGGTGAAAAGACTACCGACGTCACATCACCAGGGCATACCAATGTCTTTATGCACACTCCTGTCTCAATATTCCAGACTTTGATTCCGTCGGCGATGTCTGAAGCTAATAGCTGGCCGTCCGGTGAAAATGACATGTGGTTGTCTGAAAAACGAAAGCTGCCTTGTAACGTCCGAAAAAGCGTCTTTGTCGCTATATCCCAGATAAAAGCGTGGTATTGTGAAAAGCATACGGCAAACCGCCGGTTATCTGCTGAGAATACAATTTTAGTCCGGCCGCCAATGTCGCGAATTGCATTACCTGAAAGGCGAATTGCAGGCACGCTGAGAATACCGAGGGAGTATCCGCCAAATCCCATATGACGAGATTACTCTTATCCGAGAATTCCGCAGCCAATTTGCCATTTGATGACAACGATGCCGAATAAAACGCACGGCCGCTGCTGAATTCGAGTGTCTGGAGACAATTCCCAAGCTTCGCATTCCATATCTTGACTATGCCGTCATTTGAAGCCGAGACAACTTTTAGGCAATCTGTCGAAAAGACAACCGACCAAACCTCTGCACTGTGACCTTTCAGAGTTAAGAGACATTCTCCTGTAAAATAATCCCATATTTTCACTGTTTCGTCTGCCGAGGCTGTGGCGAGTCGTTGGCCATCTGATGAGCAAGCAATACTTGAAATCGAACCTTCATGGCCTTCCAGTGTTTGGAGGCAAGGGCCCCATTGTGGATCCATGACGGGCTTCGACGCAATCCACATTGGCTCTTCTTTACTAAATAGACATCTTATTGAGCAATTGGTGGGACTGAATAAGAGTGCAGATGCGTAAAGCTGCAGCGGAGCAATCTCAATCCCCGTCCTATATGTGAGAATGAATCGGCGGGCATCTCTTATAACTTTTGTCGATTGTATCATTTGCTTCGATACCAATCTTCGCTGATCCAATTATGAGCCTCCTGCACAGAATTTGTTGGATTAACAATCCAGGCACTTACTATTGAAGCCTCGAGCCTGTTGAGTGCTCTTACACCGGATAATATACTACGTAGCAAGCTCAGAGCCTCTAACCAATACAGATATTTCTCGTTCAGAAACTGGTGTATGCTTCCGTTGTCCTCAAGAGCGTGGATTTGAGCCTGCGTTTTATCTGGGATGCCGTCATATAGGTGGTCAACCCAGTAGACACAAGAGTATCGTGTTGTGGCTAAAGGGTCAGGATCGGGCGCCGTCGCTTCATCAATGAGAGCTCCAGGGGCCTTCAAGCCCCAAATATCGCGCTTCAGGGCTCCAGACATGCCCTGAAGCGACCTAGAAAAGAGAAAATGATGATATTTGTCTATCCCAGCAGGGAAAATAGTCTTGAAGGCTTCGGTAGATAGATAGTCCTTGGCAGATTGATGAACAAGGTAAACGTTCTCGTCTCGTATTGTAAGGAATGAGCCACACATGGCTATGACTCTTCGAAGGGCCCCTGGCTTTTCAGATATCCCCCGGGGTAAGTCTGAGAGAAATCCTAACTCCGCAAGACTTAATGGGCGATACGTTGCGCATACCGCCGAAAGCAACTGTTTACAGTACACTGGGTTTTTCCTCTCCAGCTGAAGAACCTGCCTCATCATGCGGGCGTAGACTTGTTTCAAGTCGGATGGAATTTCATCGACAACCTGCAGTACATCCCAGCTTTCCACGTTTTCAAGCTCTTTCATGACAAGGGAAACCCATAAGAATGTCCCGTTAGCTTTTTGCCGCACTGCCTTGTCAAGGTTGTCTTGGAGATCCTCATCATCCCGCACCGAGTCAAGCCGTCTGACGCTGAATTTGATGTAAGCATCCACGGCATTAGATATGCAAGTTTCATTTTCCTTTAGCTCTAGACTGAGAAGTATCCGTGAGCCAACGTCTTTCATTTTTTGCTCGATATTAAGTCTAGGACGACTGGCAATGATCCACTTGACTCGGCGAAGTGATGAGTATTGAAAGATGAAATCCAGGAGCTTTGCTTGATCTGACTGGCATTCGTCCAACGCATCGATAACTAATATTGCATCACCTATGCATGTGTCTTGCAGAACGCTTATCAAGATCTGGGATAGCGCTGTCCAGGCATTCGCGTCTTCGAAAAGGCTCTTGCCTGCAATATCGTATTTGCTCTTGAGATGTGAGATGAGTAACGGCTGTTGGTCAATGAGGAGGTATAAAAGGCCGCGCAGCACAGCCACAGCAGTGTTGATGCGCAAGTCGGTACCCTGGCAGAAGAAATACGACAACAGTCTCTTGGACTCTGGATTTTTTACTCTTGTGTAGCTTGCCAACTCATCAAGGATGCCACATATTAGCATAGTCTTTCCCTTGCCTGGATCACCGGTGATCCACAACAGCCGGCCTTGAGCATCATCGCCGTCATGCCAAAGCTTGAACTTGTCATTTTCTAGAATCCAACTGTATGATTCTCTCAAAAGGCCCCCCTTTGTTTGCTCAAGCCGTATTTTGTCGTCGCGGGGGTCCGTTGGTCGCAAATCCGCCAAGCAGCGGTCGCTTGTACCCTCCGAAGAATGGTGATACACATTCCCTTGGTGGACAGTGGCGTTGTTGCCAAAGCTGTTTCCCGTGATATCCATTCTAAGGACATCATCTACAAAGAGCGTAGTCGTCTTGCTTTCTCTTCTCTGAACAGGATTAATGACTGAGTATATCAGGCATCACTAGAGGAAGGCGAAAGATTAAGATGCAATTATGTCGACAGAGCCTTGATGCCTTGCAAAGCCCAACCGTACTAATGTCCTCACCCAGTGATAATATCAGAGATCCAACAGAGGCGCAAGATCCTCCTGAGAGTGCGGGGTTGGCATCACAACCAATCAAAATCGACCTTGGCCGGCATCGTAGCCTGGCCCAAGTCGTATGAGTGGGTTCATCCTCCAACTCCGAGATATGTCAGAGAACAGGACGCGAACAGCTGAAAGGAAGCTCCTGGGCCTTTGCTGGTCATTGAAGTTTGATACAGAATCAGAATAGTTTGGTCAGATAGAAGATTGCCAGGTTCAGTAAGTATCTAATATACTTGTGATTTATGGCGAATGAGGCTGATTCTTACCTACGGTTTCCTCAACCATGTTATAATGCAGGATCGACATCATATGCCTTTACTCCCTTTCTCAATTTCAAGACATGAGAAATGCGTACTTCGTCATGATACATTTTGGCAACAGAGTGTAAATAAAGTCTGCCAGTTATGTAAAGCCCTAGCAGTTGCAATCTCATAGTACCTACTCTACACATAGGTAACTCAAACCCGCGGCTTGCAATACGAATCTGCAGCCGAAATATCTATGACCAGCGTATCGATCTTATCTCACTCAGCTTATATATCGCCACAAGGTAGTCCTGCTCTCCGCCCCGCTTGTCGGTTGAATCCTTAGCGAATATTCCCTACTGAATCAGATATGAGGCCGATGAAGGAGTGCTCAAAATAGGTACATAATCGGTGCTGCCTATTCTCTTGGAGAGTGGTTATAGGCTTCGCAGCCGTCTACATGACATCAGTACAACCATTCTTGTATGTTCATGTTACGTTACTGAATCCTAAGCGAGGCTGAGCAAAGTGAGGCGAAATCGCCAACTCAGACAATATTCACTAGATCTAGATCCCCCGAAATTTGGGGTTTATGAAACTCTTGGCAGTCTGTTGAGTCCATGGCTCGCAACCAAATAATTGCCTCGATATAATGTTCTTCTACGGCCATAGCAAAAGCTCAGTAAGCCGAACTGATTTGCCTACCACGTCTTTTTTTTTTTTTTTTTTTTGTCTTGTCTGTATCAGGGAAATTAACATTGAGCGGGGAGACACCTTAGACAGGCGACGTTAATATGCCGCTTATGAGCCAGAACTTGAAGAAAAGACCAAGTGTCAAGGCAATATTGGCTAGTCGCAGGATAAACAAGCTTATACCTCCATTAGTAGAAATGAGCATGGCTAATGGAGTAAGTCTGAGGTTCAATAAGTGATGACGCTCTTGGACGTTGGTGATGTTGATTCTACCTAGCATGGTATTACAACGAACTACACTTTGCTGACAAGCGATATGTCAAATTACTATCAGAAATGAGTTCAAGGTAATCACGTTATTGGAGCTCATGAAAACTACAAGGAAATGTGCGAATGGCATACTACGTATATTATATTGCAATATAGATCCCGATAGTCCTCTGGGTTGTAGTTAAACTGACTTGACTAACGTTCCCTCGGCGAAGTGCACAGCAGTCGATATGATTTAGGGTGTTACTCATCGATAATTAGAGTTGCGGCGGATTGTTCAACGTAGCTACTCAAGGTCTTGCCGCGATCCATGTTCAGACAAGACGTGGGTGAGTTGCCAAATGCGTTGGCAATGTAAGCGTCAGACAGATAGCCGATACGTTCCTAGAGCATCTTTGTAGTGTTCATGTAGAATAGTCCAGCTATATAGTTATCGTATTGGCAATTTGGACTAGTATAGCCGCTCTATATGCATTGTTAGTTGCGGGAGATGTGCAATGCCTGCTTATGCCAAAGATATTTTCCGAGCGGGCGTAAAGATTGCGAAAAGAGAGCTTGGCCAGAGGATTGTCCGACTCTCTTTTTGGTCGGATATCGGGATGTTAATGGCGAAAGAAATAGACTGTTAAAAAGAGAGTAACAAGGATAATAACGCTAGGATTGCTTCATCTACAGCCTATGGCAGAGCGATCTGCTTCTGCCTGTACAAGACCTTGCTCCGCGGCAGCTCAAAGCTTCAATTTTGTCGACTGCCGACAGCATGAGCTATCAGAGCGGCAAACGTTCCAGCGTATATCTTCCGTTGGGCAATACCTAGGCAACGGCAAGCTCTCGGTATGTCGAGTCAGTTTCAGCCTAGTTGACGCAAGCCACGTACTTCATACACATGCCTTCCTTCCGCGATGGCGTTTTCTGTTTTTTAATCGGAATACTTACACTCCATGCACTACTCCCGCGTGTAGCACAGATGATTAATATCTTTTTCTATTTCGTTTACCACTTTTTGGAACAAAGACTCAAGACTCTGTGTCGATTCGTGCCGATAGCCAGAAAGCCGGCAGCGGGCACGCCACATACTCGACACCCCATCCCCAAGAGCCCAACAATCCGGCCTCTCTGTTCCGGTCCATCCGCTATTGAATTACAGCCATCCCACTCACAGTGCAGGTAACCACTTGACTGCCATGTAGAGAGGATAGATAAGAAAAAGAAAAGAAATACGCAATCCTCATCCCCCTTGCCAAACAGGCTCTTTTCCGTCACATATCCCAAAGCATGTAGCAACCATCCCAGAAACGAAACCCCCCCCTCTCCTCCCCAAGAAAAAGCAAATAAAATAAAGATGTTGTCAGCGTCGCACCATCCAGATACGCCCTTTCTTGGCAACCACGATAGGATTAAAAGTAAGGTTACGCCATGCCCGCTAATGCATGGGCACACACACAAAAACAGAAAGGGCATCAAAGGTGGGAGAAAGCTTCGAAGCTTTTTTCTCATCAGAAGCGTGTGCAGCCAATCATCTCCATCACTAACAAAGGCTAAGCTTTTCTTTAAGCAAGCTTAACGCCTTGAGTTGTATAAACGCCCGGTTTTTTATTTCCCCCCTCTGAATATCATGGTATCATCGAATATACATGAACGTAGATGGTACGAGCAGACTCTGTGCATCCTGCCAGGGTAAAAGTGTTACGGTGGTGGTACAGGGTGCGCATTCGGAGATGTCCTTTTTCTTGATGGAGGGTAATCTAGCCATTTCTGGACTTGATCACTTTACTGATAGCCTACATGACTAAAGAGCATGGATGACTCCAGAGTACCACATACAGATAGATGCCTCAGCGGCCGTTGGAGAGCCAGAGAAGACATCCTTTGAAGGCTTGTCGTAGCGCCATGCCTGTCGATTACAGGTGCAAATAGCTCAGTATTGGTTCGGTATTGGCTAGCAACCTCAACTATGAGAAGAAAAGCGGGACTTGGCCACTTCTTTCGCCTTTTCCCGATGCTGCAGATGCTGTAGCTGTCTCATACGAGCACTACCTACAGCTCTCGTATAAACACGCATAGATACGTATAAATAAGTCCAACCCATGTGTACACGACAACTCCTTTCTCACAATCTACTTGAGCAATTTGTAAAAAGGCGATCAACTGCCAAAACCCCGACTTCTGCGCGGGCGATCAACGAGGCCAAGTGGCCGCTGGCGCTTTCATTGACCCTGCCCATCCCAGCTGAGCTAAAAATACGCTTGCTATTAAAGTCCACGGACCGGTTCAAATTGGTTGCCTCACTGCTTACCCTGGATTGTCATAATCAAAAGTCAATACTTCCCTAGCACGCAGCTATTGCTCGCTCGCTCGCTCGGTGCGGGCATCTATTTGTAATCCATCCCGGTCCTTGTAGTAAGCCTGGATAAGCATATTGCATAGGTTTGCTTGACCAAAACCCTCCGGCAAGGCTCGAATCCTCGGACCCGAGCGATTTAACACTGGCGAATGGATTCCCCGAAGGGGCTGAATGGAAAAGAAAAAGAGAGAACACAGGCTGGTACGTGCAATACGATCCTCTACTCCACCTGTTGGCTTGGTAGTTGGCGTATATCCAACTGAGTGGGAATAAAGCAGCAAAGACAGCCTCTATGGCGCAGGCATCCACATAGCACGCCTGCTAGTGAGAGGCATCATTACAAATTGCCCACCCAAGAAGATAAGTTGTAGATTAGGTGCTATCTCGACTTTAGCCTGCGCCTGTAGCACGTCGCGAGTAAGCATCCAAACCCAAGACGTGTTGGATTAGTTCCTGCTTGCTGGGGGTCACGAGCCCTTGCCTGAAGCAGACCATGAATTAACCTTATACTAGAGAGCAGCCCGGCGCTGGCTAGTGTCTCTGCAGCAAGTCGGATAATCGGAATCTCGAATGCGTGTCGGCGTATCCTATCCTTTTTTCTGCCTCTGCCTCTGCTTCCTTGCTGCTGCGGGTACACACTGTGTGTCTAGAAACTGAGACCGGGCTCGCAGTCAAACGACATCTCCGTATTACGTACCACCAGCACCAGAATCCGACGTTGGCAGTTGGTTAGATGCCTGCCTCGCAAATTAGTACCAGTAATTGTAAACTTGTCGAATGGCCGTCGCAGCAATACGCGGAAATGAAGCTCAGCAACACACTCCGTAATCCGGCCTCCCAAATTGGCGTCTCCATTGTCTGTCTGCTATGATTAGAATACGGCTGCCAAGCTCAGGATCAGCAAGGCTCGGCGTCTTTAGCACTGGCCAATGCCACGAGACGCCCTTGCCAATGGCCGGCCGCACAAACTCCACACGCCCCTCTCCCTGGAAAGCCAAGTCGGCAAGCACGGCATCTTAGATTTGCGCCAAGTGCTTCAGCGGCTCCACCGATGGCAAGCCACCGTTTCCACCGCGACTGGCGAAGAGGAATGGCGACAAGGCGCCAGCTTTTTCTGTATTGATGCTTGGAACCTGCTGCAGCGAGAGCAGGCCAAGGTTTGCCGTGGTGCATCGGGAGGCTGTTTTGAAAGAGTCTTCGCAACCATATGATGCAGCCAAGTACCCGCTGAAAAGAAC